TATATATATATATATATATAAGCGCACGGTTGGTCGGCGCTCGGTTGGCTTGTGTAACCAGTGCTGCACATAATTTAAAAAAATAAAAAATAAAAAATAATAATTGAGGGAGGCTAGTGTAGTTAGCTCCGTGCGAGCGAGCCGGCGCACTTAGGTTTGTCATTGTAGGCTCGCACGCCGGGCTTGCCCGACCCCCCCAAAAAAAAAAAAAAAAAAAACTCTACAACTTTCGATGAACCAAAAGTCGTTGGAAAATCGAAGGTCAACTTTTGGATCCTTAAAAATTGAATTCCGATATCATTTTCCCCCCAACACCTCTAAACAACCGTAATAAAGCTAATAAACACATCTAAAACCTTAAAAATTATTTTAATACACACAAAAACAAAAGAAAATACAAAATTAAATCGGATTTTTTTTTTTTTGACTCCGATCCACCTCCTATGATTGTTTAATGATTTGAAACCATCATAGACAAACTCATCTTTAAAAAACAAACAAATCTAGTGGATTTTCGCCAACCGCAGTGGTATAAATAAAATTAGTTGGCGATCTCTTTATCCTTCCGCCTCTCTCTTCCTCTCGGCTTTCTCTCTTTACCCAATGATCAAAATGGATGAGCAAATGAATATGTGGGTCGAAATGTGTTTTCAAAAATATCAAGAACTAAAGTGTAAGAAAAAAATTATAAATAGTGAAATATATAGTGAAATTGAGAGGATAAATAGAAAATTATAAGAACGTGAACAATAGTTCAAATAGTGACATTAGAGTAACCGATTATTTTTCTTTAGTTTTTTAGTTAATTACCATCTTCCTGATCAAGATAGAACTCCAGCGCCGGCAAAATGGAAAGGTGCATCTAAAAATTATGTGATACTGAATGAATTTCATATATGGGTGCGGTTTTACGTTTAAGTGTCATGTTTATCATATAACTTTGATTAAGTTGTCCTCATACTTTTTACCTAATCTCCAATCGGTCACTACAAATTTAATTGTTTATAATTTGTCTTTAAATATTGGATCACTCCCACATCAAACACACACACACCCTCGAGAGACAAGCTCAAACCAAAACAAATTTATTCAAAAAATAAAATTTAGCACCACATGACAATTCTTTTTTTACAAATTGATTTATTTTTAATAAATTACACGAGGTTTGATTTTTCAAATGAGAGTATTTTCAGGCTTGTATGGAAATATTTTTTAGAGGATAGATTGGAAAATAATCTAAATTACAGTAACATATTAAGAGGAATTAGATTTTTAAAGATATATTAGAACCCAATTTTAAGTTTAAAATATAAGAACAAATTAAACTAATTCTCATATAAAAAAATAATATGTGATCTTCATGCCATATAATCTAGACTTTTAAAGATATGCTGGCCGACGAACTTCAATAAACTTATAAATAAAAAAATATTTTCATGAGTTTTTTGTTTCTTTTTGGATAAAATCTTTTTTCTAACAAATATGTTTTGTGCATATTTGGAATCTACACTCAAGTTACAATTATTACAATTATTGATGGGATTATGAAGGGAGACAATTTTACCCAAAAATATATTAAAAAATCCCCAAGAGAGATTAATCTTAATCAAATAAAATCTCAAGAAAAAGAAAAAGCCAAAAGAAGTACTATCACGAAGACAAAAGAACTAAAAAAATAACAAAAGAAACGGAAAATAAAGAACCGTAAATGGAATCTCCCTCTCTCTATGGTTGCAAAGTGAAAAAGAAAATAAAAAACAATCGATGGAAATGAGAAGAAAAAATTTAAAGACACAGGACATTAATTTATGAGTAAATTATAACTATTTGTTATATTTTTAAGAAACAAATACTATAGTTGGTCTAGTTAACAAATATTATCGACAGATCCCTATACTGTCACATATGTTAAAAACTTGGTCCCTCCATTAACCTTTTGTCAACGAAAAGCTGAGGTGGAATTATTATAATGTTAGTTTTTGACGGCGAAATGTGATTCAATTAAAGGATTAATTGATTACTTTAAAACATGGGGGGATTAGTATATTTGTTTGACAACAATACAAGGACTAGGCTATAATATTTACGTCAAATTTTAATCATGAAATGCGTGTGCGTGTTTGCTTCGTAAATAGCTTCGGAGGAATCTTAAAAAGAAGAAATCATACATTTGGTTCTGTTCACTTCAGTCCCATACACCCCACCTGACCGAACTGACACCTCTCTCTTCCCCTCTCCCGCTTGTCTACGCCTCTCGGAAACACCACCACCACCGATAAGGGCTTCGAATCTCCAACAGGTGCCTTCTTTTCTATTATGTTTTTGTTATTAAAAATTTATGCGAGTGTTTTTATTTATTTACTTATAATTATTATTCAAGAGATAATTCAATTTTAATACATAAATAAACAATCGGATTCGATGAAATCCGAGCTGGTGAACCCTAATCGATGAAGGTACAATCGGCCAATTCTGATGTTTTCTTTTCGATATTTAAGCTTAATTTCCGCTTTTTGTTACATTTATTATTATTATTAATCTTAAAATCCTAAACCTAATTTATCTCATTTTCATTTCCTTTTAGTTTCGTTTTAAAGTGTAAAATAATTCATATTTTTCTTTAGGTTTGACTCATTCTTTGTTAAGTAGCCTTTGCAGCAGCAGATTAATATAGACTCGGGACTGGAAAAGATATTACAGTACGAATGACCGTGAATGGAGCTGTTTGATTGATTCTTTTTGTTTGACCTTTACTGAATTCTTCAAAATTATTATGTTTTTAACAGTAATATGATCTCTTTGGATTTCATGCTTGCTCGCACATGGAAAAAAAAAATTTGCACAGTGCTCATGTTACCGTGAGGGAAAGAAAGGAAATCTGCTACGATAACCCTAGATGATGTGTCTTTCCTAATTTCAGAATTTAATAGGTTTCTTAAATAGCCAACTAGTTATTGATCTTCTTTTTAGGACTGCCCAGCTAATGTTATGAGTATGAGGTGAATCCTCGTATTGGACAGTTATGCCTAACTAAAATCTGTATCGTGCTGGCTTGAGTTGAAATTTAAGAGCATGCGGAAGTGGAAAGCAAATGATTGCATTCACTCCACCGCAAAGGCATTCTAGTAATGCATCTATCTATTAAAGTAAAAATTGGTAAGTACCTGAAAAGTTGCTGTGCTGATTCTAAATTGTTTAGAAGTGCTGAACTGATATCTAGAACATAAATGATCCTATCTATTGAAGTACAGCATTTAAATGTGCATACAGTGGTTTTGGAATATTAAATATCTATTTTGATCAGAAACTGAGAACCTAAAACCAAAAGGAATAGAAGTGCAAGTTTGTCATTGTAAACATTGCATCGATGACGTATCACAAGCATCACTAGAAAGCATCAAGTTAAAATTGAAGTACCATGAGTTTGTCCTTGATTTGGCTTACCAACGCTTACCATCAATTAATGTGGCAAGTTATTAGATAGCTGACTATGTGTCCTTGGATTTAGCAGTACCATGAAGTCAGGTTAATATCTTGCTTAGAATGCCTGAATACCCAAGATCCTAGGACCTTGCACTGAAGGGTTGTGTATCTTTATTATGCCTATTCAGACTTTATGCATCCTATGATGATATATTTGCAAGCATTCTTTAATAAAGTACCTGCTATTCAAGTCTGAGTGGTCTGATATTCCAAATAGGGATGGCAATCTGACCCGCCCCGTCCCGTTTGGGGCAGAGATGGTACGCGAAATATTGCCTCGAACGGAGCATGGGGCCATCCCCGCCCCTGCCCCGCCCTTTTGCCTTTAGGAATGGCAATCCGACAGGGCCCCGCCCCGCCCCGTTTGGGGCGGAGATGGTATGCGAAATATCGCCCCGAACGGAGCATGGGGCAGGAATAGGGATGGCCATCCCTAATTCCAAATGACCGTGATGGCTTGAGTTGAAATTTAAGAGCATGCGGAAGTGGAAAGCAAATGATTGCGTTCACTTCACTGCAAAGGCATTCTAGTAATGCATCTATCTATTAGAGTAAAAATTGGTAAGTACCCGAAAAGTTGCTGTGCTGAATCTAAATTGTTTAGAGGTGCTGAACTGATATCTAGAACATAAATGAACATATCTATTAAAGCAAAGCATTTAAATGTCCTTACAATGGTTTTGGAATGTGAAATATCTATTTTGATCAGAAACTGAGAAAAGGAATAGAAGTGCTAGTTTGTCGTTGTAAACATTCCATTGATGACGTATCACAAGCATCACTAGAAAACATCAAGTTAAAATTGAAGTACCATGAGTTTGTCCTTGATTTGGCTTACCAACGCTTACCATCAATTAATGTGGCAAGTTATCAGAAAGCTGACTATGTGTCCTTGGATTTAGCAGTACCATGAAATCGGGTTAATATCTTGCTTAGAATGCCTGAATACCCAAGATCCTAGGACCTTGCACTGAAGGGTTGTGTATCTTTGTTATGCCTATTCAGACTTTATGCATCCTATGATGATATATTTGCAAGCATTCTTTAATAAAGTACCTGCTATTCAAGTCTGAGTAGTCTGATATTCCAAATGGCGATGGCAATCCGACCTGCCTCGCTCTGTCCCATTTGGGGCAGAGATGGTACTTGAAATATCGCCCCGAACGGGGCACGGGGCCATCCCCACCCCGCCCTGCCCTTTTGCCTTTAGGAATGGCAATCCGACAGGGCCCCGCCCCGCCCTGTTTGGGGCGGAGATGGTAAGCGAAATATCGCCCCGAATGGGGCACGGAGCGAGGATAGGGATGGCCATCCCCGCCCCGCCCCATTGGCATCCCTAATTCCAAATGACCTTGATGCTGTCTTACTTTCACTGTTCACTTTTTTTTTTTTTAAGGATCTATTCTAACATGTGATATGATATTTTGTTGTAGTCATAGAAGTGGTTGTGTTTGGTTGCTAAAACCTTGTCGGGTAGCGACAGAATGGGAGTAAAAGTTGGGGGTATGACAAACCTCATGCATGCCAATAATCGGAGGCGCATAGCCCCAGGTGGAGAACCTGTCATGGACTCGGGTGATTGGAGAACTCAATTGCCCCCTGGCTCCCGCAAAAGAATAGTCTGCAAAATGTAAGTATTTGTTTCCTAATATTTGCAGTGCGGCAAAATAGAGAAGGGAAAAAAGTTAATAAAAATCAGGAGGACTGCCGTGAGGCAACCTGTCTTAGAACATTGCTGTAAATGAAAGGCGCTTCCAGTTCAAGAAAATTAAGAATGAAGCTAGTAAATGGAATTTAAAGACATGAGGGTGGTGTACTCTGTACCTACAGAATAATAGGGGAAAGGAAGTAAAAAAGATGTCTATGTACCATATATTACTTGACTGGCACTTGCTTATCTCAATATTTATGTTTATTATTTTGCCATTGATTCAATATATACATTTCTGGTATTGGTGTGGTATATGAGTGGAAGGTTCTTTCTTGCTGCTGCTAAACTCTCTATACTTTTCCTGTTCATTAAAAATTTAAGCATAATTTATTTTCTGCGCAGCATGGAGACATTAAAGAGACATCTTCCATATTCTGGTCGACGAGGACTACGAGACCTCGAGAAAATTGCCATACGGTTTGAGGAAAGGATCTATGCTGCTGCAACAAGTCAGGTATTTGCCCGATGCTAGGTTAAGTAATTTCGATAATCTCAAGACATGAATGTATACAAGCACAACTGTATGTGCAGTGTGCCCTTGCTCCCTCACTGCTCATTCTGTATGCAAGGCTGCTTGGGAGTACTCATCTTTTTTTAATTCTCTTGATAAGTGTTTTGTTTAGAGTGACCAGGTCCTTTTCAAGTACAAGGGAAGTGTGCAAAAAGCAGCATTTTAGAACAGATAAAATAAAATAGCAAAGTTATAAATAAATAATTAAATAAGAAGAGGAGAAATGTTAGGAGATAGATCCTAAAGGAACATGCAAATACTAAAAGCCTAGCATAGCGGAAAGATAGAGCTGATACCCTTCCCCCTTTTCTTGAAATGTAACATGGATTGTCTGAGATCTGATGTTTTGTTATTGATATCTGATTTCAGTCTGATTATCTGCGAAAAATATCTCTGAAGATGTTTGCAATGGAGATCAAGTCCCAACCCATTTCTTTGCCATCCAACTCCGCTGGCAATGGTAACTAACCCCTGGATCCAGGAGCTATATAATGCAGCCAAGCTTCGAATTTCTAAACAATTCACCTTTTGATGTAATTTTTGTGTTGTTATCACTCTTTTATTTCGTTTCTTTTTTGCTGCATACTGCTATGTAAACCTCATGGAGTTATTAATTCGCCCTTTTATTTTTAGTTTTCTGCGTAAACTTTATTTACAAACTCGTTCTTAAAATTGAGAAAATCTACAATCAAATCCTTTAACATCGGAACCAATAATAAGTGGAAATTCCAAAATTTGCCCATGTATTTTTATAGTCTTACATATCCTTACTTACGAGGAGAAAATTAGATTTTGAAAGTTTAGATACCGGCTGTTTAGCTGTGGTGGACAAGACATAACTAAAAACAAAAATTCTAGTATGCCCTTGTATTGTCTTTTTTTTTTTTTTTTTCACAAAAATATTCGGAATATTGTACGGAGAACTTCATCCTATTGCACTGCATCATGCATATTTTATGTTATAAAAAACATTATTCAAATTTTAATTACCTCCACCACCCTCTGTATTGCCATTACGCTTTACACATTAAATTTTAAAAAATTATGATTTCCGTCCTAAGACTAAAAAGTTTATTTCTAAAAAAGTTAAAATCTAAAAATACCTTTTTTTAAGAAAAATGAATAAAAAAAGAATTATAATCTCGACCATTTCTCTCTCAACAATCAAACATCAAAACCTCTCTCTCTCTAAACGAATAACAAATAAGAGAGTTGGGATGGTTCACCATTCACAACACCATATGTGAGAAATTTTAAAATTTAAAGAATTAAGTATCAATATTATAAAAGAATTATAATCTCAGTTTTCAACTAACACGTGACAAAAAATGAATTTCGCTTGAATTATTCATAAAAAAAAAATCTTTTTTTTTAATTTGGAGAAAACTACAATTTGAGTTTCTAACTTTAAATTATTTTTCTATTTGATTGTCCAAAGTTAAATTTTTTTTTCTATTTGAGTTGTCTTAACCACCCAATATTAAACAATTCGACATGATTAGAATCTATTGACACACAACAGTTTTTAACGAACACGTGACAAAAAATAAGTCTCATTTGAATTTATTAAAATATATATATATATATATATAAAAGAAAATAAGAAAATTAATTACTATTAGTTGAATGAATTCAACAAGTTTGCTAATCAATTTCTTAAAACATTTCCAAGCTATCATCTAAAAAATATCTTTGCATATTATAAGAGTTTTAATTTTGGATCATCTAAAAAATTTGAATTCATTCAGCTAACAATAATTTATTTTGATTTATTTTTTAATTTTTGCCAATTGTTTTCCTTTATAAATGTATTATATATAAGTCTTTTAATAAATAGGAGTGTGATCTATTTTTTATCACGTGTCAATTAAAAATTGCCGTGTCTATGTGAATTCCAACCATGGCAGTATGTTTCAGTCTCAAATAGCTTATGTAACTCAAATACGAAAAAAAAACAAAACAAAATCAAACGTTTTGAACTCAAAAATAAAAACAATCTAAGGTTGCACTCAAATTGTACCTTTTTTGAATAATCCAAATAGAACTCACTTTTTGTCTCTAGTCACGTGAACTATTGTGCACTAGTTTATTTTTAGACACTTCAATATTTTTCAATATCAGGTAATTATGGGCATTAAAAAAAGAAAAATCAAAGTTTGGACACTAAAATTGTAGTTTTTTTAAAAAAATTTAAAACGAAAAAAAAAAGAGAGAAACATAATTAGTTTACTGAACGTCATATGTATTTCTCATAAATAATTTACTCAACAACGGTTTAAATGTAAAAAAAAATAAAAAAAATCGATGTGTTGCAATGTTCTAAATTGTGAACTGAGATATCAATAAAAAATATATTAATCGTTCCAACTTGGGTATGAAGGTTTTAAGAGGGCTCAACAACTATTTAATTTTAAGAAAATAAGATCTTCACCTTTATGTGATCCTGCATAAATCTCAGGGGTGTGGTGTTGGTTTTAAGTCTCACTTTTATGGCAAAACTCTAATCGAGTTGTCCTCATACTTTGTACTTAGTTTCTAATCTGTCATTATAAGTTTAATTGTTTCTAATTCATCTTTAAATACTGAATCATTCCCCAATCCATCTTTTTTATACATTTTTTTTCAAACCAATAAAAATACCCTCATGTGAGACACTCAAACCAAATCAAATTTATTAAAAAAAAAAATTTTAGCGCCACATGAAATTTTTTTTTTAAAAAAATATTTATTTCTAACAAATTACATGAGGTTTGAGTTTTTCAAATGAGAGTAATTTCATTGGTTTGCATGGAAATATTTATTAGAAAGATAAATAAATAAATAATCTAAAATACAATAATATATTAAGAGCAATTGGATTTTTAAAAATATACTGGAACCAAGATTAAAATATATAAACTAATTTGTAAATAGAAAAATAATATGTGATCTTCATACCATATAAACTAGAATTTTTTAAAGATATACTGGACCAACGTACTTCAATGAATTTATAAATACAAATATATTTCCATGAGTTTTTTCGGATAAAATATTTTTCTAACAAATATGTTTTGTGTATATTTGAAATCCCATAGTTAAGTTACAAATAGTGATGGGATTATGAAGGGAGCCAAATTTATGCAAAGATATATTAAAAAATCCCCAAAAGAGATTAATCTTAATCAAATAAAATCTCAAGAAAAAGAAAAAAAGTTAAAAGAAGTACTAACATGAAGACAAAGGAATGCGATAAAAAAAAAATGAAACAAAAGAGACAGAAAATAAATAACCGTAAATGGAATCTCCCTCCCTCTATGGTTAAAATAAAATAAAATAAAATAAAAACAATGAATGGAAATGAGAATAAAAAAATTTAAAGACACGGGACATTAATTTATCAGTAAATTCCAACTAGTTATATTTTTAAGAAACAAATAATATAGTTGGTCTAGTTAACAAATATAATCGACAAACCCTATACTGTCACAAATGTTAAAAACTTGGTCCCTCTGTTAACCTTTTGTTAAGGAAAAGCTGGTCGGCACTAGCGTTTCGTTAGTTTTTGACGGCAAAATGTGATTAAATTGAAGGATTAATTGATCACTTTAAAATGTTGAAGGATTAGTATATTTTTTTGAAAGAAACCCAAGGACTAGGTTAAATAATTAAGTCAAATTTCGATCACCATATGCGGATGCGTGTTTGCTTTGTAAATAGCTTGGGAAGAATCTGAAAAATAAGAAATCATATATTTGGTTCTGTTTTCTTTGGTCCAATACACCCCACCTGACCGAACTCACTTCTCTCTCTTTCCCCGTCCTCCGCCTGTCTACGCCTCTCGGAAAACACCGCCACCACCGATAAGGGCTTCAAATCTCCAGCAGGTGACTTCTTTTCTATTATGTTTTTGTTTTTTAAAAATTTATGCGTGTGTTTTTATTTATTTACTTATAATTATTATTCAAGAGATAATTCAATTTTGATAAATAAATAAACAATTGGATTCGATGAAATCAGAGCTGTTGAACCCAATTCGTTGAAGGTACAATCGGCCAATTCTAATGTTTTCTTTTCGATATTTCAGCTTAATTTCCACGAACTGATCCGCTTTTTGTTACATTTGTTATTATTATTATTAATCTCTGAATTCTGGAACCCTAATTTATCTCATTTTCATTTCCTTTTAGTTTCGTTTTAAAGTGGAAAATAGTTCATATTTTTCTTTAGGTTTGATTCATTCTTTGTTAAGTAGCATTTACAGCAGCAGATTAATATATACTCTGGACTGGAAAAGATATTACACTACGGATGACCGTGAATGGAGCTGTTTGATTGATTCTTTTTGTTTGAACTTTATTGAATTCTTCAAAATTATTATGTTTTTAACACTAATATGATCTCTTTGGATTTCATGCTTGCTCGCACATGGAAAAAAGGAAAGAAAAGAAAAGAAAATTTTGCACAGTGCTCATGTTACCGTGGGGAAAAAAAGGATATCTGCTACGATAACCCTACATAATTTGTCTTTCCTAATTTCAGAATTTAACAGGTTTCTTCAATAGCCAACTAGTTATTGATCTTCTTTTTAGGACTGCCCAGCTAATATTATGAGTATGAGGTGAATCTTCGTATTGGACAGTTATGCCTAACTAACAGTTGTATCGTGATCGCTTGAGTTGAAATTTAAGAGCATGCGGAAGTGGAAAGCAAATGATTGCGTTCACTTCACCGCAAAGCCATTCTAGTAATGTGTCTGTCTATTGAAGTAAAACTTGGTAAGTACCCGAAAAGTTGCTGTGCTGAATCTAAATTGGTAAGAGGTGCTGAACTGATATCTAGAACATAAATGAACCTATCTATTAAAGTAAAGCACTTAAATGTCCTTACAATGGTTTTGGAATGTGAAATATCTATTTTGATCAGAAACTGAGAACCTAAAACCAAAAGGAATTGAAGTACAAGTTTGTTGTTGTAAACATTGCATTGATGATGTATCACAAGCGTCACTAGAAAACAAGAAGTTAAAATTGAAGCATCGTGATTCATGAGTTTGTCGTTGATTTGGCTTGCCAACACTCATCATCAATTAATGCGGCAAGTTATTAGATAGCTGACTATGTATCCATGGATTTAGCAGTACCATGAAGTCGGGTTAATATCTTGCTTAGAATGCCTGAATACCCAAGATCCTAGGACCTTGTGCTGAAGGGTTGTGTATCTTTGTTATTCCTATTCAGACTTTATGCATCCTATGATGATATATTTGCAAGCATTCTTTGATAAAGCACCTGCTATTAAATGGATTTGTTTTTATTTTTTATTTTTTTAAAAAGCTATTCAAGTCTGAGTAGTCTGATATTCCAAATGACCTTGACGCTGTCTTACTTCTACTGTTCTTCACTTTTTTTTTTTTTTTGTAGGGTCTATTCTAACATGTGATATGATATTTTGTTGTAGTCATAGAAGTGGTTGTCTTTGGTTGCTAAAACCTCATGGATGCCATTCCTAATCTGCTAAGAGCTTTTTCATTCATAATATCTCCTTTTCTAATGTCATGCTTATCACTAATCTTTTCATATGTATCACTGGATAATGCTAAATTTCTTTCTGTTCCTCCTGGAAAATTATTTCCTAAGTAATATGCATCATCTCCTATACTTTCAATTGATTCTTCTTTCTTATTACTACTTTCGGCGTCACTCATCCTTAATCAATACTGCTATCAGATTCTGTTTCAGAATCATAACTCGTTTCACTTTCTTGTAGGTATCCTATATTGGGTTCTTCAAATTGTTCCAATATATATATACTTGCATCACTAGAGTAATCTGTATCTGTGTTACTTATCAATTCTAATTCTCTTTCTATTCTTGCATTATGAATCGGTTTTCTAACGTTTCTTTTATTGGGACATTCATTAGCATAATGTCCTATCCCATTGCATGCCCAACATCTGCATTCTTTAGTTCTTTTTCTAGTTTCTTTCTTATGTTGGTTTCTTCTATAGGTCTTTTGTCTAGGTTTATATCCTCTTCTCTTATATCTCCAAAAGGGTTTCTTTCTATAGCTTTTCTTATAATCTCTATACTTATATCTACTATATCTGTACTTCTTATACTTCTTATGTCTCCTGTGTTTTCTCTGTTTTCTACTACATCCTAAGTCTGGTAACTCATTATTCTTTGGACAACATAATCCTGTACCTTTCTTATTTTGTTTCTTTAGCTTCTTTTGCCAAGATAATTCTTGACACCATGCAGTCACTGTATTTCTTAAGAATCTAATTCTCAATCCTAAAGTATCATTCATTGATGGTTTTATAAATTCTTTTATCAATCTAGAGCTATAAGGCTCTGGGATTCTCATGAATAATTGATCTAACCATGCTTCTTTATTTGTCTTAGAGGATATTCCTGCTTCATAATAATATTTACTAAATGTCTGTATATATTCTTCTAAATCACACATATTGCATAACTGTATATGTCCTAATTTAGCTTCAGCTATATTCTGTACTTGTTCAGCTATAGCATCTTTATCAGTCATCCAGTCTTGTCCTAAAAATTCTAATCTTACAGCATTCTCAAATCTTTCTAATATAGTCATCACTTCTTCTGTCTCTGTAGCAACTTCGGCTGTACTTCTTCCAAATTTTATCAATCTTCTTTGGCTATCTGGCATTCCTGCCCACCAATTACTTACTAATCCGTAAAAGTTTGAGGTATGAATCTGGTAAAGTTATCTCTTTTAACTGAATTTAATCCACCACCTATTGTAGCTGTCATCAACATTCTTAACCATTGATCTACTCTTAATTCTATATCATAAGGGCTTGATATCACATCATCTAGTATCAGCTGTATTCCCAAATTGGGTATATTTCCTATTTCTGATTTTACCATCTTTTTCAAATTCGCCTTTTCCCATTTCTGGTAATAAGGTGATTTCCTTCTATTTTCTCTATCTTGACTTTCTTGTTCAAATTTAGCTCCAAACATTTCTTCCAGTAGACTAGCTTGGTCTGGTCTATAAGGTATCTTACCATGTCCTGGGATGTATACTTCTTCATAATCATCTATATCATGTTCCATATGATCTGGAGGGGTTTCTTCCTTAACTCCTGAAGATTCAGGTATATCTTGGGCATTAGGTCTTGTTGAATGTTCCATGTATATGTAAGGGTTATCCATATGAAGTTCTTCAAAAGCTTGAGCTACATCTAACTCTTCCTTAGACTGTAACATCATAATCCTAGTTTTTCTCATTTATCAAGTGATCAGTCCTTATTATTTTCTTTTTTCCTTTACTACTTGTTGAAAATTTTGCCCCTGCCGAGCCGTCGCCCAAAAAATGGTATCAGAGCCAGGTTATTTAAGAGAACCTATAGATTCAAGAAAGACCAAAGACTTAAGAAAAATGAAACAAGAAGCACTAAAGGGATTAAACCTGCATTTGGGAAAAACATATGATGAATTCCCAAAGAAATACTCTATTGCAAGAATAGGATTCTTCACAGGAGTAAATAAAAAATACAAGATAAAACAAGAAATAGATATGATAAATAAGATAGATCTGCCCCTAGAAATAAGAAGAATAATAGTGCAATATTTGTTGATAGATAATGAATAACATGTCAGGATTAAAGACTATATACTATAGGACAGAAACAAATATACATGGACAGGAGTGTAGTATAGCAGAAAAAATAATAGAAACTGCTACATTAGATAATTTGATTGAGATCACAGAACAAGCTATATGCAAACTTTACATAGATGTTATAGAAGAAAAAAACGATAGTTCTGAGTGAATCCATGAAAAGAAAGATATTAGAAGACATTGATAGTGACTTAGCCTTAATAGAGTCATGGAAGGATTAAAAATAGGAAAAGTTGAATTAAGAAAGACAGAATTACCCCAAAATAAAATGCCTATAGGATCTACAGATGATAGATGGCACCCTTTATTTAAAGGAAGATGTCAACCGTTTGCAGCTTTAGGAGATGACCCAGTTCTAGGAAATATTCAGAACAATTGGACAAATTTGTTCTTATGGAATAAGTTTGGACATTTGAAGAATGATGAAAGCATAGCTAATTCTATATTAGGATATGAGAGTTTAAGTACTCAGAATCTAAATGAAATAAAAGAATTAACGAAACATTTAGATAAAGATTTTGATGATATCAAAGAAGAACTTAAGAACTTAGCTTCTAAGGAAGATTTAGATCAAATAAAACAGAAGATAAAAGATAGGTTGTATGAAAGGAAAATAGAGACGAAGATTAATAATCTCACTGAAAGGATAAAGGGGGTAGAAAGGAATATAGAAGAAATACTGAAGTTAGTAAAAAAGAATGATTTAAGTAATTGGGGATATAATGATATTAAAACGCCTACTATAGGATCATGATAGTTATAGGAGGAGAATCGTTACCTGAAAGTCTAAAGATTATACAGGAAAACTAGAAAGTAATTTATGATTTGATATTAAGGAAAGACAAAGAAATGGAATACTTGGATTTGGCCACACCAAAGAAGGTTGAAAGAAGTAGTAAAGGAAAAAAGAAAATAATAAGGACTGATCACTTGATAAATGAGAAAAACTTAGTAAATTCTTTAAGAAAAACTAAGATTATGATGTTGCAGTCTAAGGAAGAGTTAGATGTAGCTCAAGCTTTTGAAGAACTTCATATAGATAACCTTTACACATACATGGAACACTGAATCATTTGTTTTGAGTATAACTCTTAAAATATTCTAAGAAATTATTTCCTAATAGAATATAATTATTTGTATTTACTTGGTATATCCTATTAATCTTCATCCATCTATCTCCTAGTTGAATCTTGACATTATCATTGCATAATGCTAAATCAAAAGGTTTTCCTTCGAATCCTATAGCAGTTATTGGGTTTTCACATTTATTCCATACTGGGAAAGCATATGGAAAGCATATGGATGATTCAAGATAAAAAGGAATGTGAGTAACGTCAGCAGTGACGACAGCGCATTTGGATGATTCAGCGCACTATGAGATAGTGGAAAAGTGGACCACTCCACTCAGCTAAAGGAAGAATCCACTGAAGATATTGGTGGACCCAAGTTGCTAAAGCAGATTCTGCACTGACAAAAGAGATGCCCACTACGTGTGGTATAGATATAAAAGATGTAATAGATATTTTGTAAAGAGGATTCCTCTAACCTCTATAAATAATCTGAGAAGGCTTCAGTTAGGGATATCCTAGAAAACCCCCAAGCACAACACTTGAGAGTCTTCATATCCCAAAAAACTATTAGAGGGCAATGTTAGCTTACCGAACTAAAAAAAATCCATTCTTATATGATTATAGTTAGCTTACCGAACGTTATATATATTTCTCATAAATATTTTACTCAACAACGGTTAAAATGTTAAAAAAATCGATGAGTTGCAATGTTCCAAATTGTGAATTGAGATATCAATAAAAAATATATTAATTGTTTCAATTTGGGTGTGAAGGTTTTAAGAGGGCACAACAACTATTTATTTTTCAGAAGATAAGATCTTCGCCTTTATGTGGTCATTACTATTTTTCCTAACCAAGACTGAACTCCAGCTGGCAAAATGGAAAAGTGCATCTAAGATTTATGTGATGCTGCATAAATCTCATGGGTGTGGTATTGGGCTTAAGTCTCACTTTTATGGTAAAACTCTAACCAAGTTGTCCTCATGCTTTTGTACTCGGTTTCCAATAAGTTTCCAATCCGTCACTGCAAATTTAATTACTATTGCTATTGCTAAATGCGATTACTAATTACTAAAAAAAACTAAAATTTTTAATTTCTTTTCAACAATTTTTTTTTGGTGGTGAATTTTTCTAAGGCACGTGTCAGGTTTTATGTCAATTGTCAATATTAATAAAAAAAAATTGGTTAAAAAATAATAGAAAAGTCACATTACAAAAACTATGTTGAAAAAAATCAATTGAGAAAAGAAGAGAGTATTGGTGATGGCAATTGTTCCGCTTCTACATAAGTAATTTATTTTTATAGTTTTTATCATAAAATTAGGTGTGAAGATATAAAAAAATCATTATTTTTTTTAGTTTTACTTACGGTTTGACAATAACAAAATATATACGATATTTTTTAAGATTTTAGTTTGAATATATATATCTGATTATATTATTTGTATTATTTAAAATTTATTTCTTTAATTGTTTGTTTCGTATTAAAATTTTCATCGAGTTAATTTGTTAATTTTATTTGTTAATAAATTTGATTTTTTTTCATATGGCTTTTGAAATAAAATTTTAAAACATGATTGTTTTATTTTTTAAAATATATTATTATAATTTATACGATTGATTATTTTTATGGTTTTTAAATGAGAATAGCATAGTTGCTTATATAAATTATGATGAGAGAGGAAGAGCTAAAAGTTTGTTTTAGATTATTTGACTTAATTTTTTTAAAAAATAATAATCAATTCAAAAAATAATTTGACTTAGTTTTTTTAAAAAAATTAATAATTAGTTAAAAAAATCACATATTTTATTTGGTTATATATATATAATTAGAATTTATCGAAACCAATTTTATAGTAGTTTTTCTTTAAATCTATTCACTTTTATATATTTCATGAGATTTAAGTGGATTTATTTATTTATTTTATATACTACGAATCTGCTAAGTATGATATATATATATATATATATATATATAGTTTTGTCATGTATAAATTATGGTGAGGGAGAGAGAGAGATAAAGAGCTGAAAGTGTGTTTTAGATAATTTGACTTAATTTTTTTAAAAAAAACAATAATCGATTAAAAAAATAATTTGGCTTGTTTTTTTAAATATTAATATTTAGATAAAAAAATTCAAAAATTTTATTTCCTTATATATATATAATAAGAATTTATCGAAACAAATTTTATAATAGTTTTTTATTTAAATCTATTTACTTCGATATATTCCATACGATTTAAGCGGGTTTTTTTTATATATATTTTTATTTATTTTATATGCTATGAATCTGCTAAGTATTATATATAGTTTTGTTAGAAATTAATTATATCTACACACATAACATCAATTATTTGTTATTTATTTTTCTTTTTTTCATATTCTAAAATTTGTATTTTTAAATAAAATAATTTAATTAATGTTTTGAAAGAACCTCTTAATTATTCAAATACAAATTCTTATACTAATATTATAAATTATTTTATTAATAAGTATATATAAATCAAACAAGTTCGCTCGATATATAGATTCGATTTATATTAATTTTCGAAACAAAATATCTATTAGCATCGTACCATATGAATTGTTAATCCTGTGTATATTATGAGATATTCTTATTCAAACCGATAAAAATATGTTCATGTGAGAAACTCAAACCAGATCAAATTTATCAAAAAAAAAAATGAATTTTAGCACCACATGACAAATTTTTTTTTTGTTTTAAAAAAATATTTATTTATAACAAATTACATGAGGTTTGAGTTTTTCAAATGAGAGTATTTTCATCGATTTGCATGGAAATATTTATTAGAAACATAAATAAATAAATAATCTAAAATACAATAACAATTATTAAGAGCAATTAGATTTTTTGAAAAATATTGGAACCAAGATTAAAATATATATAAACTAATTTGTATATAGAAAAATAACAGGTGACCTTCATACCATATATAAACTAGATTTTTTAAAGATATACTGGACCCACGTAATTCAATGAATTTATAAATACAAATATATTTCCATGAGCTTTTTCGGATAAAAGTTCAAACAAATATGTTTTGTATATATTTGAAATCCCATAGTTAAGTTACAATTAGTGATGGGATTACGAAGGAAGCCAAATTTATGCAAAACATATTTAAAAAAATCCCCAAAAGAGATTAATTTTAATCAAATAAAATCTCAAGAAAAAGAAAAAAAGGCAAAAGAAGTACTAACATGAAGACAAAGCAAATCGATAAAAAAAAAAAAAAAAAGAAATGAAAACAAAAGAAACAGAAAACAAAGAACCGTAAATGGAATCTCCCTCTCTCTATGGTTAAAAAATAAAAAATAAAAAATAAAATAAAAACAATAAATGGAAATGAGAAGGAAAAAAGTTTAAAGACACAGGACATTAATTTATGAGTAAATTATAACTAGCTGTTATATTTTTAAGAAACAAATAATATAGTTGGTCTAGTTAACAAATATAATCCACAAATCCCTATACTGTCACAAATGTTAAGAACTTGGTCCCTCCGTTAACCTTTGTTAAGGAAAATCCGAGCAGCACTAGCATTTCGTTAGTTTTTGACGGCGTAATGTGATTAAATTAAATGATTAATTGATTACTTTAAAATGTCGAAGGATTAGTATATTTGTTTGAAAGAAACCCAAGGACTAGGCTATAATAATTAAGTCAAATTTCGATCATCATATGCGTATGAGTGTTTGCTTTTGTAAATAGCTTGGGAGGAATCTGAAAAAGAAGAAATCATATATTTGGTTCTGTTCGCTTTGGTCCCATACACCCCACCTCACCGAACTCACTTCTCTCTCTTTCCCCTCCTCCGCCTGTCTACGCCTCTCGGAAAACACCACCTACGCCGATAAGGGCTTCAAATCTCCAGCAGGTGACTTCTTTTCTATTATGTTTTTGTTTTTAAAAATTTATGCGTGTGTTTTTATTTATTTACTTATAATTATTATTCAAGAGATAATTCAATTTTAATAAATAAATAAACAATCCGATTCGATGAAATCCGATCTGGTGAACCCAATTCGTTGAAGGTACAATCGGCCAATTCTAATGTTTTCTTTTCGATTTTCAGCTTAATTTCCACGAACTGATCCCCTTTTTGTTAAATTCATTATTATTATTATTATTATTAATCTCTGAATTCTGGAACCCTAATTTATCTCATTTTCATTTCCTTTTAGTTTCGTTTTAAAGTGGAAAATAATTCATCTTTTTCTTTAGGTTTGATTCATTCTTTGTTAAATAGCATTTGCAGCAGCAGACTAATATATACTCTGGACTGGAAAAGATATTACAGTACGAATGACCGTGAATGGAGCTGTTTGATTGATTCTTTTTGTTTGACCTTTACTGAATTCTTCAAAATTATTATGTTTTTAACACTAATATGATCTCTTTGGATTTCATGCTTGCTCGCACATGGGAAAAAAGAAAGAAAAGAAACGAAAATTTTGCACAGTGCTCATGTTACGGTGGAATAAAAAAACGTGCTACAATAAACCTACATGACGTGTCTTTCCTAATTTTAGAATTTAATAGATTTCTTAAATAGCCAACTAGTTATTGATCTTCTTTTTAGGACTGCCCAGCTAATATTATGAGTATAAGGTGAATCCTCGTATTGGACAGTTATGCCTAACTAATAGCTATGTTGTGATCGCTTGAGTTGAAATTTAAGAGCTTGCGGAAGTGGAAAGCAGTTGGTTGCGTTCACTTCACCGCAAAGGTATTCTAGTAATGGATCTATCTATTGAAGTAAAAATTGGTAAGTACCCGAAAAGTTGCTGTGCTGAATCTAAATTGGTAAGAGGTGCTGAACTGATATCTAGAACATAAATGATCCTATCTATTGAAGTAAAGCATTTAAATGTGATTACAATTGTTTTGGAATATTAAATATCTATTTTGATCAGAAACTGAGAACCTAAAACCAGAAGGAATCGAAGTAAAAGCTTGTTGTTGTAAACATTGCATCGATGACGTATCACAAGCGTCACTAGAAAAGAACAAGTTAAACTTGAAGCACCATGAGTTTGTCCTTGATTTGGCTTACCAACGCTCACCATCAATCAATGCGGCAAGTTATGAGATAGCTGACTATGTATCTTTGGATTTAGAAGTACCATGAAGTTGGGTTAAAATCTTGCTTAGAATGCCTGAATACCCAAGATCCTCGCTCCTTGCGCTGAATGGTTGTGTATCTTTGTTATGCCTATTCAGACTTTATGCATCCTATGATGATGTATTTGCAAGCATTCTCTAATAAAGTAACTGCTATTAAATGGAGGTTTTTTTAAAAAAAATAAAGAAAAAAGCTATTCAAGGCTGAGTAGTTTGATATTCTAAATGACCTTGATGCAGTCTTACTTTTACTGTTCTTCACTTTTTTTTTATTATTTATTTTTATGGTCTATTCTAAAATGTGATATGATATGATATTTTGTTGTAGTGATAGAAGTGGTTGTCTTTGGTTGCTGAAACCTCATGGATGCCAATTGGAGGCCCACTGCCCCAGGCAGAGAACATGTCATGGACACAGGTGATTGGAGAACTCAATTGCAGCCTGACTCACGCCAAAGAATAGTCAACAAAATGTAAGTATTTGTTTCCGAATATGTGCAGTGCTGCAAAATATTAAAGTTCATTTTTATAAGAAAGAAAAAGAGAAGGGGAAAAGGTTAATAAAAATCAGCAGGACTGCCATGAGGCAACCTCAATCACACCCCTCCCCCACCCCCCACCCTTTTATGTGTGTTTAACAGGAAGCAAACTTGAGCCATAAAGTTAATGATTCGATCTCAAATATCAGCAAGAATGCCATGAGGCAACCCCAAGTATCATACATCTCTTTTTTTCGTGAGTGTTTAACAAGAAGATAACTTGAGGAAATCAAAAGTGTTGGCAAAGTAAATTTTGTTTGAACTTCTTGTGTAATCTCTTCTTTTGACGATGACCTCTTGGATTGTTGCATGAAGCTTGTTCCGCTTGAAATTCCAAAGTTCATCCATTGCTATGAGCATGCATGTTTCAATTGGAAACTCGATTTGCAACTGAACTTAAAATGAGAAGTGTTGGATTTGGGCCTTCTATAGGGTTTAAAGGATAGTGATCTTAGAGAACAAAAGCAACAAACGGAAATCAATTAGCCGCAATAGTCTGGTTTCCTAGTTTCTCATTATAGTGTTGAAGGTTTTGATGACTTCTCTACACCCAAAACCATATAGACAACTACTGCTGGCACTAGCGATGGCCAGGGAGTACCATAGAGTATGCATTGCAGAGTGAGATAAGGTAAGCTTATTGCAGTTTCTTAAATTGATAAGATTTCTCCTCTTTTCTCTGTCAATCACAGTGTAAGTATAGAAGTTTTCTTACTCAAAAGTAGATGCAATTGTAATGTTTGCACAGAGACATCCCCAGTTAGCAACGAATTCAGTTATATATCTTAGAACATTGCTGTAAATGAAAGGTGCTTCTAGTTCAAAAAAATTAAGCACGAAGCTAGTAAATGGAATTTGAAGACTTACAGGTGGTGTACTCTGTACCTACAGAATAATATGGGGAAAGGAAGTAAAATAGATGTCTATGTACCATATATTACTTGACTGGCGCTTGCTTATCTCAATATTTATGTTTATTATTTTTCAATTGATTCAATATATCCATTTCTGATATTGGTGTGGTATATGAGTGGTAGGTTTTTTCTTGCTGCTGCTAACATCTATACTTTCCTGGTCATTAAAAATTTAAACATAATTTATTTTCTGCGCAGCATGGAGACATTAAAGAGACATCTTCCATTTTCTGGTCAAGAGGGACTACAAGAACTCAAGAAAATTGCCGTACGGTTTGAGGAAAAGATCTATACTGCTGCAACGAGTCAGGTATTTGCCTGATGCTAGGTTAAGTAATTTCGATAATCTCAAGACATGAATATATACATGCACAAGCGCATAGATTTATGCATTCACAACTGTATGTGCAGTCTGCCCTTGCTCCCTCACTGTTCATTCTGTATGCAAGCCTGATTAGGAGTGTGCATCTTTTTTAATTCTCCTGATAAGTGTTTTATTTAGAGTGACCAGGTCCGTTTCAAGTACAAGGGAAGTGTGCAAAAAGCAGCATTGTGGAACAGATAAAATAAAATAGCAAAGTTATAAATAAATAATTAAATAAAAAGAGGAGAAATAATAGGAGATCGATCCTCAAGGAAGATGCAAATACAGAACGCCTAGCATATTAGAATGATAGAGCACATGCCCTTCCCCCTTCTCTTGAAATGTAACATGGATTGCTCTGAGATCTGACGTTTTGTTATTGATATCTGATTTCAGTCTGATTATCTGCGAAAAATATCTCTGAAGATGCTTACTATGGAGACCAAGTCTCAACCCAATTCTTTGCCATCCAACTCCGCTGGCAATGGTAACAAACCCCTGGATCCAGGAGGTAATGATGCAGCCAAACATTGAATTTCTAAACAATTCACCTTTTGTTTTAATTTTTTTGTCAGCACTGTTTTACTTTTTTTTTTTTTTGCTGCATACTGCTATGTAGATGTCATGCGTTAGTTAAAAAGTTGAACAATTGATGAATGTTAGGTGAGAAAGTCCATATTATTATTTTTTGCTGCCTCCTCCTCCCCTCCTCTCCAAAAAGACAAATTGTTAAATGCCGCTTTTATGCTCTGAACATCTTAATTCTTTCCCTCATGCCTCTACATATGCAGTACTGGTGGTTTTACATGGTTTTCCCTTTTTGCCTTGTATATTGATCAGCATCTCACGGCATCCAGCCTCAAGTTCACAATCAAGGGCAGTCACTCCCCATCTCATTGTCCGCTAATCAGTCTCAAGCACGTCAGCAATTGTTATCACAGAACATACAGAATAGTATGGCATCTAATGGAGTTCAAAGTTCTGCCGGTTTAGCATCAGCAATGCCTCCTGTCTCTAGTTTAACTCAGGCTATCCCCAACACAGTTGGCCAGAATCCTAACATGCAGAGTATCTCTGGTGTTTCGCAGAACCCAGTGGGGAATTCAATGGGACAAGGGGTGCCCTCCAGTATGTTTGCCAATTCTCAGAGACAAATGGCAGGTAGGCAACAGGTTGTTCCTCCTCAGCAACAACAGCAGTCTCCAAATCCTCAGCAGTTTCTTTATCAGCAGCAGTTACAACAGCATCTTTTGAAGCAGAAGCTTCAACAGGGAAATCTCCAGCACTCACTTGTGCAATCTCACATCCAGCAGCAGCAGCAGCAGCAACAACAACAGCAGCAGCAGCAGCAAAACCTGTTGCAGTCAAATCAGTTGCAATCTTCTCAGCAATCTGGTCTGCAAACATCATCTGTTATGCAGCCTTCAATGATGCAATCGGCTCCTATATCTGGTCTTCAACAGAATCAACCATCTTCTATTCAACAGTCAACACAACCCATGCTTCAGCAACATCCACAATCAGTCCTCAGGCAGCAGCAACAATCGCAACAGGCTGCTGGTATTCATCAGCAGCAAACACCAATGATGCAGCAGCCACTATTGTCTACACAGCAGCAGCTAATGGGGCAACATTCAAATGCCACTAACATGCCGCAGAGTCAGTTAATTGGACAACAAAACATTGTTGGGGACTTGCAGCAGCAGCAGCAGAGGTTGCTAGGCCAGCAGAATAACCTTCAAAATCTACAGCAGCAGCAGCAGCAGTTAATGGCTCAACAAAATAACCTCTCAAGCATGCATCAGCAACAGTTGGGCCCTCAAATTAATATCTCTGGCTTACAGCAGCAGCAGTTGCTTGGAGCTCAGTCTGGTAACTCAACCATGCAACCTAATCAGCACTCTGAACATATGCTGCAACAGCCCAAGGTTACAATGCAGCAACAAGCACAACAAAATGCAAGTACTTTGTTGCGAAATCAAGGGCAGCAGTCACAGCAGCAATTGATGTCACAGATCCAGGAGCTAAATAATGCAGCCAAGCTTAGAATTTCTAATTTTTGTGTTGTTATCGCTCTTTTATTTCTTTTCTTTTTTGCTGCATGCTGCTATGTAAGCCTCATGGAGTTATTAATTGCTCATTAATTTGCCCTTTTATTTTTAGTTTTCCTTGTAAACTTGATTTACAAACTCGTTCTTAAAATTTAGAAAATCTACAATCAAATCCTTCAATATTAGAACCAATAATAAGTAAAAATTCCAAATTATGCCCCCATGTGCTTTAGTAGTTTCGCATATCCTTGCTTACAAGGAGAACGTCAGATTTTAAAAGTTTTAAGTATCGGGTGTTTAGCGGTAGTGGACAAGACATAACTAGATACAAAAATTCTAGTATGCCCCTGTATTGTCTTTGTCTTCTTTTTAAGACGAAAATAGCTGGCATATGGGATGAAGAACTTTCTTACACATTGCACTGCACTACGCATATTTTATGTTATAAAAACCATTTTTTAAATTTTAATTACTTCCTCCACCTTTTGTTTTGCCATTACGCTTTACACATTAAATTTTTAAAAATTATGATTTACGTCGTAAGACTAAAAAAATTTGTTTCTAAAAAAGTTAAAATCTAAAAATACCCTTGTTTAAAGAAAAATGATAAAAAAAGAATTATTATCTCAGCCATTTCTCTCTCAACCACCAAACTTTATAAAAAAAATAAAAAAATAAAAGAGTTGGGATAGTTCACTATTTATGACACTATATGTGAGAAATTTTAAAATTTAAAGAATTAATTATCAATAGTATAAAAGAATTATAATCTCAATTTTTAACTAACTTGTGGCAAAAAATGAATCTCACTTGAATTATTCATTAAAAAAAATCTTTTTTTTTTTTTTGTTTAGAGAAAACTACAATTTGAATTCTTAACTTTTAATTATTTTTCTGTTTGATTGCCTAGAGTTTGTTTGTTTTTTTTTTTTTTCATATATTTATATTTGAGTTGTCTCAACCACCCAATATTAAAAAATTCTGACGTGGTCAAGATCTATTTATGCACGACCATTTTTGATTGACATGTGACAAAAAGTGATTCTCGTTTGGATTTATTAAAAAAATATATAAAATATATAAAATTTTTATAAAAGAAATAATTGCCCATGATTAAAAAAAATAAAATTAATTACTGTTAGTTGAATGAATTTGACAAGTTTGCTAATCAATTTCGTAAAATATTTCCGAGTTATAATCATCTAAAAATTTTCTTTGCATATTATAAGAGTTTTAATTTTGGATTATCTAAACAAATCGAGTTCATTCGGCTAACAATAATTTATTTTGATTTATTTTTTTAATTTTTGTCAACTATTTTCTTTTATAAATGTGTTATACATTTTTATTATAAATATGAGTGTGACTTCTTTTTTATCTCGTGTTAGTTAAAAATTGCTGCATATAAGTGGATTTTAATAGTGGCAGTATTTTTCAGTCTCAAGTAGCTAATATAACTCAAATAGAAAAAAAAAATAATCAAACGTTTGGAACTCAAAAATAAAAATAATCTAAGGTTAGACACTCAAATTGTGTTTTTTTTAATAATCCAAATAGAATCCACTTTTTGTCTCGTGTCACTCGAACTATTATATGATAATTTATTTTAGACATATCAATATTTTTCAATATCAGGTGATTATGGACACTAAAAAAAAAAACCGATGTTTGGATACTAAAATTGTAGTTTTTTTTTAATTTAAAACTAAAAAAAAGAGAGAGAGAGAGAGAGAGAAATCCATTCTTATATGATTATAGTTAGCTTACCGAACGTTATATATATTTCTCATAAATATTTTACTCAACAACGGTTAAAATGTAAAAAAAATCGATGAGTTGCAATGTTCCAAATTGTGAATTGAGATATCAATAAAAAATATATTAATTGTTTCAATTTGGGTATGAAGGTTTTAAGAGGGCACAACAACTATTTATTTTTCAGAAGATAAGATCTTCGCCTTGACGTGGTCATTACAATTTTCCTAACCAAGACTGAACTCCAGCCGGCAAAATGGAAAAGTGCATCTTAAGATTTATGTGATGCTGCATAAATCTCATGGGTGTGGTATTGGGCTTAAGTCTCACTTTTATGGTAAAACTCTAACCAAGTTGTCCTCGTGCTTTTGTACTAAGTTTCCAATCCGTCGCTGCAAATTTAATTACTATTACTATTACTAATTACTAAAAAAAACTAAATTTTTTATTTTCTTTTCAACAATTTTTTTTTTTGTGGTGAATTTTTCTAAGGCATGTGTCAGTTTTTATGTCAATTGTCAATATTAATAATAAAAAAAATTGGTTAAAAAATAATAGAAAAGTCACATTACAAAAACTATGTTGAAAAAAATCAATTGAGAAAAGAAGGGAGGATTGGTGATGGCAATTGTTCCCCTTCTACATAAGTAATTTATTTTTATAGTTTTTATCATGAAATTAGGTGTGAGGATATAAAAAAATCATTATTTTTTTTTAGTTTTACGTACGGTTTGACGATAACAAAATATATATGATATTTTTTAAGATTTTAGTTTGAACATATATATTTAATTATATTATTTTTATTATTTAAAATTTATTTCTTCAATTGTTTGTTTCGTATTAAAATTTTCATCGAGTTAATTTATTAATTTTATTTGTTAATAAATTTGATTTTTTTACATATGGCTTTTGAAATAAAATTTTAGAACATGATTGTTTTATTTTTTAAAATATATTATTATAATTTATACGATTGATTATTTTTATGGTTTTTAAATGAGAATAGCATAGGTGCTTATATAAATTATGATGAGTGAGGAAGAGCTAAAAGTGTGTTTTAGATTATTTGACTTAATTTTTTTAAAAAATAATAATCAATTCAAAAAATAATTTGACTTAGTTTTTTTTAAAAATTAACAATTAGTTAAAAAAATCACATATTTTATTTGGTTATATATATATATATATATATATATATTCAGAATTTATCGAAACCAATTTTATATTAGTTTTTCTTTAAATCTATTCACTTTGATATATTTCATGAGATTTAAGTGGATTTTTTAATTTATTTTGTATACTACGAATCTGCTAAGTATGATATATATATATATATATATATATATAGTTTTGTCATGTATAAATTATGGCGAGGGAGAGAGAGAGATAAAGAGCTAAAAGTGTGTTTTAGATAATTTTATTTAATTTTTTTTTAAATAATAATCAGTTAAAAAAATAATTTGGCTCGTTTTTTTTATAAATATTAATAATTAGATAAAAAATTCAAAAATTTTATTTCCTTATATATATATATATAATCAGAATTTATCGAAACCAATTTTATAATAGTTTTTATTTAAATCTATTTACTTTGATATATTCCATACGATTTAAGCGGATTTTTTATATATTTATTTATTTAAGTTATATGCTCTAAATATGCTAAGTATTATATATAGTTTTGTTAGAAATTAATTATATCTACACACATAACATCAATTATTATTTATTTATTTTTCTTTTTTTCATATTCTAAAATTTGTATTTTTAAATAAAATAATTTAATTAATGTTTTGAAAAAACCTCTTAATTATTCAAATACAAATTTTTTTACTAATATTATAAATTATTTTGTTAATAAATATATATAAATCAAACAAGTTCGCTCAATATATAGATTCGATTTATATTAATTTTTAGAAACAAAATATCTATTCGCATCATACCATACGAATTGTTAATCCTGTGTATATTATGAGATATTCTTAGTCAAACCGATAAAAATATGTTCATGTGAGAAACTCAAACCAAATCAAATTTATATATAAAAAAAAATGAATTTTCGCACCACATGACAATTTGTTTTTTTTTTTTAAAAAAAATTATTTATTTATAAAAAATCACATGAGGTTTGAGTTTTTCAAATGAGAGTAATTTCATCGGTTTGCATGGAAATATTTATCAGAAAGATAAATAAATAAATAATCTAAAATACAATAACAGTTATTAAGAGCAATTAGATTTTTAAAAATATATTGGAATCAAGATTAAAATATATAAACTAATTTGTATATAGAAAAATAACAGGTGACCTTCATACCATATCTAAACTAGATTTTTTAAAGATATACTAGACCGACGTAATTCAATGAATTTATAAATATAAATATATTTCCATGAGCTTTTTCGGATAAAATATTTTTCTAACAAATATGTTTTGTATATATTTGAAATCCCAAAGTTAAGTTACAATTAGTGACGAGATTATGAATAATTTTAATCAAATAAAATCTCAAGAAAAAGAAAAAAGGCAAAAGAAGTACTAACATGAAGACAAAGGAAATCGATAAAAAAAAAAAAAATGAAATGAAAACAAAAGAAACAGAAAATAAAGAGCTGTAAATGGAATCTCCCTCTCTCTATGGTTAAAAAATAAAAAATAAAATAAAAACACTAAATGGAAATGAGAAGGAAAAAAGTTTAGAGACACAGGACATTAATTTATGAGTAAATTATAACTAGCTGTTATATTTTTAAGAAACAAATAATATAGTTAGTCTAGTTAACAAATATAATCCACAAATCCCTATACTGTCACAAATGTAAAAAACTTGGTCCCTCCGTTAACCTTTTGTTAAGGAAAATCCGAGCGGCACTAGCATTTCGTTAGTTTTTGACGGCGTAATGTGATGAAATTAAATGATTAATTGATTACTTTAAAATGTCGAAGGATTAGTATATTTGTTTGAAAGAAACCCAAGGACTAGGCTATAATAATTAAGTCAAATTTCGATCATCATATGCGTATTAGTGTTTGCTTTTGTAAATAGCTTGGGAGGAATCTGAAAAAGAAGAAATCATATATTTGGTTCTGTTCGCTTTGGTCCCATACACCCCACCTCACCGAACTCACTTCTCTCTCTCCCCTCCTCCGCCTGTCTACGCCTCTCGGAAAACACCACCTCCGCCGATAAGGGCTTCAAATCTCCAGCAGGTGACTTCTTTTCTATTATGTTTTTGTTTTTAAAAATTTATGCGTGTGTTTTTATTTATTTACTTATAATTATTATTCAAGAGATAATTCAATTTTAATAAATAAATAAACAATCCGATTCGATGAAATCCGATCTGGTGAACCCAATTCGTTGCAGGTACAATCGGCCAATTCTAATGTTTTCTTTTCGATATTTCAGCTTAATTTCCACGAACTGATCCCCTTTTTGTTAAATTTATTATTATTATTATTATTAATCTCTGAATTCTGGAACCCTAATTTATCTCATTTTCATTTCCTTTTAGTTTCGTTTTAAAGTGGAAAATAATTCATATTTTTCTTTAGGTTTGATTCATTCTTTGTTAAATAGCATTTGCAGCAGCAGACTAATATATACTCTGGACTGGAAAAGATATTACAGTACGAATGACCGTGAATGGAGCTGTTTGATTGATTCTTTTTGTTTGACCTTTACTGAATTCTTCAAAATTATTATGTTTTTAACACTAATATGATCTCTTTGGATTTCATGCTTGCTCGCACATGGAAAAAAAGAAAGAAAAGAAACGAAAATTTTGCACAGTGCTCATGTTACGGTGGAATAAAAAAATGTGCTACAATAACCCTCCATGACGTGTCTTTCCTAATTTTAGAATTTAATAGATTTCTTAAATAGCCAACTAGTTATTGATCTTCTTTTTAGGACTGCCCAGCTAATATTATGAGTATGAGGTGAATCCTCGTATTGGACAGTTATGCCTAACTAATAGCTATGTTGTGATCGCTTGAGTTGAAATTTAAGAGCTTGCGGAAGTGGAAAGCAATTGGTTGCGTTCACTTCACCGCAAAGGTATTCTAGTAATGTATCTATCTATTGAAGTAAAAATTGGTAAGTACCCGAAAAGTTGCTGTGCTGAATCTAAATTGGTAAGAGGTGCTGAACTGATATCTAGAACATAAATGATCCTATCTATTGAAGTAAAGCATTTAAATGTGATTACAATTGTTTTGGAATATTAAATATCTATTTTGATCAGAAACTGAGAACCTAAAACCAAAAGGAATCGAAGTAAAAGCTTGTTGTTGTAAACATTGCATCGATGACGTATCACAAGCGTCACTAGAAAAGAACAAGTTAAACTTGAAGCACCATGAGTTTGTCCTTGATTTGGCTTACCAACGCTCACCATCAATCAATGCGGCAAGTTATGAGATAGCTGACTATGTATCTTTGGATTTAGAAGTACCATGAAGTTGGGTTAAAATCTTGCTTAGAATGCCTGAATACCCAAGATCCTCGCTCCTTGCGCTGAATGGTTGTGTATCTTTGTTATGCCTATTCAGACTTTATGCATCCTATGATGATGTATTTGCAAGCATTCTCTAATAAAGTAACTGCTATTAAATGGAGGTTTTTTTAAAAAAAATAAAGAAAAAAGCTATTCAAGGCTGAGTAGTTTGATATTCTAAATGACCTTGATGCAGTCTTAATTTTACTGTTCTTCACTTTTTTTTTATTATTTATTTTTATGGTCTATTCTAAAATGTGATATGATATTTTGTTGTAGTGATAGAAGTGGTTGTCTTTGGTTGCTGAAACCTCATGGATGCCAATTGGAGGCCCACTGCCTCAGGCGGAGAACCTGTCATGGACACGGGTGATTGGAGAACTCAATTGCAGCCTGACTCACGCCAAAGAATAGTCAACAAAATGTAAGTATTTGTTTCCTAATATGTGCAGTGCTGCAAAATATTAAAGTTCATTTTTATAAGAAAGAAAAAGAGAAGGGGAAAAGGTTAATAAAAATCAGCAGGACTGCCATGAGGCAACCTCAATCACACCCATCCCCCACCCCACCCCCACCCTTTTATGTGTGTTTAACAGGAAGCAAACTTGAGCCATAAAGTTAATGATTCGATCTCAAATATCAGCAAGAATGTCATGAGGCAACCCCAAGTATCATACATCTCTTTTTTTCGTGAGTGTTTAACAAGAAGATAACTTGAGGAAATCAAAAGTGTTGGCAAAGTAAATTTTGTTTGAACTTCTTGTGTAATCTCTTCTTTTGACGATGACCTCTTGGATTGTTGCATGAAGCTTGTTCTGCTTGAAATTTCAAAGTTAATCCATTGCTATGAGCATGCATGTTTCAATTGGAAACTCGATTTGCAACTGAACTTAAAATGAGAAGTGTTGGATTTGGGCCTTCTATAGGGTTTAAAGGATAGTGATCTTAGAGTACAAAAGCAACAAACGGAAATCAATTAGCCGCAATAGTCTGGTTTCCTAGTTTCTCATTATAGTGTTGAAGGTTTTGATGACTTCTCTACACCCAAAACCATATAGACAACTACTGCTGGCACTGGCGATGGCCAGGGAGTACCATAGAGTATATATTGCAGGGTGAGATAAGGTAAACTTATTGCAGTTTCTTAAATTGGTAAGATTTCTCCTCTTTTCTCTGTCAATCACAGTGTAAGTATAGAAGTTTTCTTACTCAAAAGTAGATGCAATTGTAATGTTTGCACAGAGACATCCCCAGTTAGCAATGAATTCAGTTATATATCTTAGAACATTGCTGTAAATGAAAGGTGCTTCTAGTTCAAAAAAATTAAGCACGAAGCTAGTAAATGGAATTTGAAGACTTACAGGTGGTGTACTCTGTACCTACAGAATAATATGGGGAAAGGAAGTAAAATAGATGTCTATGTACCATATATTACTTGACTGGCGCTTGCTTATCTCAATATTTATGTTTATTATTTTTCAATTGATTCAATATATACATTTCTGATATTGGTGTGGTATATGAGTGGAAGGTTCTTTCTTGCTGCTGCTAACATCTATACTTTCCTGGTCATTAAAAATTTAAACATAATTTATTTTCTGCGCAGCATGGAGACATTAAAGAGACATCTTCCATTTTCTGGTCAAGAGGGACTACAAGAACTCAAGAAAATTGCCGTACGGTTTGAGGAAAAGATCTATGCTGCTGCAACGAGTCAGGTATTTGCCTGATGCTAGGTTAAGTAATTTCGATAATCTCAAGACATGAATATATACATGCACAAGCGCATAGATTTATGCATTCACAACTGTATGTGCAGTCTGCCCTTGCTCCCTCACTGTTCATTCTGTAAGCAAGCCTGATTAGGAGTATGCATCTTTTTTAATTCTCTTGATAAGTGTTTTATTTAGAGTGACCAGGTGCATTTCAAGTACAAGGGAAGTGTGCAAAAAGCAGCATTGTGGAACAGATAAAATAAAATAGCAAAGTTATAAATAAATAATTAAATAAAAAGAGGAGAAATAGTAGGAGATCGATCCTCAAGGAAGATGCAAATACAAAAAGCCTAGCATATCAGAATGATAGAGCACATGCCCTTCCCCCTTCTCTTGAAATGTAACATGGATTGCTCTGAGATCTGATGTGTTGTTATTGATATCTGATTTCAGTCTGATTATCTACGAAAAATATCTCTGAAGATGCTTACTATGGAGACCAAGTCTCAACCCAATTCTTTGCCATCCAACTCCGCTGGCAATGGTAACAAACCCCTGGATCCAGGAGGTAATGATGCAGCCAAACATTGAATTTCTAAACAATTCACCTTTTGTTTTAATTTTTTTGTTAGCACTGTTTTACATTTTTATTTTTTTTGCTGCATACTGCTATGTAGATGTCATGCGTTAGTTAAAAAGTTGAACAATTGATGAATGTTAGGTGAGAAAGTCCATATTATTTTTTTTCTGCCTCCTCCTCCCCTCCTCTCCAAAAAGACAAATTGTTAAATGCCGCTTTTATGCTCTGAACATCTTAATTCTTTCCCTCATGCCTCTACATATGCAGTACTGGTGGTTTTATTTTTGTCTTTGACATGGTTTTCCCTTTTTGCCTTGTATATTGATCAGTATCTCACGGCATCCAGCCTCAAGTTCACAATCAAGGGCAGTCACTCCCCATCTCATTGTCCGCTAATCAGTCTCAAGCACGTCAGCAATTGTTATCACAGAACATACAGAATAATATGGCATCTAATGGAGTTCAAAGTTCTGCCGGTTTAGCATCAGCAATGCCTCCTGTCTCTAGTTTAACTCAGGCTATACCTAACACAGTCGGCCAGAATCCTAACATGCAGAGTATCTCTGGTGTTTCACAGAACCCAGTGGGGAATTCAATGGGACAAGGGGTGCCCTCCAATATGTTTGCCAATTCTCAGAGACAAATGTCAGGTAGGCAACAGGTTGTTCCTCCTCAGCAACAACAGCAGTCTCAAAATCCTCAGCAGTTTCTTTATCAGCAGCAGGTACAACAGCATCTTTTTAAGCAGAAGCTTCAACAGGGAAATCTCCAGCACTCACTTGTGCAATCTCAGATCCAGCAGCAGCAGCAGCAACAACAGCAGCAGCAAAACCTGTTGCAGTCAAATCAGTTGCAATCTTCTCAGCAATCTGGTCTGCAAACATCATCTGTTATGCAGCCTTCAATGATGCAATCGGCTCCTATATCTGCTCTTCAACAGAATCAACCATCTTCCATTCAACAGTCAACACAACCCATGCTTCAGCAACATCCACAATCAGTCCTCAGGCAGCAGCAACAATCGCAACAGGCTGCTGGTATTCATCAGCAGCAAACACCAATGATGCAGCAGCCACTATTGTCTACACAGCAGCAGCTAATGGGGCAACATTCAAATACCACTAACATGCCGCAGAGTCAGTTAATTGGACAACAAAACATTGTTGGGGACTTGCAGCAGCAGCAGCAGCAGCAGAGGTTGCTAGGCCAGCAGAATAACCTTCAAAATCTACAGCAGCAGCAACAGCAGCAGCAGTTAATGGCTCAACAAAATAACCTCTCAAGCATGCATCAGCAACAGTTGGGCCCCCAAAGTAATATCTCTGGCTTACAGCAGCAGCAGTTGCTTGGAGCTCAGTCTGGTAACTCAACCATGCAGCCTAACCAGCACTCTGTACATATGCTGCAACAGCCCAAGGTTACACTGCAGCAACAAGCACAACAAAATGCAAGCACTTTGTTGCCAAATCAAGGGCAGCAGTCACAGCAGCAATTGATGTCACAGATCCAATCGCAGCCAACGCAGCTGCAACAGCAGCTGGGTTTGCAACAGCAATCGAATCCATCACAACGTGATCTGCAGCAAAGGCTTCAAGCATCGGGTTCCTTGCTTCAACAGCAGAATGTGATTGATCAGCAAAAACAGTTATATCAATCTCAAAGACCCCCTCCAGAGACGTCCTCAAGTAAGTTATTTCACCTGTGCTGCTTCCTAGCCTTTCTCCAACTGTACTTTTGCAGTTTTGTGCTTTCATGTTAAATTATAACATTTATTTACCAATATGATAATATTTCAAGTCAGTAATGCCCTTGTTGGTAGCTTTATGTGCTGCTGCTGCCACTGATGGCATTAGTAATGTCACTGTTATTGAAACCATTGCTACAATCACACACCATATTCGTTACCACATCATTCCATCCAGTGCATTGCACCGACTGTTCGCCTTTCATTTTGAATTTAACGGACAAGAATTTAAAAATATCTCTAAATGGATAATGCATTTGATGCTAGGGGAACTAATAAGCTAACTGATTTTATAGGAAGAAAGAAATTAGTAAGTGGATTAACTCTATGAGTTGTTAAGGTGTGGTATACTGATAAATCATTACCTAGCTGGAAATTTTTCATGATTTCCTCCTCAATGCTAACTCTGTAATGAATGTGAAGTCTTTCATTGTTAACTTTTTAAGGAACAAGGACTGTGATGCATGCTATTCTATATTTTATGAGATGGTTGATTTTAAAGATTTTCCTGGGTACGAGGTAACGTGTCACTTTCCTTTTGTTTGGGCTTGTAATCCTTTCATGGCTACTAGAAATAAAAATGCAATTTCGATTTTGCCTTTTATGCTCTCAAGGCTTCTTGAAGAATTTCTGAATATTTGGGTGGCATACTTCTTATGTACTTCCTGCATCCTTAGGTGCTACCTGTATTTTTTCTTTCTTCTGCCTGCTAAACCCTGCTACCATCCAGTTCTTGTTTGTTGAACTGATAGAACTATAGATTTCTTCTAGTTTGGGCCCCCTTTGTGTTGAGCTGCTATCTCTTGCTTTTCTTATGTGAGAAAGTAATCGAGCCTTTTATATTTACACACACACACACACACACACACACACACATAAACACTTGTTGGAGGTAGGAGCAATTTTTTGTTCATAAAGTCTCTCCGTCTGATTGAACGATGATATAAATTTAGATGGAGTTTCTAGTACTCCAAGTCCAACAAGGACTTGTATTCCCATGTTAGAAAATACTAATAGTCCTATGTAGAATGGGAATTACCTAATAAAGCTCATTATTCTTTAGGAATGATAAATTCTAAATAGAAAACAAAACAGAGACCTTGATTCTACAAGAATCACACAAAACTACAGTACAGTCTATTGGTCTACCAACATTGCAGAAATTACAGAAAAATACATGAATTCTGATCTTTTGTTATCTGCATAAAATTTTGTAGCATCCCTAGATTCTAAAGCACAGACTGGACATGCGAATGGCGCTGATTGGCAAGAGGAGATCTACCAAAAGGTGATTTCTGTAATTGCTGTTCATTGGATGAGTTCAATTATGTCATAGTCTTGCAAGCCTTTAATGGAAAAAGTCGCCTGGGATTTGGGACAAGGGAATTTTATTCAGTTATGCTGGGATTAGTTAGGAAGCATTGTAATTTCCATGATGACAGCAAGTAAGAAATGATATATTACTGATAAGATGAATAAAGGTGAACTAGGTCAAGAGAATTGCTTTCTTGTTTCTGACACGACAATTTTTTATTGTGAACCTCTGCCTTTTGATTCTTTTTCTTTCTTTCCATTTTTTTGTTGTGTGGTGAATTTTTATTTTAATATTTCCAATGACTCCAGATGACAGTACTTCTTACTGTAATTGTCAGACTTGAAAACAAAAGTGAAATTATTTCGGAATGACTTACAGTGATCTCATGTGAAGTGAACAGTTATCTACAGGATTACAGTCAAATTCATTCTAAACTTGTGATTAAAGCAAGAAAAAAAAAAAAAAAACTGGACCTAATTCACTGAATCATGACCATATCCAGTATTGTTGAATTCTATTGAAAATGAGATTGAAATTCTGAATTTTTTAATAGCCATCGTCTTAAGTCATAACTGCAGATTTGAGGAGGACAATTTTTTTGTGCTTAGGTGATTGTACTAACGGGATAGGAGCTGTTCTTGTTATCTTACATAGGGTCACTTTTAGGATCTCAAGGCTTATTAAGTCTAAAGTTGTAAGGGCTAACGAGTATCACCAAAGTTGTCACGTCCATTGTCTGGAGGGAGGACAATAGAAAACAATGATGAGTGGTTTGGAGGGAGACAAAGTAACTGAACTTAACCAACCCCTGAATCTAGTCTGAAGGTGTAAATTACACAAAGTCCTTTACGTCTTTCCATTCCATCAAATAACAAGATCCTCTTTCAAGTTTTCAGCTTTGATATCCCCTCTGCTATTGCCATCTGCACTAATTTATGTCGTCCTCTACCTTTTTTTTATTGATTCTCTGAAGTTTGTTTGTGACATTTTCTTTCTGGTTGTTGCCCCGAAGAAATGAAGCATTTGACTGATAATGTTTTGCTGGTTATCTGTACTTTCTAGATCAAAGTCATGAAGGAGACGTATTTCCCTGAAATAAATGAAATGTACCAGAGAATCGCTGCCAGGTTACAGCAGGTAAATTGACTCTGCAATTGCCCATGCATGATTCATAGACCGCCATGTTGAGCTTTTGTTTGTAGCTTAATCATGGCATTTTGTATTAATTTGTTCTCATTAGCATTGCCCCTGTAACTGTATCATCTGCGCTAATTATATCCCCCACCCCAAGAGAGAAAAACTGTCCGATAACCATGCATTCATGCAGAAGAAGTGGAATAGAAATCATGTTTTCACTAATGATTTGGTACAAAGGGTCAATGTGATTTAAATTCTCACGTGTATGTTAACTTTATTTTCCAGCACGACTCTCTTCCGCAACAACCAAAATCAGAACAGCTTGACAAGTTAAAGATATTTAAGACCATGTTGGAGCGCATGATAGCATTCTTACAGGTTTCAAAAAACAACATCATGCCTAGTTACAAGGAGAAGTTGGGTTACTATGAGAAGCAGATTGTAAATTTTCTAAACACAAGCAGACCCAGGAAGTCCATTCCTAATCTGCAGCAAGGACAACTTTCCCAGCCTCATATGCAACCTATGCAGCAACCCCAATCACAAGTTCCTCAATTGCAGTCCCATGAAAATCAAGTGAACCCCCAGTTGCAATCAATGAATTTGCAAGGTTCTGTACCAACGATGCAGCAGAACAACAATATGTCAAGCTTGCAGCATAATTCTCTTTCATCTATATCTGGGGTTTCTACGTCACAACCAAACATGATGAATCCAATGCAGCCAGGTTCCAATTTAGATTCTGGACAAGGAAATGCACTGAGCTCATTGCAGCAGACACCTGTAGGATCTGTACAACAGAATCCTGTGAGCAGTTCCCAACCGACCAATGTGAACACATTGTCAACACAAAGTGGGGTGAATATGCTGCAGCCAAATATTCCTCTTCAGTCGAATTCCAATATGATTCAGCACCAGCATCTAAAACCGCAGCAGCAGCATGAACAGCAGATGCTACAAGCACAACAGCTTAAACAACAGTACCAACAGCGCCAAATGCAGCTGCAGAAGCAACAGATACTGCAGCAGCAGCAGCAGCAGCAATTACACCAGCAAGCCAAGCAGCAGTTGCCTGCACAGATGCAGACACACCAAATTCCACAGCTGCATCAGATGAATGATGTAAGTGAGATGAAGATGAGACAAGGGATTGGAATCAAGCCAGCAGTCTTCCAACAACATCTCTCTACAGGTCAACGCACAGCTTTCCCACATCAGCAAATGAAATCAGGACCGTCATTTCCTATTTCTTCACCACAACTGCTCCAGCATGCTTCCCCTCAATTACAACAACATTCATCCCCTCAGATTGACCAGCAAAATCTACTGTCTTCTCTAACCAAAACTGGAACCCCTATGCAATCAGCAAACTCGCCTTTTGTTGTCCCATCTCCTTCAACTCCTTTAGCTCCATCCCCTATGCCAGGAGATTCTGAGAAACCCCTTTCTGGTATTTCTTCACTCTCAAATGCTGGAAATAATGTACACCAACCAATTGTTGCACAGGCATCAGCTCCATCCCTTGCAATTGGCACTCCTGGGATATCTGCTTCGCCTTTGCTCGCAGAGTTCACCAGTCCTGATGGTGCTCATGGCAGTGCTTTGACAGCTGTTTCTGGCAAGTCGAACGTTACAGAGCAACCACTTGAGCGCTTGATTAAAGCGGTTAGTCATGCTTTTCTTTTTTGGATTTAGTCTACCCCCATCTTGGAGGTGCCTACAAAAAGAAAAAGAAAATGTTAGTATTATAACATTTTCATCTTGTTGTTTTGTAAATGGTTTTGAATGAGATGATGATGCTGTAATTTTATTTCTCAGGTGAAATCTCTGTCTCCTCAATCACTTAGTGCATCTGTCAGTGACATAGGCTCTGTTGTCAGTATGATTGACAGAATTGCTGGTTCGGCACCTGGTAATGGTTCTAGAGCTGCAGTTGGTGAGGATTTGGTAGCAATGACAAAGTGTCGCCTTCAGGCAAGAAACTTTGTCACCCAAGATGCGATGGCTGGATCAAAGAAAATGAGGCGCCATACAAGTGCCATGCCCTTGAATGTTGCATCATCAGCTGGCAGTGTAAGTGATAGTTTTAAGCAGTTTACTGGCCCAGAGACATCTGATTTGGAGTCAACTGCAACATCAACTGTCAAGAGGCCTAGAGTTGAGGTATTACTATTTCTCTCTGTTTGAGTCTGAAACTAATAACAATGTTTGTTATATGTGATTTTTCCTCTATTTTATTTGAACTTTTTTTATTTGCTTTCTTGTTGTTTAATTAATGTTGTTTGAAGGTTTCTGCTCTTATTTCAGGCTACAACATTATCTTATTATGTTAAAAATTTCGCTTTGCAGTTCCATAGAATGCCATAATTTCAAAAAAAAAAAAAAAAAAAAAAAAAAAAAAAAAAAAAAAAACAGAAAGGAGAAATAAAAAAAATCTGCAGTTCGCAACAATTAGATAACGTTATTTTGGCTCAAACTCTTTGCAGTAAGAGTGAAAAGAGGAAAACGTTTTATTATTTCAAAGAAATTACACTTTATAAGGATTAGAATGACAAAATCTTGATGCTAGAAAATTTGTACTTTTTTTTCAATGGTTGTGAATGCATGCTAAGTGCTGTGCGATTTACAACTGTCTCTTGATAGGAAGGCTCATTTCAGCTTATTCTGGCTGGATAAATAATGTAGCTCTTATTGCAGGCTAATCATGCCCTTTTGGAAGAGATAAGGGAAATAAACCAGCGACTTATAGACACTGTGGTTGATATTAGTGATGAAGATGTTGATTCAACTGCAGCAGCTGCTGCTGCTGATGGGGGTGAAGGAACCATTGTCAAATGCTCATTTATTGCCGTGGCTCTTAGTCCATACTTGAAATCACAGTACACTTCAGCGCAAATGGTTGGCTTTCAGACCTGCTAATGTGAAGTTAGCAAACTAATATGAGCATCATAGTTTCTCTGTATTTATTTTGCTTTATTCATGTGCAGTCACCAATTCAACCCCTTAGATTGCTTTTGCCTACGAATTATCCAAATTGCTCACCAGTACTGTTGGACAGGTTTCCAGTTGAAGCCAGGTAAGAAATTGGGACAACTTTTTACCATGGCTGTGCAATTTAAGCATCTTGCTTGCTCTTTAAAGTCTACATTGAGTTTGATGTTCCCATTAGAGATTTTTTTTCCTGGGTTTCCTTGAGTCTGAACATATGAGATCGTTTTCATTGTCATGCTAATAGGGTAACATTTCTGCCTTTGGATAAAGAAATGAAAATATAATCAGTCTCTCGAATGATGAGTAAACCTGTTAACTGTTTCGAATTGCTCACTAGAAATGAACCCTGAACGATATCGGGTTTGCAAATTTTGCTTTGCTTTAAGTTTAACATCCAGAGTTTATTTTGTTGGTTGCTGTAAAGGCCATGCTGATCCATAATTGGAGATAATCAACCTAATAGCTCTTAAAAGTTTTTCCTACACTTCCGCTGCTTTTTTCACTGACATCTAACTATCGCTTGTGTCTACTCTAATTCTGTCTTATGTAACTCTTTTAACAGTAAAGATTACGAGGATCTGTCAATAAAAGCTAAATCTAGGTTTAGCATCTCTCTCCGAAGCCTTTCACAACCCATGTCGCTTGGAGACATAGCAAGGACCTGGGATATCTGTGCCCGAGCAGTTATTTCTGAGCATGCACAGCAGAGTGGCGGAGGCACCTTTAGCTCAAAATATGGTTTTTGGGAAAACTGCCTGAGTGCAGCGTGATCATCTTTAAAGCCAAAGAAGCTCCAAACAGGATTGCTTCGACAGAGCAGTGATGGAAGATGTGATGGGCAGCTTCTCCTGTGATGACCAAACAGGCAGGTTTGGATTGATTGGCAGGAATTTCGCAGAAGCATAAATTGTCTTAAGTTCATCCCTTTGTGAAGACTCAAGGGTTCTTGTATCATAAAATAATCGTAATTGCTGTTTGTTATAATCCATGGCATTATCTGTGTATTAGGTTATTGTTATTATTTATAATGTTTGAATCTACGCGGCATTCACTCTCACTTGCATTGTTTGTAATAAATTGCTAATGTCATTGTCATGCCATTTCTGAAATCTTCTTTGGGGTCGCGGTTGAGTTTCAATGGGAACGGAAAGCGAATGAAATTTCTAGTAGCTTCTTCAGCCGTCTCTCTGTCCATGCCTTGTTTCGACCGGGAAACCCATCTTAGTTGCCTTGGTTTATATAAGAAAGGTGGCCGGTTCATCTGAGTATAAAGAATCCATTCCATTAGATGGCGTGCCAGTTCCATTGCCCCTTGACTTGGATTGATTGGCTCGCGCCTGTGATTATTCATAGATTCCGTCTCTCGAACTTATTCTGCCCTTGGGAGAGCGGGCTCGTAGCTTCTATGATGACTCTCCTTTTTTGCCATCTTCCGTGCTCCCGTCTCCAATTCTTGGCCTTGGCATCGAGATCTTCAATTTGCGTAGATGGCAGTCTCTGGTAGATTCTCTCCAATCAAATCGGTATTTCTTTCTTTCTTTCTAATTTTTTTTCCAACAAAAGAGGAGCATGACCCAAGATTTATTTTTTTTACAAACAGCAAGGTGAGAATAAACACGGGGGCTTTCTATGAAAGCTCAACCAATTTAATCAATAACTGGTTAGGTTTTAAATTGATTTCAGCCCTGCCACGTATGCGTGTATATATATATATATATATATGCTTTTAGTAGGTTTATTTATTTTCCTTCTAGTTCGGTAAATGTTCCACACAACGCGTGAGTAATTTGATAGTTCTTTAACTAATATTAAAATTCAGAACTTTAGTGTTAGCCGAATTTTCTACAATATACATTTGCATCCTTACGTGTTAAAGATTCCTTCCATTTTGAGTCTTCTATGAGTTGTAATCCATTCTTATATTCAAGTGTTCCACCATCTAGAGCATGTGATCCATAATTAAAATGGCTTGTAATCTGTAAAACTGAGCCAAAAATCTTCTAGTCAAGATATGAAATCAATGCTTTTATACTGTCCTTTGTTTACCTGTAGGATGTGCCTATGTGGACGCAAAAAGAGATGTGGACATTTTGCGTCCACAAATTGCAAGATTACGTGTTTCAATTGGGGTCTAACTATTTGCATAATTTCGTATGTCGTATGCCTATGCCCAGCTGAGATCTTTTTTTTTCTTTTTTAGGATTTATAGAAAGAGGAATCCGTTAAAAAAAAGAGATATATTTTGTAATCTTTTGTATGTTTTTCAAAACTTATTTGAAGGATGTAGAGTAAATTGTTAAGTGATCTGTGTTTTTAGTGAAATAATTAGTTAATCTTTTTAATTTTGAAAAAAAAAAACAATATTGAATCTCTGTGTGTTCATATTTGTTTATAACTAGACAATTATCCACGTGTTACACGATCATTCTTTAAAATAATATTATTTAATTACAATCTCTCTTACTTTTAAAATATAATACAAAAACAAATCAAAGAAAGAAAAACATATAGATACTCACAACGTTTCTATCCTTAAACTTTATAATAAAAAATTAATTTAAAACATTTAATAGAAATGATTCATAAATATGGTGTGGTTGAATAATCCATGGAATATTCGTTGGACATGTTCGGTCAAGCAGGGAACACGGCATAAGGAGCCAATTTCTATTAAATAGTTACAAGACACGTCTGACATACGTGAGATAGAAAACAGACAAAACAAAAAATCTAAGAGAGTTCGATTGAATTAAAAAGATTTCAGTGGCTTACCAAATGGTTTTAGTTTCCAATTTTTGTACATATAATTTTTTTTTTTATAATGAAAAATTAGTGTGAGAAATTCAAAATTGAGATTTTTTTTTAAGGTGAAAAAAACATTAACATTAATTGAACTATATTTTGTCGAGTAAAAGAAAAAAAAGGTGAAATGGAAATTTAGCTGGAATAGAAAAAAATAATAATAAATTGATGTGTAATATCTAGATGGCTTCACCACCACCTGATTCAAGAAAAATTACAGCGTTCCAACCCGAAATCAAGGCAAATGATTAATTTCAAACTCTAGATAAATACAAACTAAAATTTATCCAAACGTAGGAAATTTACATATACCTGTTTATGTATATGAGAGCAATGGTGCGGTGAGGAGAATTGGTCCCATGAGAGAGACAAGTACTAAATTACTTTACTACCACGTTTTTAAGACAGATTCTGAGAAGTGGGCCAAGCTGCCATGTGTCTGTCTGACTGTTTGTCTATCTATAGTCAGCAGCAGTAGCAGAGCTGGCTCAATCACTCTACGCTTCACATCACATAAACACCACCACAACCCTAACCAAATTATTGTTATTACATTTATTATTATTACCAAACCAAGGAGTATTTTAGCTTCTTCTTTCCATTCTTGCCTCATGCTATAAATTTAAGTTGTTTTTTTTTTTTTTTACAGATATGATTAATTCTGTTGAAAATGAAAGCAATAAGATTTAGTTTTTTTTCAACAAATATAATTTCAGAATTTAAATATTTTATATCGATAAAAAAATGATCTGAAAATCAATTTATTAATCATTGTGCCAAACGATTTATTGATATAAATTTAACTTGTTTAATACATGTGTTTGGTCAAAGTTGGTCTTGTATTTTAACTGCAATGGTCAAATTAATTTCATATCATGATCAATATTAAGCTGCATTCTCTCTTTTTTCTAACATTAACAAGGCTAGTAAAATAATAATAAAAAAAGAGTAGAAAAGTCCCAATTTATGCCTCTTATATGTGTCAATTTAGCAAATAAGCTCCTATACAAAACATTTCAGAAAATCTGGCTTTATATTTGTCATGTTTTGTCAATTGGATAGAAGTATCTCCCTGCTAGAGTAAATTATAAATTAGTCCTTCATTTTCAAGATAAAAACTAATTAGTCTCTTTTGTTTCAAAATTATTATTTAATACTTTAATCAGTATTGATCGTGTTTAATTTAATATGATTTTTATTCCATTGAATCTCTTATTTTCTCATCGATATTTTCATATTTTTTTTATTTTTTTATTTCTTAAAATAAAAAATCAAAATAAATTAGAAATAATAAAAGACCTAAATTATAAATAAATTTAAAAATATAAGAACTAAATAATTAATTTTTGAAATAAGAAAAATTAATTAATTTATTTATCAAAACTAGAGAGACTAATTTATAATTTACTCCTCCCTACTATAGGCGGAATTCATCACTTTTTTTTACAATTTAGTCCAGTTGGTTTGAAATGACAACGTATAAACTTATATCCAAAATTAACACAAATACAAGGACTATTAGGGGCTTTTTCATTTTTTCGAGAGAAGTCAGAAGTCATAACATGGGAAGCAGTAGCTAGTGTGAAAGCAGTGGCAGGAAAAAGAAAGGCAGGAAAAAAATGCCAAAAATAGTGGTGAAAGGAGGAAGCAGACCGCCATGGGTGGGATTAGCAGCAGCAGTATGGGTTGAGATATCAGCTGGGAATGCATACAACTTCCCACTCTACTCTCCTGCTCTCAAATCAGTTATGGGATTCAATCAGCAGCAGCTAACAATGTTGGGCGTGGCCAATGATATTGGAGAGAATGTGGGTTTGCTCCCTGGCATTGCCTGCAACAAGTTCCCTCCCTGGGCTATCCTCTCGGTTGGTGTTCTTGCTTGTTTCTTGGGCTACGGTGTTCTTTGGCTTGCTGTTAGCCAGACTGTCAATCCCTTACCTTATTGGCTGGTCAGACATCATCGACTTCTTTCTTTCTTTCTTTTTATTTTATGTGTTGATGATTTCTTTGCCTGCACGTAGGTAGTTCTCGGTGAGGTAGATTTTGAAAGAACTCGACTTTCATGGGTTTCGTTGTGTTTCTAATTGTGGTTTATCAAATCAGAGGCTTGAATCTTTATTACCCGGTGTTTCATGAGTTAATTAATTGGAATTAATAATTCTGTTTTTTTTTTTCCCTGCTGAGGAAGGATAAATTTGATTTAGTTGCTATAAGATTGATTACCATAATCCCTTTATCTCTAAACTATCTTGATGCTTGTTTTTGCAAAGCATGTGGCAATACAAGCTTTAACGGAAAATTAAGGACGTCTTGCTGCTTTGTAAAAGGTATAGCTTAGTACATTTGGGGGAGTTTGAACTTTGAAGTTGAATTCTACGAATGCAATTCTTCGATTAAGAAGTCATTTGACCGACTCATCGTAAAGCTTGCTGTAATGCTTCTTGCATGTCAATAATGTACTGCTCTCTCTTTAATTCTTTAATTGGAACTCAATTTGGGCATTTTACTCGAGATAAACTGTTCCTGCTCTGCTGATTTCTTAAAACAATTTGCTTAATCTTCCTAGTGTTTCAAGCACTGGCTCTTCCTTATTCAGAGTACTGAAACAAGAATTTGTACGTCAAGGTTTTTTCTTTCATGACTAGAAAACTCTGTTTAAAGGATTTTTATCCAGTCTATCTAAGATGAAACTAACTAATGAAAAGAACATCAATTAGATGGTATGCATTAATGTGACTCGATGCGGAGTTTGGTTGTGGTTAGATTTTGAATAGAAGAAACTTATTGTTTGATATCTTCCTGCTGAAAAGGCTAGGTGTACATTTTGAAGCATCTTTGAATGGTCAGAATCCAAATAATATACAGAGGGTTGGGTAGGCCTGATAGACGGTGAAAACTATGTTTGATAAATGAAGATATTTATTTTTAACGAGTAGTGGGGATATCTAGACGTGAACCCAAAACCTTTACACTAAGAGATTCTAATACCATGTTAAACTAATCATTACTTTCTAAGTAACTTATTTGTGTCTGTGCTGGTTTTCGTGTTGCTGAAATTTCGAGAAGTTCCGTTGGAGCTGTCCAAGTTCCAACTGAAGCACAGGTGCAACCTGTCACAAAAACATTGTAGGGAAATGCATTCAGTTGTCACAGTGAACTTTTTCCACAGATATATGCTCTTTTATTTGTAATGCTGTCTGCTTTCTTTCCCCCATCATCTGATTTGCTGTTTTGTTTGTTCTTTCCATTACAGTATGAATGCATACTTGCAGATTAGGCCTTAGTCTTATTATAGACATTCCATTTTATGACATATGTTCATATATGCTTTGCTTTGCAGTTATGGCTTGCACTTGTTATTGCCACAAATAGCAATGCATGGTTTGGCACAGCCGTGCTTGTAACCAACATGAGAAACTTCCCTATCAGTAGGGGCACTGTTTCTGGCATTCTCAAAGGTTATGTTGGCATCTCAGCCGCAGTATATACAGTGGTATTCAGCCTGGTGCTTAAAGGCTCTGCTTCAAAGCTCCTGCTCTTTCTCACACTTGTCATTCCCCTTTTATGTTTAGCTATGATGTACTTTATCCGGCCATGTACTCCAGCTTCTGGAGAAGACTCTTTAGAGCATGTCCATTTTCTCTTCACCCAAGCTGCAAGTTTTCTACTTTCCATTTATCTCCTCACAACCACTATAATAAGTGATGTGATTTCTCTCAGTGATACTGTTTCCTACATTTTAGTGGCAATCATGGTTATCCTTCTGATGTCTCCTCTTGCAATTCCTGTCAAAATGACTTTCTTTCCTACGAGGCCTAGGAAAAATATCCCACCATCTGATTCTTCAGATCATTTGGTGTTGGGGGAGGTGAAACAACTCCAACAGATCCTTTGTTGACTCCATCTTCATCAGCTACACATCTAGGAAGTTTTGTTGACAATGATGATGCTTCAGATGTGGAAACACTTCTTGCTGTGGGAGAGGGAGCAGTGAAGAAGAAAAGGAGGCCCAAGAGAGGTGAGGATTTCAAATTTCGTGAGGCTCTTATCAAGGCTGATTTTTGGCTTCTTTGGGTGTTATATTTTCTTGGGGTTGGTTCTGGAGTCACCGTTCTCAATAATTTGGCTCAAATTGGGGTTGCTTTTGATCTTGAGGATACAACAATATTGCTTGCTATCTTCAGCTTTTGCAATTTTGTTGGTCGCATTGGCTCAGGTGCCATTTCAGAACATTTTGTCAGGTTATTACTCATTCACTTAATGTCAAATATTAGGTTCAAATTTGAAATAAGCACAATGATTGATGTTTTTATTAGGCATTCCTAATGTAACAATCTCTTACTTTTATCATTTAATAGGACAAGCTTTTTCTGGATAATTCTTAGCTGTTTCATTGATGTGCAGTTCAATCTATTTTGTTCCTTCCTTGCCTTCTCAATTTTCTCTTCATATATACTAGTTTATGGCCTATAATCTTCGTAGTTTTAAATTTCAGGTTAAGACATGACTTTTTTCCTTTTAGTGGGTGTGATGTTCTTGCTATTATGTGAAGGCATGATGCTTATATGATGAAATCATGCTATTGCAGGTCAAGAACAATTCCTCGAACCTTGTGGATGACATGTGCGCACATAATTATGGCTGTAACTTTCATTCTTTTTGCGTTAGCTCTTGATGGTATTCTTTATGCTGCAACTGCTCTGCTTGGCATCTCTTATGGGATTCTGTATTCTGTAATGGTGCCAACTGCCTCCGAACTTTTTGGCTTGAGACATTTTGGTGTAATTTACAACTTCATGCTGCTAGGCAACCCTGTTGGTGCACTACTTTTCTCAGGTCTTCTTGCTGGTTATGTATATGATGCAGAAGCTGCTAGGCAAGGAAGCTCGACCTGTTTAGGTCCTGATTGCTTCAAGGTAACATTCCTGGCTCTTGCTGGCGTCTGTGGACTGGGAACCATCTTGAGCATAATCTTGACAGTTAGAGTACGGCCAGTCTACCAAATGCTTTATTCAGGGGGTTCTTTCCGTCTGCCTCAAAATTCAGGCCATTGATGAGCAGAAATTGTTAACAGCAATCTGAAAAACATTGTGCCTCACTCCTTTTTCAGCAAAGGAATGCTCGATCAGACTTTAGTAGTATGCCAGATAGTGGCTTCAATTGGTTATTTAATGTTAGGTATAGTGCAAATATTCTGTCATGGCTGTCTGCTTTTTGGTGAAGCTTGTCGTAATCGCTGTAAAATCAGAAGTTTTGAGGATATATGCATAACCGAATTGCTGTATCACCCTTTGAGCAAAGCTTATTGTAAGGGTTCTGAGACACATTGTGGGGTATACACAGAAATATTTTTGTATTTATTTTTTCATAACTAAGTCCAAATATTATTTCTTCCAAGGATATATGTAGGCAATAGTTTCTATAAAACTAGATTTAAATTCTAATTGTTTCTCCCTGTTCTACTTGACACTTGTAATAGATTTCTTTACTCCTGTTCTTCTTCGGGTGCCCGTTTACGGAAGACTTCACCTCCCTCAACCTCAAGAAAGTCGCCCTTCATCAGACGTTGCCTGTATATATGAATCAGTTATGTCTTAAATCTCACCATTGATTTTGAAGGATTAAGTGAAAGAAATAAAATAAAGAAATTAAGTTATTTCTATTTTTATCAAGCATTGGATTATGTTCACTAAATTTGGAGTAAATATATCCATCCGTTTCTAGTTTTTCAATCGAATTTTAAATTATGTCCCTTAAATTTGGAGTGGAGCAAATATATCCATTTGTTTCTAAATTTTCAATCGAATTTTATTTATTTCTGGAAAATTTTGAAATTTTTAATACGCCATTCCAATTAAATTTTTAGACCATGATTTTTTTTTAACCCAAATATCTTTTACTAAAATGAAAAAAAAAACCCTTAAAATTATATGAGTAAATTATAAATTCTTCCCTCTCGTTTTGAGAAACAAATTAATTAGTTCCTCTTGTTCGAAAAACTAATCATTTAATCATCATATTTTGAAATATACTTGTAATTTAATCATTTTTGTTCATTTTTAATTTATTTTGATTTTTTGTTTTAAGAAATAGAAAAAAAATATGAAAAGATTCATGAGAACATAAGAGATTTTATAAAATAAAAATAATATTAAATTAAATATGTTCAATATTTGTTAAAAAACTAAATAATAATTTTTTAAACAAAAAAAAATTAATTAATTTGTTTCTTGAAACTAAAGGGACTAATTAATAATTTACTCAACGTTACACGACTGGTATGTTCTATTTTTTAAGTCGTTAATTTGGTTTTTATTTAAACCAGCGGCATTTAGATTAAAATCAATTTATATGGTTAGAAAAGTTAATAGGATATTGAATATTTAAAAAATGCAGTTAAAAACCTAACAACAGACGAAAGAGTGAGAATATTATGTAAAACCAGATTAGTATATTTACCTTTAAATTTGAATTTGACGTTTAGGGAACGTTACTTCGAAGCAATAAAGAGCTAAACAGGTAGAGCTTCCTTGCTTACCAGCTTCTGCATGTGCAGGGGACATGGTAATTATTATATTATTTGTTAATTACATGTGTAGGGGACATGTTGAAACAGATAATATAATTAACAAGTGTAGGGCTTACATAATGCTTACTAATTGCATTGATGAAAACTCTTGAGAAGCGTACAAGAGGAAGTGGGCACATGTCCACATCAGTCCCTCTTTCCCAAACTAAGATTGATCTGATCAGATCAGAGCAGAGTTGTGAGTAAACAGTAAAAATGGCAAATATAGTTCTGAAGGAAGGGAGTAGACCACCTTGGGTGGGCTTGGCAGCAGCAGTATGGGTTTTGATAGCAGCTGGGAATGCCTACAACTTCCCACTCTACTCTGCTTCACTGAAATCAGTGTTGGGTTTTAGCCAGCAGCAAATAACAATCTTGGGTGTGGCTAATGATATTGGAGAGAGTGTGGGTTTGCTCCCTGGCATTGCCTGCAACAAGTTCCCTCCTTGGGCTCTGCTTTCTGTTGGTGTTGTTTTTTGTTTCTTGGGCTATGGTGTTCTCTGGCTTGCTATTGCTCAGGCTGTTGCTGGCTTGCCCTATTGGCTGGTAAGTGATCAGCTTTTCCCTATTTGTAGTTACTTAATTGCGTTGAAATGGAGTTGTTGATTTGAAGTAATTTATTTATTTTTTATTTTTTGGTCCACACTGCACAATCATATAATATTGATTGTCTGTGGAGAAGAAAAACTATGAAAAAGTAAACACACTAGATTTTGTTTAAGGTTGAAACTTACGTTTCCACCAATTTAAGAGGAACTATAACTATTGATTGTCGAAGTGATCGTGTATCGGGAAAACATTGGTGTGACTAGGCCAGAGAAGCAGAATTGTTCTAATTATTGTATAAGAGCACTGCTGCTGTACTCCAAAAGAGGGACTGGGGTTTTTGAAGAATACGGCATGTCAAACTAAAGACATCGGAGCATGACTATTTGTAAATTCACTGCATTAAAAGAACATGTCTATCTTGAAGAACTGTAGAAGAACATGAAGCAAATGATTATTGATAAATGTATTAACAAATTGCAAGTCATGATTAACTTGGTCGATATCTTTTTCCCAATAGGCAACTCAACCTGTTTCATACATTATTTTTCGTAATAAAATTGAATCCTCCTTAAAGTAGTCTTAGGTGGGAACAGATTCTGAACGGTGTTCAGGTGGAAATGGAGAGTTTAGCCTATGGAACTGCTGAAAAGCTCATCTTGATTTTTCCATGCTGTAAAGTTAACCAATAGGCTGCTGGGCTAACTTTTAGAAACATATGAGAAACATGCATGATTGAGATTACAATTTAAATTAGGAAAACCATATCATTCTTTAAGGAACATATTATTGTAAGCCATTTGAAAACCAATCTTTATCACGCTCTAGTGTAATTTCATTAGAACTAACTCCCATCATATTGGAAATTCACAAATTTAACCTTTTGCCACCTTATAAATTATCCTGTAGGGATTATTTTAAAAACCGACCTCATCAATTCACATTTTGGGTAGTGTACTGTTTTCTGTTTTAATTTCATTAGAACTAACTCCATCCTGTTGGAAATTCACCAATTTAACTTTTTTCCACCTTATAAATTATCCTGCAGAGACTATTTAAAAACCTCCCTCATCAATCCACATTTTGGGTAGTGTACTGTTTTCTGTTCTTGTTGCACATAAAACATAGCTATCAGTTTTGCAGGTAACATATTTTGTGCCTGTACTTGCTGTCGATTTGTTCTGATTTTTAGAAGTTTATTTAGCATTAGAGTTCCCCAGGTTACTCTGAAAGCCTTGTTGAAACCCCGTAGCGAGCTCAGATTCATGACTCATTTCTTGCAATCTTGATGCAACAGGAATTCAGAGATGGCCTGGTTCCTAAGTATTAAAGAACATAGTTTGTGGTGTAAAACTTTCTCTTACAAACATCCTAATTTTAGACCTTTTTTTTTCTTATGAATCCATCTTATGTTCCATGGTTGGAATATTTTTTTATTCCGTTGGCATATGTAGAGGTGTGAAATTATAGAAGAAATTTTCAAGTCAGTGTGGAAGTGGCTAGGTTGTCAAGACAAGATTTTTCCAGAAATATGCGTTCTTCCCTTGGAATTTCCATCTTTTTCCTTGAAACTTTTAAGATTGTTTGTTTCCATTAAATTATTAAGTCATACTTGCAGATTAAGTTTTGGTCTTAGTATATTATTTTCCATGAATTTTAATCTTTACAGGCTGCACTCTTCATTGCTATTGCAGATATGGGTTGCACTTGTTGTTGCCACTAATAGCACTACATGGTTTGGCACAGCTGTGCTTGTAACCAACATGAGAAACTTCCCTTTCAGTAGAGGCACTGTTTCAGGAATTCTCAAAGGTTATGGTGGGATCGCAGCTGCAGTATATACAGTGATATACAAACTGGTGCTTAAAGATTCAGATTCAAAGCTTCTCATACTTCTTACACTCGGCATTCCCATTTTATGTTTAGCAATGATGTACTTTATCCGGCCCTGTACTCCAGCTTCTGGAGAAGACTCTTCAGAACATGTTCATTTTGTTTTCAGTCAAGTTGCAAGTGTTTTGCTCGCCCTTTATCTTCTCGTAATCACAATAATAAGTGATGTTGTTTCTCTAAGCGATACTGTTGCATACATTTTAGTTTCAATAATGATTATTATTCTGATGTCTCCTCTCGCAATTCCAGTCAAAATGACCCTTTTCCCTGCAAAACCTAGGAGACGTGGCCCACCAACTGATTCTTCAGATCATTTGGTTCAAAAGGAAGGTGAATCAACTCTAACAGATTCTTTGTTGACACCATCTTCTTCAGCTAATTATCTTGATAGTTTTTATGAGAATGAGGATGCTTTGGATGCGGACATACTTCTTGCTGTGGGTGAGGGAGCAGTGAAGAAGAAAAGGAGGCCCAGGAGAGGTGATGATTTTAAATTTCGTGAGGCTCTTATCAAGGCTGATTTCTGGCTTCTTTGGGTTGTAAACTTTCTTGGTGTTGGTGCTGGAATTACTGTTCTCAATAATTTGGCTCAAATTGGTTCTGCATTTGGACTTGAAGACACGACACTATTGCTTACTCTCTTCAGCTTTTGCAATTTTCTCGGCCGTCTTGGCTCGGGCACCATTTCAGAACACTTTGTAAGGTCATTACTCGTTGACTTGACATAAAGTACCAGGTTGAAATGTGAAAATCCCTGTTTTTTTTTTTTTTTTTTTGAAGAATTACATGCTTGATTTTATCATTAGGCATTCCTAGCATGATTTCCCTGAACAATTTAGTAATTCAATTTTCCTAAAAAGTTGTTGAGTTTTGCAATATGTAGACTTGATAATGATCCTAGCTTGGCATCATAATTTTTTCTTAATATTCCTGGTTCATGCCCCATATTTCGTACAGAAACATTTCAGATGGATTTTAAACTGTCTTTTTGGATGTGATTTTCTTGCTAATACGGGAATGACAGTGAATGTGATAAAATCTTGTTGCAGGTCAAAAATGATTCCTCGAACCTTGTGGATGACATTTGCACTAATGGTCATGCTCATAACCTTCATTCTTTTTGCATGGGTTCCTATTGGAATTCTTTATGCCGCAATTCCTCTGCTTGGCATCTGCTACGGGATCCTGTATGCTATAATGGTGCCAACTGTTTCCGAGCTTTTTGGCTTGAAACATTTTGGTTTAATTTACAGCTTCATGGGGCTAGGCAATCCTATTGGTGCACTTCTTTTCTCAGGTATGCTTGCTGGTTATGAATATGATGAAGAAGCTGCTAAGCAAGGTAGCTCTACTTGTGTCGGCCTCAATTGCTTCAAGGTGACATTCCTGTTTCTAGCTGGCATCTGTGGGTTGGGATCGATCTTGAGCATAATTTTGACAGTTAGACTTCGGCCAGTTTACCAACTGCTCTATTCGGGGGTTCTTTTCGGCTGCCTCAAACCTCTGGCCATTGACCAGTGGAGATTATTAGTGTCATCGAACAAAGTCAAGACATGCCTGTTTTGCAGAGGTATGCTTCATTATAGTAGCACTCCAGACAGTGGTTTCCGTTACCATGCCTATATCTTGCTAGATGCTGCAAACTACTAAGATGCTATATTTTGCTTGCCATTGGCAGTTCCATGACGGTATCTTTGATCGAGCTTGTTGTAATGACTTTAAAATAATCAAATTATGTGAGGTAGGCATATCCGAGTTGTATGACTTTTTGATAAAGGTTATTGCTATGTTATGTCAATATAAATCAGGACTACCTCTGAAACCTAAATGAGATAGATCAATATCTGTTTTTCCCTGTATTTCTTGCCATTTTAAATAGGCCCATCTTTTTTCCATTTTCAGGGTGACTCATTCCAGGTTGAATCTGATTTTTATCATGTTTCTCAACATATTCACATTGTTTGGTCACCCATACATGTGCACACACAAACAGGTGCCTTTTTTTTTCCTTTGTTTTTTCCTCCTTGAGGTAGAAAGATCAGAATTTGTGTTCAAGATCAGTTTCCTCTTCCTTGCTTTGTAGTTTACGTTCTTTATACACCTCTTTGTTGCCACTTTAAAAAATAGTAAAATTGCCATGCGAAATCCGATATATAAAAGAGTAAAATCGATCCAGAACGACATAGTAATCAACTGCATATCCTAAAACAATCAATATAAACAGACACTAAAGCTACTAATGCTTTCTTTTGTCTGCAAGTAAGACTACACCATACAAAAGCAGGGGAGACCATCTCATTACTATAACAGACCTGATGCCACCAAGGAGCTTGTAACTCTAACCGGCACTCTCGAGTTATGTTCGAGCCTCTCTTTTGTAAAGGGAAAAGAAAAACTGACCATGAGGTCAAGTTGTGTCCCTAACTGACCCACCCACCCACTAATGAAAACAAGAAGAAAAGGTGAATACACAAACAAGACTGAAGACTCTATGGTGGAAGAACAAAAAAAAACCCATCTCTCACCATTTAAACTAAAAAAAAAAAAAAAAAAAAAAAAAAAAAAACAGGAAAAAACTATGGCAGTTCATGTTGGTTTCAAATTCTGGAACATGGTATCCCACCTGATCTCTTCAACACCACTTGTCCAATACCCCTCATCATCACCCTCTAACTTCTCTTTGTTGAGGTCATAAATCACAGGACTCGAAAAACTATCAAGGGTTGGGGCAGCAGAGATCATAGGAGCGCTTGAAAAACTATCATTGGTAAGCAACAACCTACCTGGTTTAGCCATCACCAACTTCTTGTTCCTCTTCAACATAGCTCCTCTCCATCTGGCACCATAATCAGGCCTTTGAACAAGAACAAGAGCTGACTCCTCGCGGCGAACCCAGGTCCTCATGTACTTAGCAAGACACCTCTTTGTTCTCTTGATTGCAACAAGAACCCTCGCCACGGCACGTGGGCTCGCTCCTTTCTCCTTTCTTGCGAGCTTGAGGATCTCAAGCCTATGTTTGGCTATTGATATCCCCATGCTTTGAAGAAACTCATGGTTGAAGTAAGCTATATCTTCTTCCTCGAGCTCATTGTGAGCAAAAGCAAGGCAATATTCATACACAAGAGAAGGCTCGAGCCCAGTTTTCGATAGCCATGAGAACCAATCCATAGCTTTCTGAGACTGTGTTTGAGTGAATGTGTGAGCTTCCAGGTTTGAGAGAAGTGTGTGTATATAATGTAGGTGGTGAAGCAATTGCAAAACGAAACGAAACAAAAGAATAAAGATGGGAGTTGCTAGTAGACTTGGACTTTTTCTCGAGGAGCTTAGCTTTTTTTTTCTTTTCTTTTTAAAATTGCTATGGTGGTTGAATCTTGAGAGTGACTAAAGAAAAAGAAATTAAAGCCCTCCAAGAATGGGCCAAATTGTGGTGTGATGAAGTCCTTGTGGAAATGCAATGCCATCAATCACGGCATGGGAAAAGACGAGTGTGTAGGGACGCAACAATGCTTGTCTTTGTGTGCGTAAAGACAAGGGTGGCTAAGGGAGGAAAGTGGCAAAAGGGGTCACAAACTCCACAAACTTGGCAACACGCTATGGGAGAAAGAAAGAAAGATCGGAAGATATTTTGGTTAAAATAAAAGCAATCCATTTCTCTTTCTTGCTACCAAATTAGTGGTTTGAATCATCTCATTGATGGAAATTTAGGTTAAGCTATCAACCTGATTTATAACCAATTTTACCTAAAAATCTAATCACGTAGAACTTGTCTTTTTTAGGCCTCTTGTTCGAGGAAAAAAGAAAAAAAAACTCAATCCAAAATGTTATTGACTTTCTCACTGGCGGAATTGTTTTCCTTTCCCTTGCTTCCTTTTTTTTTTTTTTTCCTTTTTTCTTGTTCTATTACTGTTTTTGTCTTCTCCATTTATTTTAGGATGTTGACAATTCTGCTTTGTTAAAATATTTGGTTATTTAAATAGTAAGGTTTTAGTGTATTTTGTTGGGATGCGATGGTTCAATGGTTCTCTCATTGATTGAAAACTTTTGATGTTTTTTGGTAATTTTGGATGGTTGTAATATTTTATTGATAGAATCTTATAATGCGTTTCATTCCGCAGTTGATCTATATGATATTAAACTTGAATTTATTCGTTGATGTATATAAAAAGTCTCATTCCAAGCAATTTTTATTAAAAAAAAAAATTTTAATCAAATATATGTAAATAAAAACATAAATAATAAATTTAAGATCGAAATAACACTTATATATAAGTAATTTTACTAAATCAGTAAATAATGGTATTAAATCTTTATCTATACTTCACAATTTGAGTATCAAAACATTTTTTTTTTTATTCATCTGCATCAAGTTTTCTTTGTTATTTTTTTTAATCTGTTTTATTATCCTTATTTCTTTTTCCTCTCTCACCTGTGTGTATATATATATTCAAATAAATGATTATTAGTATTTGGAAAATAATTTATATCTTAACAAATATCATCGTAAATTCTATTAGAAAAAAGATTTAGGTTGGATTTTTCATGACGGATTGACCTTACAATAAGATTATTTTAAAAAATAGCAATTTTATTGACATTATGAATCAAACAAAACTTTACTTGATTCATAAAATCAATAAAATTATTATTAAAAAATGCAATTAAGGCTTATAAAGTAAAGTTGTTTATGAATTATTTATAAGAATTAAAGGACACTTTTCTAAAGCTCATTGAAGGAGAATCGTTATTCGGGCAGGAAATCTCGTAAATTCGACCAATCAAAGTAAAGCGTGCTACCTGACTACTAGGAAGCTTTTCCCTTTTTATTTATTAATATAATTTCTCATAAAATGACCGAATACTTTTCTCATAAATGTTTTCCACGTCTCATTTGGAATCTATTTTCCTTGGACGTAAAAGAAGGTTTAAGGCTTGGAAAATATAACACGTTAAATCAGATGAGTTTGACTTATAATTTTAAATAATATACAAGTGAAAAAATGATTGAGGCTATCATCACATATCATGATTTATTATAATATTAAAATAATTATAATGGGATGTTTCGAAACTGTTATACAACGGCTGTTACATCGAGAATTATTTAAAACTATGGTTTGACTTGATACGTAGAATATACTACAGCTTAGTTTTTATATTCTTAGAAACTGATGAATTAGTCCCTCTAATTTTGGAAATCATATTCTAGTCCTTAATCAACTATGAATGTCACCATATTAACGGATTTGTTAGATTTTCAATTCATACTATAAGTCACATCTCAACACCTCAGTAGAGGATAAGTAAGGAGTAACTACGTTAAAAATATATATGGAAGATAAAAAGACTAAATTTAATATTTATATAACTTATGGGACTAGTTTACTTGTTTCTTAGAAATACAGGAACTAATTAAGTTTTATATAATTTATTATCGTAGATTATAGTTGTTGAATAGTACTAGTTGTTGTCCACCATCACGAATTAATCGGTAATTACTCTGCGTTTTAAATAGATTAAATTAATAAATACTTATATAAACCGTGTTTAGGCAAATACAATGAATGATCTCTATTCTCTAACGTTGAAATGACATCTACATTATTTTTAAAAATATTTATTATACATTTTTTTAACAATATTCTTTATCGACAAAAAAAATAATTCAAATTTATAACATTATCAAGAATTTCAAAATATATATATATATGTTCTCTTATATTTGAAAGGAAAAAACAAAAGTAATACTTTCTTGTAATGTTTACTTTATTACATATTAAAATATACAAAACGACAAAGAATTTACTAATTTACTAAGTTAATGTGAGAGGTTTTTTTTAAAAAAACCAAGTTAATGTGAAAGATGTATTTTTAAAATCGTTTGGAGAAAACATAGCATGGATTTATGCATAAAATAATCTAAATATACCCCTTAATTATCATCTAATTTAAAAAAAAAAAAAAAAAAAAAAAAAAAACAAGCTTTGATAACCCTAGATAGTTTATTGTTCTTTTGGACTCGTGTTTGACTTTTTTTTGGGCTTTTTTTTAATTCTTTTCGTCATGGGCTGCCATCACTAACTAACTAAATTTACACCATCCGAACACTACTTTACTTTATCAGATTAGCTAATAAATGACATAATTAATATCATAGTCAGGGGAAAAAAACATAATTAAGATGACATCTGAGTAAGTTAAAGGTTGACAACTTGGACCTTACGTTACAAACTATATATTTATTAGTTCTAGAACTTAGCAAAACATGCCAGAAATTTTCCACAACATCAATTAGACTATGTTACTGGCAGTTTTTTTTTTTTTCCCTGACGGAATGTAAAAGGTACCTGGTGGTTTTGCCGGTTTGTCCTAACCGATTTTCAAATTTTAGCACTCTAACGACTTGTAGTTTTCTCTGTTAATTTTGCCACTTTTTCCCCTCAATTAAGTTGCTAATGTCAATCTTCAAACTTTTAACTTTTTTGCAATCATGTTCTAATTCTTTGATTACTAATAATGAGTACAGTAGCTCTCAATGGTTAACAAACATGTCTTATAAGGAGATGTCCGTATTTAAACTGAAAGAGACCAAAAAAAAAAGAAGAGACGTAGTTATTGAACAAAATTATTTTCTTTTTATTTGACAGTAAGCGCATTATTGAATTAATTTTTATGCATTAATTAAAATTAAATCTTTTATTTAAATAATCTTAAATATGCATTTTCCATATTGGTTTGATACTTTTAAATGAATTAAATTTATTTAATTGTTCTTAAAGTTTGAACTTAGGAAGTCAAGATTCAAAAACACGCATCAACTACGGTTGTTCTGTTTTCACATATTTTTAAAATAAATTTCCCTTCTATTGTCTCAAGTTTGAGAGGACATGTTTTATTTATGTAGTCCTGTCCACAATATGTAATTAGCAATCACCCTTGAGTATATTATTTTATTAAAGGTTAATTATGGATTGTTATTACTATAATCGAAAGTTTAAATTGATTACCAACAAGTTGTTGATTCAATGTAGAGTGAGTCGATTCTTAAATAAATTTTTTATCAATGTATAGAATTCGAATTTTGAAGTCGTATTTATTAAGAAAAGTTAGTTTTATTGCTTTCATTTCACATAAAATTAGTCCTATCTCTAATGTTGAATATGAATACCTAAAAAAACCAAAAAGTATAGATTGATTAGAAGCAAGCAAGCTTTAGCCTTTCATATTTACTTTTGATATTGTGCCTCGACGATCATATATAATTAATAATCATGTTTAGACGCACAAATTATACATCACAAACTGCATGCAGCTAGCAAGGCTGCCTGATGCAGAATTTGAAGATGCTTCCTTTTAAACTGTCTTAATTCAATCATTGATGATGCAACGATAGTCCAAGAATTTGTTTGAGAAAATTTAAAAGGGAAAAAAGAAAGAAGGAGGTAAGGCCATTAAGTTGATATGGGACCTTCATACAATACCCCATCACATGCAACCCTTTGCTAATGGTTCAATCACTATGTTTTGTCTCGAAAATGCTCCATCAAAAGTTTTTTTGTCTTGGTATTCCATCTATTCCTACCTTCACATGCCCTAACAATTGCATTGTGAAATTGGATAGGGCTCACGGGGATGCATGGGTTATAGATATATAAGAGAACGAAGGATTTTTGTCTCTCTCCTAAGAAATGAAATATATCTTGTCCCACTTTATGGTAAAAACTTTTTGAATTTTTCTATACAAACAAAGATGGGCATTTTTTTCTTTAGATCACAATCCACTTAATAATCATTGTTTGAGATCCTCATCAGCCCACGTTACAGCTCATGCAGTGCCTTGCTAGCTAGCTAATTCCACACTGCAGAAAGTTGCGATTGTGATTTTCTTTTGTTTGTGTTGTTTTTAAAGAGGGAAATTGCTGATGTATGATTAATGTCACGATCAATCAAATCAACTTACAATAACTAATGTGCATGCATGAATTAATATATAAAATTTAGAACCCAATAAAAAATTTTAAGCAAAATGAAAATTTTGTTAGTATATAAAATGGATGTATAGATACGTTAATCACGTATAATGAAGAATATTGCATCTTTTATATATATCCATACATATTTTATAAAACTTTTTTAACATATATATTTCAAAATTTAGAGTATTTTCGTGGATAGCGTTAATCAAAAATAAATATGATATCTTTTTTTTAAAAAAAAAATCGAAAGCCCATGGATCCTTAGATTACGCAATAAAAGTAGAATTTTTCTATTATAATTAACAAAAAAAAATTAAAATCATTAGAATTCGAACATTAGTTAAGTACATATTCAGTAGATGGAACCTAATATCTTTAGATAAAACTAATGATGAAAAAAGGTTTCTTTCAAACATTTCCTTTTCAAAATTTCAAAAACCGGTGAACCACTCTAACGGAATGACATAAAGGTTTGGTAGTGATGTTGATTATAGTAACCAACATAATTGAGTTTAGGAGTTTACGAGTGGGAGGCATCATCTCCTGCACACCTAATTTGCTTTAGTTTAACTGAAAACCATATATAAATTAAGGTCGTTAACGTAGCGATGATTTGATCCCTTTTAGTTCCTATGCATACGCATGCAAATTTTACAATTAGCGTAATAATTAATTTTTGAAATTAATTAAAATACTATATATTATATGAGTGAATGATTAGGAACATGTACTCCTCATGTCTTGTTCCTTCAAAAGAGAAACATGTGATGGCCCTCGATCTTATTGATCATATGATGGATTTTGGTTCCAATTATTTGAGAAGGAAAGTGTACTTATTAACAACAAATGGACGTATTCCATATTACTGTATTTTTTAATTTTTTTTATACTGAAACCATCTGTTATTTTTTAGCTTGTTTGAAATTTTTTATTTTTAGAGATTTTTTACACCAAATCTTAAGTTATAACGCTATCAATTAATAATTGATATGTAGTATTGTGAAGTAAAAAATTTATACTCTAGATTGATGGTGTTGTAACAAAAAATCCGAAGTAAAAAATATCAAAAATAAAAATCCTAATCAAATAAAAATAAAAAATTTTAATAAAAAATAAAAATGATGGGTATAGGTGTGAAGAAAACTCGACCACAAAAATGTATGAAGTAGGATAGTGCTTCAGCTGTCAACTCTCTTGCATTGAAAGAGGAGGAGCTAAAAGCCCTTTGCCACACGACATTAAGTGCTTGAATGAGTGTAAAATTGTGATGTTGCTCGAAGCTTCATCTCTTTTTGGCATTTTAGCTAGGAAAGGTTGCTTGCCTGAGCATATCATGTAAATTTACTTCTTTTTTCTTTTCTTTTTTTTATTTGAATTATGATAAATAGACTTTCCTCTTTCACTCTCATACAAAAGAGATTTGAGGTTGAGGCTTTTAAATCACAATTTCTTTTATGAGTAGTATTATATTTAAGTTGGTTTCATCTTAAAAATAACTCAAAAAATAACTCAATCATCGATTAAAAATTAAATATTTTTTAACGTTAATTTAATTTAAAAAATAATTAATTTAATCTCGATTGATGAGAAATCTAACTCAAAAATACTCCATTAACTATAAATTAAAAAAAAAAAAATCAGAACTCCGTTCAAAGCTTAGAAGGTGAAGCTTACGTCGCATTTCATTTTATGAGTGTTAAAAATTTATATATATAGGATACAACTAAAGATACCTTTATTCAATTCGATTAGGTTCTAAAACTCTAACTTCTATATATTTTGTTATTATTATTATAAAGAAGGATTCATTCAAAGCTTATTTTTTAATAAATAATAACGACGAAACATTAAATTCAATTCCGTTACAAATCGTCTTTGAATTCTGTACTTCAAATAACACAAGGGTTTGGACAACAAATCAGAACTACAAATTAATGGGCCGTGATCTGGCCCATGAATTGAGCCCAAGTCTAATGGGCAATTGTTGGATCAACAAGATCATAGACCTTCAATATCAGCGGACCGCAAGGGCAGCTGTTTGTGTGCATAAAAGACCCATGCACAACAGGACAACAACCTCAACCACCGCAAGTCCTAAGGACATTTTCCCCTTTCCGTTCGATAATTAAAATGAAAACTCAACAATTTAATCAATAAAACAATAATAATCAAATTAAAATCAAACAAAGCAACCGAAAAATATATATAAAAAAAATTGAATATTTACTTGAAAATCCTTGATTTGGGAAGAACCACAAAATTGTAGTTTATTTGAATCACAATTTCAAAACAATAGACGCTGGATTTACAAAAGTTTTTACTATTAATGGCTTCATTACTGACATTGTGTTTTGTTTTATTGTAAAATTAAATATATTAAATTATTTATTGATGAATTGTTGTGTTATGTTATGATTAAAATTACTTAATTGTTTGGTAATCTATTGATGTGCAACTTGAATTAAAATTATCACTAAAAATACAACTTAAATTCAAGATATTTGAGAGAAAGTATTACTTTCAATAATGGGTTTATCCCATAATTCATCCCTTTAGAGTTTTGATTTTTTTGATTGAGGTCATTTATTATTTTTCAGTTTGATTGAAACCTAATATTCTTACAAATTTATTGAATTTCAATCATACTTCTAATTAAATCTCATTGATAAGAAATTTATAAGAAAAAAATATTTTTGAAAAGTATGGATAAAAAACAGGAATATATCATGGCAATTAATGATATTCTTAATATGTGTGAAAATTGACAATATCTTTGGAAATGAAGGAATTAACTATTCTTAATATATGTAAAAAGTTAAAACATAACAATATCTCTGGAAGTGAGGGAGTACGTGCTATTCTGATTAATTTATGTTGTAATTGCAGGAAAGAAGGGAAGTTCAAATTGGTCCTTTAAGATGTAGAATTTTCTTACAGAAATACAAGTAAAATGAACTAACAAATATGGTTTTTGAATTTATTAACTTTTACAAGATGCAATACTTTTCCCTTAATAAGGGGAAGAGTTTACCTTTGTAAAGGGAGGAGGGTTAGTAACACATCATTTTGAAAGGAAAAAAAAGGAAGAGTAGCAGTGGGAGTCTTTTCTCTTCTCCTGTTCCATTTTCTTTCTTTTCTACCCTCACTTTGTGAAGGTGAATGAAGAAGAACTTGTGGCCTTGGAGAAATTGATTTTTAATTTTTGTTGTGTCTCTGATGGTACCAAACATGCTCTTGGATCAATGTTCTTATACATACTAAAACATTCTGCATTTTTAGTTGCACACTTTGTTTTCCTTAAATGATGTCCATCGTTTTTTATTTTCCTTTTAGCTTAGACAAGCTGATTGCCATTTATCAGATCCAGATGAATATATGAGCAACAATATTGCACCCATTTGTTATTTTGTTTTCTTCTAATTATAGCAAAGAGTCTAGAGATCTTGGCAGGTCACGCACAATACCAAGTTTTTGTCAACATTTCATGGAAAAGCTGCATCATTAGCGCAAGTGCAGGTAATGTTCAGAAAGTTTTAACTGTTTGCAGTTGTGTATGGGATATCTTTTCATTCCTATAGAAACTGAAACAAGCAAAGCTGGACCTTTCTCTCTTCATCGACAACTTCTGTATGATCAGCAAATGATTGCCTTCACTCAAATGCGAGAAAGTCTTCTGAAATTTAGAGCAAGCCCCTCCCTATTGTTATAGAGATTGTGCCTTCACCCTTAGCACTTCCTTCTGTCCCTTTAGAGAGACTAAAGGGCTCTTTATCCATTCCTCCTGCTAAGCCAGGGAAGCGTAGACTTCCTGCAAGTTGAGTGATAGACTCGCTCGTTCACTTACAAAACAACATGCCATCTTTGCAAATGAATGGGATGCTCTTTTCAGAAAAGAAAATGACAGAGATGGCAATCTAACAAGTCAAGTTCCCAGCTCTTTTTAAAGACCAGCATACAGGGCAAGATTGGATATTACAAAAATTGAACTGAAAAGCTTGAGTCCTGCTAAGCCAGGTAAGTGTAGACCTGCCTGCAAGTTGAGTTGTAGGCTCGTTCGTTCATTTACAAGACAACATACTGTCTTCCTAATGAATGGGATGCCCTTTTCAGAGAAGAAAATAACAGAAATGCCAATCTAACAAGCACCCAGCTCTTTTAAAGACCAAAAGTCAGGATATTACAAAAATTGAACTGAAAACCTTGAGTGCAAATGCCAGCAGTTCTTCAAGCTGCATTTCACATAATAATGGAGAGCCCACTAACAGTCACAAACCATTATATTGAATGGAATTAGCTGAGGTTCTCATTCCTTTGTTGTTAAACAATCGAAACACATGCAACTTGCTCAAGCAGCATAAAGAATGCATGGTGTGGTCCATGATCGAAAGAAATGATAAGAACAGCTAGGAGTTGAATGTTATAATCACAACAATTAACAGAAAAGGAAGTTTCGCATAACGAAGAACAAAAATAGAGCTTCCTTCAACACTTGTTCTAACAAAAATTACAATATAAGTCTTATTGGAGAATTACACCGTTTAAACAGCTTCAATTAAGAAGTGTCAGAGGCTAAATAAAGATCTACATGCATGAACATTGTATAATTTCAATCAACTTACAGATGGCGGATAACCACAGGCGTGATCTCCTGAAGTATTCATGAAATGCTGAACCAAATCTAAAAATGAGTGCGCCACAACGGACTTTCTAAACTGGACCCAGAACTTCACAGACAGAAACAGTGTACTTGCCGCAAAGTGTCAAACCCAATTTGACTTGATGGTTTGAAGCAAGGAGGCACTGATCAAGATGAGGATAAAGAAATTGGCACCGCCATTAGTTTATGCAAAATTGAGAATGTTGTACAGTTACACAAAAGCAACTTCTACAAGTAATAAAGAATCATTCAGAACTGCTTTTAATGCTATAAATATTGCCAATCACTCCAACAATGCTAACTATTATAGCTAATATTAACATCAGCCATGACAAAAACTTCTCTCCAATGCTTAAACCCTCCCCTGTCCGACTTAACCTCAATGCAACAAGAGATGGAAATATAAAACCTAACGAAACTGCAGTTGTAGCCCCTGTAAATTTGAAAGCAGTCCAAATGCTTGGAATCATAGTAGACCCAAGATAAATCAGCGCCAATAGAACAGCTGTTAAGGACAAAGACCTCTTCCTACTCTCTGAAAGCGGAGGTGATCCCTCAAACACCAAGGCATCTACTGTTTGTCTTAAAGAGAAATGAACAACAGGAAAAACGAGAACCAAATGAAGAATGTAACCAATCCTAACAATATAATTCAAGGCAGAGCTAAAACGAATTCCAAGGTCTTTGTCAAAATTAGTCAAGATGTCAGACTCGGTATCCTTGCCAAAAAGTAAATAACCTGATACGGCAGTTGAAGCATAAACCACAACGCAGAGAACAGTGGTGGTCCTGCCCACCCTGTTCATTTTCTGTGGTGATCGCCCTTCAAGCTCATTGTATATAGGCTGAACATTGAAGTGGCAAACATAAGCGTTCGTCATGATCGGAATCACCACAAGCAAATCCAAAATAGCCCTCTTCGAACCAAAATCAGGAGCCATCCTCGGGGCTTCGATTTTCCCTTCAATAAGCTTAATAAAAGCAACCATAAAACATACCACAACAAAAACCACAGCCAGAGCCACCGAAGCAGCCGAAGTCAAGCTCAAAGAATCAATCTTATCCAATGCACAAAGGGGTGCTAGAAAAACCACCACGACAACCAAAATCACCAACTTCCTATGATCCCAGAACCCATTCCCTAACCACTGGTCGAAAACCCCCACGTGATGGAGCGATCCCGACATAACATCACCTATAATTATCAAATACACAACCAAAACACCGGCATTGTTCACAATTATGCAAATTTCAGACAAAACCTTTGCAGGCTTTCCTAAGGCAGATCGAACAACTTCACCATAAGAAGTAGCCTTACAACGAACCGAAAACCTAACTAACAATTCAACGCTAATTTCGGACAATATACCCATCAATATAATCAAGACAAATCCCAAAACCAATCCAAGAACCTTCATTGTAGCAGGTAAGGCCATAATCCCAGCCCCAATAATGGAAGTAGTAAGATTAAACACGGCACCATAAATACCAGAATCTGTACTTGTTGTCGTTTTCGAAACGAGTGGATAATCATCAACGTCAAAGTCATCTTGATCGTCGTCTTCTTCGTCGTCAACCTTGAGATCGATAGAATTCTCATCGTGATGAAGCGGGTGCAATTTGATGTGGGTTTTTGTTTGGGGTAATGGGTTTTGAGGATCATCGTGTATTTGTAAATCTACATAAGAGTTCTTTGATATAGCTGTGTAATTGCTATCCATTATCTATGTACACAAACAAGAAGAATATAAGAAGAAGAGAGAAGATATGTAAGCAATGTGAAGACTTACAGAATATATTAGATTGGATTCGATTGGAGAGCAAAGCAGTTGTCTTGAATTTAATTCAATGAAGGAGAAGAGGGAGGGAGAGTCCTAGATCTCTGGGTCAAAGTCGTTTTCCCTTCTCTGCTCTTCTTTTGTTTTGAAAGCCAAGACAGACACACAGAGAGACAACAGTTTGAGGAGAATGAGGCTATGCTATTGGTGGTTGGGGGCATGGGACCTTCTCTCCCTTCAGTTGCACATTTTCTTTTTATTTTTATTTTCATAATTCAGAATTACACCACATCATCTGTGACCCACAAAAATTATTACGTGGCAACTTTTGTGTTTGCTGGAATGATGACCTAAGCAAATTGTAGTACTCTATATTTCCCTTCTTTTTTTTTTTTTTTTTTTGGTTAACTGTAACTTATATTATAATTAATTAGTTAATCCATTCGATGATATATATATATATATATATATATATATATATATATATATATACACACGCACGCACACACAAAGAAAAAACTACAATTTCAATGTTCAATCTTTAATATTTTTTTCAAGTGCCTTACTTTTAATTTCTTCTATTGAAATTGTTGATTTCAATAAATACTGTTAATTTAGTTGATTTAAGTACTGATGTATGTCTATTATCTAATGACACGCAGTAAAAAATATATTCTAATATATATATATATATAGTTTCAATGCCTCACTTTTAATTTTACTTAGTTGAATTATTAATTTTTGTTTTTATTTTTTTATTTGAGTATTTACTTTTAATTCAGTTTGTTATGTGTTAGACATGTACATTGTCTCATGACATGATTCAAAAGTGGGCCTTGATATAAAAAAAATACAAAAAATAGAAAAATTGAAATTGAAATATTTTGGAAATCATTAAACTTTTCATGACATGTTACCCAATAACATACACACCAATACTTCATAATTCAGATCTCTTTGGTGCAACTAGGACTATAATTCCTGAATTTCTACACGAATCAAGATCGACAAAAGGAAGTTTTCCAAGCATTAACTCAAATCTATTGCCGAGCCCTATTCAAAATAAATTAATAGTAGACACTCAAATTAAAAAAATATATAAAAGTTTGGTTATTCATATAGGTAAAATTAAAGGTGAAGCATTCAAATAAAAAGAAAATAAGAAGGTGATGACTTAAATAGGTAGAATTAAAAATGAGACACTCAAATAGAAAACTAATTAAATAATGAGCACCAAATATACAGTTTTATATTTGAGCTGTCTTCTTACCACCTGTGACGAGATCGCAGACGCGTAAGCCGTAATGGACTGAATTATAATAGTGGTGACTATTAAGGAGAATAAAGCGTTGTTGACTTTTCTTTGTTTCAACCAAACAAATATGATTAACACGCGTAACGTGTGGAATTGTTTTTAACCCAGGAAATTAAATTCATACCAGAAATGCTTTGTTTAATGAAAGTTGATTGCAAATAAAAAACAGTAATTAAATTCAATTTTTTTGGCTATTTATTTCATAAATATGCCTCTTCCGGTGCATCATTGGTGACTTCATCCTCATCATCATCATTATTATTATTTTGTGATATGGAGAAATTATTAGGTATATTGATAATTGTATTCATCCCTTCTTTAAAAAAATAAATATGGAACCTATAAATTGTTTTCATAATAGATTTTATATTTGTGTAAAATGAAGATGTATAATTACTAATATTGATTAGCTTTTTCATTCACTGATGTGATCAGTGATTTAAAGGGACGTTGGGATGGGATGCGATGGGATGCTTTTTCTTATAACGAGGAAGAACTCGAAATAAATCTTTTATGTGTGGAGGCAAAATAAATTTTGGATAAATGTGTATTGGTTCGATATAATTATCAGTTGACATGAGGTTTTAGACTCGGTTAATGGTCCACGAAGACGGAAGAAAGTGAATTCTTGTATATCAAGCTATAGTCTCACAGATTTACATACCCATTATGTCAACACAAGTAAATTATAAATTAATCTCTGGTTTTTTTTTAACGAATTAAATAGTTTTTTTTCTAGTTTCAAAACTAATTAATTTTTTCCTATTTTTTAAATATATTTATATCTTATTTCTTTTTTTCAATTTATTTAGTTTTTTTAAAAAAATAATAATAAATTAACCATAATCAATCTTAATAAAAAAAATTATTTGATAAAAATTATTAATTTTCAATTTACTCTATGTCAAGCCCATTAACCACCACCATTTCGGTTGATGGGATGTGCAAACTGACATTTTCTTATAAATAATATTATGATAATTAATGTTCATACTTCAGGGAGCCTCGATTGTTTTATGTACATAAACAATTACTTTGGTATTTGGCCCATACTTACATTCACTCATTCCCACCCTCACTCGTCACCTTCTTCTTTTTTTATTTTTTTCTTCATTTTTCTTTTTTTTTTACTACTACAATAAAAGATGAAATCATAAGCAGATTGATGGAATGGTGACCATTGTCTTGCCAGAAGCCACAATCTCAAAGAGATGTTGAGTTACATCAAAAGCTGTCATCTCTTTAATATTATTTTTTAATCTGTTTTTTAGCTGGTAGTTAATGTTTTTCATAATTATGAGTATTTAGCTTCGGATCTAGATATAATTATTGAAGATTGTAAGATTATTAATAAATCTATTTCTAATTTAATTGCAAACTTTAGTAAAAAAATTTACAAATCAGGTGATTTATACTATTGCAATGGCAGCTGCTTCTATGCTAGTTTTATGAACTGGTCCTTATCTCTCTTTGTTTATGTTAGCAGCTATAGCCGCAGATTCTAGAGATTGAAAATATGTTTCAAGGGTTTAAAAAAAGAAAAAAGAAAAAAAAATGGCATCATAAAGCATGGCCATAATCATATCATGGTAAACCAGCTTTTGCGTCGACTTGTATATATATATATATATATATATATGGGTCTCCAATGCGAGGCAATAATCATGCGGGGTTTAATGAGATCAAACGGCAGAAATTGTGTATGTGAGGAAGGTGAAAAGTGACTCTACCATTAAGGCTCTGTTTGTTTGTTTGTTTGACGAAAAATAATTTTTATATAAAAATTAAATTTTTAAAAAATATATTTTTTAAAAATTATTTTCTATCGTTTAACAATTATGTAAAAACATTGTTTGAAAATATATTTCAGTGTTTGTTTGATACAAAAAAATTAAAATACTAAAACAATATGTAATTGTTACATCATAGAGTTTTAAGAAAACTTTAAAAAAATATATTCACAATTTCACAATATAAGATGCATTTAGAAAATTTTAATAATTTTTTATAAATACTAACTCTAAAATTTAAATTCAAAAAATAAAATATTCTTTTTTAACCAATAAACCAATTCATCAAAATTACTTGGTATAAAAATCAAGTCAATATTCACATTTAGTAAAAAAAAAATTTCTTAGTAATCTTAGCATTATTATTTTGGTAACTCTATTAAGAATTCTTTTTTTTTTTTGAAAATTGAACTGATAATTTAGTTTAAAAAATAGTTTTACAAATTATTAGTTATCATTTATAAATAATTATTCATTTGGTTTCAAAGGACTAATGTTAGAATAATTTGCAACTAATTATTTAGTACAATTACCAACAAATTACAAATTATTGATTTAGTTGCAAATAAATAGTGTTAGAAAAATAATGTATTTATTAATGAATTAATTAATTTCAATTTTTTTCACAAATGATTGCAATCTTATAATAATCATTTTCAATCATCAAGTATAATTTAGGTGGTTTATGAGATAATGAAAAAAAATAGAGATAAATTATTAAAATATTTATTATAAAAATAATTTTAAGGTGTAAAAATTGTTTTTAAGAATATTTAATGTCTTTATAAATTAAAAAATCAAATGTTAATAAAAAAATAAACAATAATTAAATAATTGATAATAATTGATAAGGAATAATTAAAAATTAATTTGATATATTTTAAATAAAAAAATAGAGAAAATTTTTGTTAAAATATATTAAGAGAAAAGCAAGCAACGCGATAGCAAGATAACTCGTGAAAGAAAAGAAAAAAATTTTTCTTTTTCTTAACTTGAAAAATATTTTTTCAAAAATATTCTACTATTTTTTGTTGATTAAAAATCATTTTTAGTTAATTTTTTTAAATACAAAACAAATATTAAAAAATAAAAAATAATTTCTTGAAACTTATTTTCTTCCAAACAAACACAGCCCAAGTGTAGAAATTGTAGCTATTAAGAATGGATGGGATGCGTTGACATTTACTTAGACATGATGGCATGATAATTAATTTCATAATACTTCCATAGAATGCTACAGTGGCCTCGTTTTATCTCTGCGTATAAAACATTCAACACTCATTATACAACACTAATATTTGGCTTACACATTCATCCACTCAACGATCATAGGGTCTCATTAACTCTTATTGTTTACCAATAAAAAATTTGAATTCGAGGTTTTTTTTTAAGATAAGACTGGTTCTTTTTTAAGATAAGAATATTCTTTTAACTTGTGATATGTCGTGGATCGAACAAAACAAATAAAATTAGTTTTAAAAATTATTTTAATTTAATATGTTGTATTATATTTTACGTCTATTAAGATTTATCTAATCAAACTGAATAAAAATTTATTTAATTTTTTAATCAAAATTTTGTATTTGATCAATTAATTTTTATATTTTTCATAAATTTTCAGTTAAAAATATTATTTATTTATATCTATTTACATTCTTAATCAAAACAAAATTATAATAATGTAAAAAAAATGTCACAATCAATGAATTATTAGTTAAATACTTATTTTATAAATTATTTTTTTCTAAACATTTTTTGTCTTAAAATTTTTAATTAAAAAATTCAAAGAAAAAAAAAGCAAGGACTAGAGTGATTAAAATAAAAAAAAAATTATGGACCGAAAAAATAATTTTTTTTTAAAAAAGAACCAAAATATAATGCCATAAAAATTTTCTTAATAAAAACCTTTAGAAAATTTAAAAATTATAAAAATAAAACTAAATAGTAAAAAGAATAGTACATATGGATCTATATGCATAGTAAAATGAGCCTAGGTAAATAGTTATTGGAATAATGGTGATGAGTAATAATCCAATATTTTGATTTAGCTTTTTTTTGTTAATATTAATAGTGATTGAGTTATAATTTATTCGTTTCCGATCTCCCTGGTTGTACAAATGCTATTAAGACATACCACCTCGCTTTTAATTTCTTGCCTCTTTCCATTTGAATTCTTGTGCAACTTCTTGCTCTGGCTTAGCTAATTTATGGTTTTGTAATGCATAATCTGTCTTGTGTCATTTCTCCTCTTCCTTGGCAGCAAATTTATAAAATCATGTAAAGCATGTAATATTATTCTTCATCTCCACAATTCCAAACATCGAAAATTACAAAAACTATAAAAAAGATTAGCAGAGTTTGAAAGAGAGAAATGTTGGAGTCAGAGGCAGGGATACCGGTAGTGTCGGCTTCAAACGCAAACGGTGACGCCGGGAGGGCCACTGTTTACGGGGCTGATGGTGGACTCACAGAAGATATATAATGCCATGTTGTTTGCCTTTTAATGCTCCAACATGGGATCAACAGCACATATGCTTCCCTGTTTTTGCTACATCTTATGTTTCTCTAGCTCGTCAGGTGATTTTTTTTTTCCATCAGCTTGGAAATTATAAAATCATCTTCGGTAGAATCAACTGTATCTCTATTTTTTGTGTTTATCTTTTTTTATGAAAATATGTTTTAGTAACTCGTGTTAAAATAATATAAATTTCTTCTGTTACCCTAGCTTTTAATAAGTTATCATTGTAAAAATAATGAACCAGAAAAATTAGAAACAAAACACAAAAGATGGTATAAAGGAGACCTTGAAATGTCGCAATACTTCTTAAAATTAATAAAATCAGGATTTTGAATCGATGGCATCGTTTTAGAACTCAAAGTTATCTCTATGTTTCAACACTAGATTCAACTATGATCTTATGTAAATTTAATTTTTTATAAGATTTGAATAATTAAAGGTGACCAATAGGTTTTTGGTCTAATTATAGTGAGTTTTTCTTACTTGTAAAAACTCATGGATTCAAATCTTTTATTTGAAATATTTAAATTTTATTACGAGAAGAAGCTAGAGTAACATTTTATATTTATAATAATAGTCAATTCAGACGATGGTCGTAATAATACTATCATCCCCTCTTTTGCTCCATGATTACTAATTATTAATGTTAACTCTTTAACCGCTAACAACTGATGTAGATTGCAGGATCCAATCTATGGCAAGAAAAATTCTTTGAAGATGTCTTAGATTGGATTTTATGATTTGAATTTAGAGAGTAGAATACAACTCTACATTTTAAAAATTTTCTTTTTTTACTCTTTGAATTTATTTTCTTTTGGATAGACTACAATGCGAATTTTAATTTGGCAAATTAAAATGTATATAGATATTTTCTCTTTTAAAATAAACTATACACATCCTATTAATTAAATTTTTAGTAAATCAAAATTCAACCGTTAATTAACCATAATGATATTATCGTTTTTTGTTTTTTTCCCAGTCAACTGACTTTAGTGGAAACTGATGTTTGGGCTTTTGAATAGTGGAAAGTTTCAGCTTTGAGTTGATCTTTTTTTTTTGGAAACCTTTTTTTTGTTACGTGTAATTATGGATTGCCAACATATATGTGCAGGTTGGAGCAGAATTTGTGGGAACCTTCATCCTGGTATTTGCAGCAGCAGCAGCAGGGCCAATAGTAAACCAAAAGTACAATCAATTCGCAGAGACACTAATTGGAAATGCTGCAGTTTCAGGACTAGCAGTGATGATGCATAGTTCTGTCCATCGGACACATCTCAGGAGCTCCATTTGAACCCATCAGTCACCATTTCCTTTGCAGCTCTATGTCACTTCCCATGGGTGCAAGTGCCTGCGTACATTGCAGCAAAAGTATCAGCCAGGCTCCATCTGTGCTTCTTTTTCTCTAAACGGAGTCTTCCATCCATTCATGTCCGGTGTTGTTACCGTTCCATCCGTAAGCACTGGCCAGGCTTTTGCACTTGAGTTCCTCATGACTTTCAATCTCATGTTTGTCATCACCGCCGTTGCCACCGACACTCGTGCTGTGAGTGTTGTGTACTTGTACCATTTGAAATTCTATGTATAATCCAAATCTTGTAAAAATTAACCATATGAAGTCATTTTACTGATTTCGTATAAAACATTTGCTGGAAACCACTACCTTTTCCTTCTTTCCTTGTAAACAGCAAAATTTTTCCTTAATTAGTAAAAGGAGATTTTTTTTCCAATTTAAACACTAAATATTGTGATTTTAAATATAATAATCATTACCAAAGATTGTTTTTAACGGTAAAATTATTGTTTTAGTTTAGTTAGGAATCAATTTCTATTATCTACTTGCAGATAACTAATCTTTGTTGATATTAGGATTGGGTTCATTTGCTTTAAACAGCAATACTCAAGTAATCTAACAAAGGCTAAATATATTTTAATGTTGAGTTAGTTTAAAAAATGATAAATCTAGTTTTGATTAAATGAAAACTGGTATAAAAATATTTCACTGTCTATAAATATATAAATAATTAATGATTATTTGGTACAACATAATTCTCGTATACATGTTTATATATCACTGACTTGTTGAATGTTATTTTTTAAAAATTAATAAAATGAGTGTAATTAATTCATTTTTAGTATTAAAAACTCTGAGTATAAAAATAATTTATAAGAATTTTCAAGAGTCTCTATGTTTTCCTCTCTCTTTTATGGACAGGTAATGGCAATTGGAGCTACGGTTATGCTAGGCATTCTTGTTGCAGGTAATTAAGTAACTCTCACCCTCTTCTTTCTTCATCAGTACTCGATTATTTATTTGTTCAGAGTTTTTTTCCTTGATGATTTTAATAGAGAAGAAATTGAACTCAAAATTCTTATTGCTAAAAATATCATGAGTTTTTAATTGTGCTTTTCATAGGTTTAAAAAAAAAACTTATTTGTTCTAAACTCCTTCATGGGTTTTTCTTTTTTAGTCCAGCATGCTCTTCATTCTTCAAATCTGTTTTGAAAACTTTAATCGTTCAACTAATTGATTTTCTCTGATTCAATGGTTAGAAATTTGTCAAGAAGTAATTTTGGAAAGAATCTTAGTGAAATTAGTGAGTTTTCTCCTATTTAGATCTTGTATTTTTCAAAAAAAATATTGACTCTTTTTTTATTTAGACTTTTTATTTTTATTTCAGACTCTTTATTATATTGTCATTAATTAGTTATTGACCTTTTTTTGAGATTTTTTACTCTATAATGCCATTTCAGAGGATTTAAAATTAAAAACAAAAATCTTGAAAAGTAGAAGGTTTCACTGGATTAAAAAAAAAAAAAAAAAAAAGATAGAGAATTTCAATTCAGAAAACACATGATCTATAAAAAAAACCCTAAAATTAGTATTGTCTTTCTTTATGAGAGAGAATCTTTGATGCTTATTTTCGAAAACTATTGAAGTATAATTGGAATAGAGAGTCTCTAATAAGACTGTTTCATTACTTGAGTATAGCAGCAATCAAAGAAGTTGAACTACAAGTTGAAAAGGAAGCTCTCTTGACAATCAATTCTACCAAACTTGTTAAGAGGACTTCAATTTTCAAGATTATGGACAATACGACAAGTTGTCATCTTGCTAAGGAATATAATAAGGGTCCATATACTTTCTTTTATTATTATTATTATTATTATTATTCTAGGAGCAATGGGAACGTGGGATGTCTGTGTTAATTAAAACCGAATGCTTAAAGTTGCATTTCCAACTTAGTTCTTTTTTTTTTTTTTTTAATTTTCTCTCTTTTTTTTGAGTAATTTACGTTAATTATTTCTTAAATATTAAAAAATTTATCGTCAGTTAGGTGAGCCCTATCTTAACGGGTTAGAAAGATTGATGCTGCATACAAACAAGTACTTACATAAAATTATAGTATAAACGTATGTTTAGTTATTATTACTTTTATTATTATTTTGTATGGAAGATCAATCAATTGAAATTGAGAAAAGTGCAGATTAGTTTATTAAAAAAATAATAATAATAACCAATAAGTTCAATGATATTTTTTTAGACCAGTAAATTCAATTTTTAAATTTTCTTTCAAATAAGTTCACGTCTTTTTATATTTTTCTACAGAATTCTTAGAATATACGGAAAAAATGTTATTTATCTTTTTTTTCCTTAGAAAACACTTTGCAAGAAGTTTAATTTTACATTTTTATAATTTATACTTTTTTTTATTTTTTCCCTAAAAAAATTTATAATTTTTTAAAAAATAAAGATTTTTATTATCATACAATTTTATCCTTGTTAGTTGCTATAATTCTTATCATAGATTTAAGACACCTCATTAGACTAATGATAATTAAATATTTTATTTAAAAAAATAAGATTCACAAACATGAACAATTATATTTTATATTTTATTATCGTAATTTGATTTGAATATAATTAAGATTTACGGTAATATAGAAAATAGATTACAATTATAAACTATTTTATAAATGAAAGAAACTAAACATTCAACAAAATTATCATGAAAGGTTTTTTAAGAAAACTAAAGAAAAGAAAAGGAAAATTAATTGATAATTTTTTTTTAAGCGCATAAAGAGGGTAATATAAGTAACCAATTTAAATATGAATTTTTTTTTTTTGGAAGATGAAATACAAAATTAACTTATAATTACTCTTAAAATTAGCATAGAATTCATTGGTAATTTGTATTTCAAAAATCACGAATTTACATGTAATTTTTTTTATAAGAATCACCTTTACCATTTATAAATTTATATAGAAATTTGGTATGAAAATTTTGTCGTAAATCATTTTGCAAGTTAAAAAAATAGCTAGAGAAATTATGAAGGAGAGTTGAAGGCTAGTCAAGACCATATAATAAAAGTAAGGCATCGAGAATAATAATTATAATAATCTTTTTTGACGTTGACAGGCCATCGAGCGGGGCTTCTCTGAATCCTGCGAGGGCACTGGGTCCAGCAATAGCTGCAGGAAACTACAAAAAAAATTGGCTTTATCATGTGGCACCAGCACGCCGACACTTGGAGCCGTAGTTGGTGCTGCTTCCAACGCTGCCGCGAAACTCCGGGTGGTTGAGGCTGATCCACCCTGATAAATTTTATAATACTTAAAAATTAACCAATGATATTTATACTATTTATTCTGAGAAATTTTATAATACTTAAAAATTAACTAATGATATTTATACTATTTATTTAATGGATCAACCTTGAGAAGAGATAAAGATAACGAGATAAAAAAAAAAAAAAGAGAGATATCAAGGAAAATTAAAAAAAAATTTAAACGAAGGTGAAAATCTTCTTATCACTTTTAATGGATTTGGAAGTAATTCTCTTTTTTTTTATGTATATCTCTTTTTTCAAAGTAAATCCAAGTGTATATCTCTTTTCTTAAAATGAATTCAATAATTAATTATTATATATGTTATCGGTTATTTCTTAAGTATTACAAAATTTCTCGACCCACTCCACCAAGTTAGAATCTTCAATTGCTAGGAGATCATTATTGCGAGTGTACGTAATTAGTAACGAAGCTCGAGGCTTTATTGCAAAGCGGCCAAAAGAAAGCTCGATATACAATTTTTTTTTTGTCTATCTCTTTTCTCAATATGGATTCAATAAGTAACTATTATATGTGTCACTAATTATTTCTTAAATATTTGAGCGAATGTGAGAGAGAAAATGAATTCGGATGTAATTCTTCTAATCACTTTTGATGGGTTCGGACGTAATTCTCTCTTCTTCTTCTTTTGTCTATCTCTTTTCTCAAAATTGATCCAAGAAGTAATTATTATATGTGTCACTAGTTATTTCTTAAGTATTACAAAATTTCACGACCCACCCCGCCAAGCCGAAGCTTCGATCGCTAGGAGATCATTATTGCAATGTCTATAAATACCGAGTGAAGCTCGGGCTTTATTACAAAGCGGCCAAAAGGAAGCTCATTATACATTTTTATTTTTTGTCTATCTTTTTTCTCAAAATAAATCCAAGTGTCTATCTCTTTTTCAAAATGGATCGAAAAAGTAACTATTAAATATGTCACTATTTATTTTTTAAGTATTACAAAATTTCACGACCCACACCGCCAAGTTAGAAGCTTTAGTCGCTAGGAGATCATTATTGCGAGTGTCTATAGTTAGCGGCGAAGCTCGCGATTTATTGCAAAGCGGCTAAAAGGAAGCTCATTGTACATTTTCTTTTAAAAATTCATCACGTGCATATGTATATGTATTTAATAAATTCATACTTATTATGAAATCACATAGTTGGTGGTAAGAAATTAAAACCCATGTGCTACTCAAAAGTAAAAAATAAAAAACACTAAAAATCTAAGTTTTTATGAAGCATCCGTTTAATTGTCTTTGATCGTTCTCATCGTGGCGACCTCTTTTTCATTCTTTTTCATCAACATATATATTGGCACGTCCGACGAAACATAACAATATACATTAGAAAACGGATCATTAAGAACAATAAGATGGGCAAACACACTCGGGATTTTCTAGTTAGTTATGAACTCTTTGTTCATGGTACTAGTGAAATCACTAATCACTAATAGAGTGCCTCCTTCATTCCACCGAATTGCCACACTACACTCGAGCCATAGTGAAACCATAATTTTAAATCGTGAATGGTCGAAAATATGATCATGATCATTATTATGAATCGTGATTTATTATCATATTAGAATAATGATGACATGGTATTTCAAAATCGTTATATAATTTAACCATCGTTATTTAAAATTATGAATGGAACCACTGCTTAAGCGGCGATTTTATATCGGCTAGCTCATTTTGATCTCTTCCATGGAACATAGTCTTTAGAGCAATTTCCTTCATCGGTATTTATGACCAAATACTGGGCTTTCTTCGAAAATACATCTTATAATCGAAGTTAAATCGACCGATGCTTGTATGAATGTTATGGAATTAATGATGGAAATATAGAAGAATCTTTGGAGATCGAGAAATATATGCAAGAGTTAATTTATGGCTTTAACTTCAATGGAAAGGTTAAAAGAAAAATTAATACAATAAAGGGAGGCGGAAGATTGGGATTCTAAGTCGAGTGGGCTAAAAATAAAAAAAGGATATTTTTGAGAGAAAAAAATGAGTTTTTACGTTCCGGTGACATGCCCATTTGTGAGTGAGGGTCACCTTTTTAGGCTTAGAAAGCTAGCCCAAAACATAGCCATGAAAGTTAAATATAAAATAATAATAATAACAATTATGTACAAACATAAAAAGTGAAACTCACAAGCAAAAAAATTATTCAATATCCAAACTATAGCTTCTTCTTTTTTTCCTTTTTAAAAGTAGTCACATGATTTCAATTCAAGAAATTTAGCTAACTAACCAAAGAGTAATGGCACTTTAAGAAATTTTAGATACCCAATTTTCGCAATCACTTGATGATAAATTTTACCTCAAACAAACACACATGCATGTTCCTCAATTATTAGAGAAGTTTAATACTTCGAGTGACTTATTTCAGCCAACAAGTAAATTAAAATTTATTTATTTTTATTTGTATTTTTTAAAAAGCCCAAAATATATCAAAAGCCTGTTTATTGGGAAAAGTCCAGTGAATTCGGTAATTGGTTTTTCATCCCAATCTTGTTTAGTTTATTTAGCTTCACTCAAATTTCATTCTTAAAAAAATCATATTTAATTGATTTGTTAATTCAAAACTTATAACATGTACATGGTGATCAAGGTTATAATCTATAAGTCTTTAGAAAGCTAGAGATTTTAGATGTTGATGATCGGGAATTAACAAATATATATTAAAAAAAAAAATAGGATCTCGGATAAACAGTATTGTTATTTAAATTATTTTAGCATGAGATACTAAAATTAGTAAATATGAATGGCCAATCACATCTTAGTTCTTTTTAATGATTAATCACTCAGCTGATTCCAAATTGATTCCAACTAAATTATCTCAAAGAGTTTTTTCAATGTGGTGCATCAAGGATATCACCGGAATAAGCAAACACATAACCTAAGTTAAAATAAATAATAAAATTAGGATAAGGAAATTTTATTTAATATCTTCTAAACATATTTGAAATAAATAAACACCGAAAAAAAACTAGAATAAATAAGGAAACAAAAGATACAAAGCATAAAAAATTAACTCCGTGACTCAATAGTAAGATGTGATAAAAGTTGTTTTGAAATGCACACCGAGTGATTGCCCGGTTGCTCTATTGATTTTTTGGATTTTATTTCGATCCGGTATGTATGGGGAGTAACCTCAAATTATAGTAATGGGTTTATGGAAATAACATGACGAGAAAGTGTTTATTTTGATTGAACGTTTGAGATATATATATATATATATATATATATATATATATATTAGTTTGTATCTTTCCTTTATTTTTTGTATTCAAATCTTAATACGATTCCTCTAGATTGGTCAAAATTCAAAAAGCTAATATTGTGATTTGTGTAGATAGCGAGTCAACTAATTAAATTGAATTAATGTAAGTAGCGAGAAACATAAAAAAAAGGAGCATGCACTACTACTTAAGCACAAATCGAGTGACGGACAAGTTGATAGTCTAATGGATAGAATTTTAGGTAATGTTTTGCATGTGAAGGTTTTTTGATTGAGATAAAAAAAAATTGGAGTATTAGAAAGTTTCAATCCATTCATAATAACATGAAGTTGATATCTATAGCGAACAAAAGATGATCATTGACGGCTAATATTTATCACATCATTCATATTTGAGTTGAAAAAAATTTGAGTTTTTTTGAAATAAATTACTTCAACTTATTAATTAAAACTAAAATAAGTAATAATTGAGTTTTTTTTAGTAAATTTTGTTTTGAATCAGTCCAATCTTTTTAATGCATTGTAAAGAAAAAAAAATATTGATTTTGGAATACTCATGTCCATTTTTACAATAAAAAACTTTGTATTGAATTGGGTCTATGGTTAATCTATTTATGGAGTATCTTGAATTCATGTCAAAATCAAGAAAATAACAAAGATTGACACATGGTAAAAATTAATTAGGTTATTTAATTACTTTTTTTTTAAAAAAAATTAACACATGCTTGCTCAAAGCCAAAGTGAAAACATGTGTTTTTAAAATCATCCTAAAAAGAAGTTAATCTTTACCGAATAAATCAATCCGAAGTATCCTTATCTTAACTTAAATAAAAAAAAAAAAAACTTTTTGACTAAAATGCAACGATTTATATGACATGCAATAAGAACGGCTTGTGCATAAGGTGGCCCTCTCTTATACACGTCAATACATTCAAAGAAGAATTTCCAAAGCACGGGGCACGCCCAACCTCTCTCTCTCTCTCTCTCTCTCTCTCTCTGTAGCGATGCAGCATCCTATACGTAGGTCGTACTTATAGCCTGCATCCTATAATTGTACTCTACTTTCCGAGCTATTATAACTTAATTCCTGTAATTTATCGAAACAAAATTAATTAATATAAAAAATAATAAATTTCATCATCCTCAATTTAATATTTTTTTATTTTATTTTTTCTTTCAATTTTCTTATATTTCATTCGAGACCCACGGAGATAAAGTGACTAATATTTCAATAACACGAAACGTTTCATAAGAGATTTGTATGCATTAATGGATTGATTCTATTACGGTTTCTTAAAAAATGAAAACAGTGGTGTGACTACCATCTTTTTTAATTTTAAAAACTAATTAATTAGTCATTATATTTCAAATCTATTTATAATTTAATCCTTTTTTGTTTTTAATTTATTTTGATTTTTTATTTTAAAAAATAGAAAATTTTAAAAACATATGTAATGATTGATCAGAAAAAAAATACTTTTTAAAATAAAATAATATTAAATGAACTATAAGTAACACTGACTGAGGGATTAATTAATTAATGTTTGAAACAAGAGGGACTATTTAATTTATTTTAAAAAACTAAAGGAACTAATTTATAATTTACTCCCTTCTTTTTCTCTATTTCTTTACCTGTCAGCCATCCAAATCAATAAAAGCAGACAAGCACATGGAAACGCAACAACCTTCACCACCTGACCCGGACTTCCCCACTTAGATTATTAAATTATTCATTCAATCACAAAATCATTAGCCTTTAATTATTGATTAATGTCAACTCAGTCTGTGAGGTTAGTCTTGTTGATATCTAGGTAATGGGATTCACTCCCCCGCCCCGCGGCGTTATCGAATTCTTGGAGAAATTGCAAGTGAGAAATTTTTTAAAAAGATATCAATTCTAACGTGGATACGGATATATCGGGTACACGTGTATTTTATTGGGTCCCACCAGACTACCAAATGTATAAATAGTTATACCTTAGGTGTACGAGTAGTCGATTCGAGCATATCCTGAGCAGATAAGCATTAGTACCGTACAAGAGATTTATGGATTTTTAAAATCCTCCGGTCATATTTTTAAATAGACAAATACATTCCAAAATTTTATAATACTTAAAAAATAATTAATAAAATTACTTTATAGATTAATTTTAAAAAAAAGAGATAAATATATATAAAAACAAAAATTAAATTAACATAAAAATCTTCTTATCACTTTAATGTCACTAATTATTTTTAAAATATGATAAAATTTATGTATACTATAACTAATTATATTTTTATTTATTTATACGAATCATAATGATAAACTATACCTGTAATAAAATCTTTAAATTATCTCTAACAAATGAACAGTATACATGAAGTTATCATCTGTGCTCAGTAATAATTCATCAATTTTATAAATATTTATTTTCTAATCAGAATCTGAAATTATACGTGATAAAAGAATTGACGTTTTTATCTTGTTTTTCATACAAGTTTGCAAGGCTCTAAGCTATCATAGCTGCGAGATATAGGATCTTAGGTTCAGAAGTCTTTTTTTCTTTTATCGCTTAACTCCCACTCATTTTCTTCTAACATTTGTAATAGTCATTTTGAAAACAAAAATTATTAATTTAACTAAAAATTAATAAAAAAAACTAAATTATTGAAGAAATTAAAACGTAAAATATTAAATAATTAGTTTTTAAAATGAAAGAAATTAATTAATTTTTTTCTTTAAAAGAGGGTGCCTAATTCAGAATTTATTCTATTCTAACACTTGCAATATCCTTTTTCAAATTTATCTCTCTCGATCTTAGCTAGCACAAAGATCAAAAGGCCCTTTATCTAACTAAGAATACTTCTTTTACAATTACTCCAACCAACACAACTATTGTTTTAAGTTTTTTTTACGCCACATCAACCGTGAGAAAGGTCATCTCATTACATAAGGTTTTCCAACCTCACCGTATAGTATACTTAAAACTTGGGGAAAAAAAAATTTCAGTCTGGCTGTAATGATTTTCTTGCAGTTACCATAAATTATGAATTCAAATCCTTTTTTCAGGATATTAAAACTTTTTTAAAAAAATATCTTTATAAAACTAAGTTAGAATATTCTTTTATTTTTACAATGATGACTAATTTAGTCTGTCCTGATGATAAATTTTTTTCTTATTTTCTTAACTACTAATGCAATTTTTCTGGCGCTTGACAATTGATGTGTGTTATATATTCCTATATACGACAAAAAAAGAAAAAGAAATTCGTGGCATGATTCCGTGAATTATATGCTCTCTAAGTGTCCATAAATGGAACCCTAATGGCAATTATCGTAATACTCCAACAAATATGAGGGCGAGGGCGAACTCCAGATGTCTTGGCCAATAGAAGTCTGTCGGAGGGTATCTGATAAAGAAGGTGTTAAAATCACTTTCTTCAACTTTCCGACCCTATCACTCGGTTCCACACTTCCACCCCATCCCAGCTCCCGTCCTGTACCTGTTCCGCCAGTCACATCACTTGGACTTTGTTTTTTCGAGAATTGCTGGAGAAAATAATGAAAATGAAAAGGTCCACTCATTCCACTTTGTAGGTATATTATCCATGCGTTATTCCTTTTCTTTTTCCAACAGTAAAAAGATATTTTGGATTGCACTGTGTTCCCTGCTAATTAAGATTAAGTGTTTTTTTTTTAACACAGTGTATCTAGATAAATAAAAAATTTCAAATAATACTTTAAGGTTCAAACTTGTAAAGTAAGCAAATTTCTTTAACCATATATATACATTTTGATTATATTAGTACTGTTTCAGCAAGTAAGTTACCAGACCCAAATAGCTAGCATATACGTATTCACACAATAAAAAATGTTTCATTTGTATAAAATATTTTTCAAGTTTGTTTGGCACAGAATATTTAATATGAAAATTGATTAATGTAAAATATAAAAATATTTTTAACTCATTGAGTTTCATAACATGTTTTTATAAATAATAATCAATTTATAATATCGTTAATTTATTTCAACCATCACTAGTACTTCCGTCGTTGTTGCTCTCGTCGTTACATCTCTATCTTGCCTTTGTTATTGTCGCCACCGTTACAACTACCATCCAGTGGCCACCATTACTCCATCATCATTTTCTCCATCTTGATATTATTGTCACAATCATCACCTTAACCCTGGTATTCCAACTACTATCGCATCGTTAACATCATTTTATTACAAATATATTTTTTACATCATATAAATATCTAAAACTATAAATTTATTTTATTTTATTTTAAATATTTCATTCAAAGCAAGCACTCGTTTGCAAAATATTTCACACAAGCAAGTTGTGAGATTAGATGGCTATGCTACACGAACAAAAATGATCCAATTATCAAGAGCATACTTGAGTGGTATGAATTAAAAACCCCTTGTTTATTAATTGCATCAATTTTTTTATTCAATAACGTGACATCAGCAAATCGGTATTGATCGATCATTAAATTTTATAATTATAATCACTCCATTAAATGTGATTAGATTTATATTCCATAATTTGAAATTCTTTCTTTATAATATATGTCACGCCATTTGGCAAGCAAAATTTAGTTGAAAAAAAAAATACAATACCACTCTCTCGCGTTTGAAATCCAACAATTGATTTTGAATTCAAGAGAGAAATAAAATAATAAGAAGTTAAAGTGTTACTATATTTATCATATATTAAATCATATAGTTTCCATTTTAGTTAAATGATTTATATTTAACGAACACGATAATCATATTTCTAAATAAAAATAAAAGGATCTTGATTCAGCATCATTCAATATTCTATTCAAAGTAATTGAGTTGAAATAGTTAAGAATAACACCCAAATACTTAAATTCTTACTCATGTTTGTTTGTATGGGTTATATAATGGGTAAGTTTTTAAAGGGATTTATATAATAGAAAGCTGGACCAAAATTAAAGATCCAATTATCGTCTTTATTTTTTATTTTTTCATAACAAACAAAAGGATCATAGTTGGTAAATAGATTTGCTTCTTTTATTACCATAAAGGCTTTGGATCCTAAAAATAAGAATTGTTAGAAAATAATTTATGGATGTATCAGTCAAGATATTGCTGATTTTCACCGAAATTAATAATCTCATGCCAACGGAAAAAAAAAAAAAAAAACACGAATTCTCATTTGTTTTGTCGCAGAGCAACATTTCTTCTTTTTTAAAGCAAGACAGTTGTCAGCTAGAGATTCCGGGCCGAGAAACTCGACAAACTGGAGTCGGCTAAGTGGGCACCACAATTAACTGTACTTATGTATAAGAACCTTGTCAGATCTAATAACTTATCCATTCTCCATAAGCACTCATAGATATGATGTCCTGCTTATCATCCTCGTTATCTGTCTCCACTTTCCTTTTAAATTCACCATTGCTGCAAGGTTTAATGTCGATATATATATATAGACCAAAAAATATTTATGGACCATATAAAACTTTGTGGAGAGAGAAAGTCAAGACAGAGAGAAGAGATAAAAAAAAATTTCTGCTTCATTTCTACAGAGAGAGAGAGGGAGATAGAGAGAGTCTGATCTCTCTGCTGCTTTCATTAGGAGGTGAGTTTCGTAGAAATATCTCAGAATCTCTCTTTTCTTTTTATATTTTTTGATTCCTAAGAAAGAAAAGTAGATTTTTCTTTTGATCCCTTAAGAAAATCAAATCCCTAATTATGATCTGGTTCTAGGTTTTTCATTTTTGGCAGCTCTGTATTTGTGATTTTTTTTTAAAATTTTTTTTTGGTCGCATGCAGATCTGGAGCTACAGTCGGCGGTATTTGTGCATTTGGTATACAAAACGGTGCGTTTAAGATGTCTTCTCTCAGTAGAGAGCTTGTTTTCCTGATCTTGCAGTTCCTCGACGAGGAGAAGTTCAAAGAGACTGTTCATAAGTAAGCTTTGTTTTTAGGGTTTTTTTTTTTTTTTTTAATTGTTATGATCGTAGCTAATTGTTTTAGTGATTACTGATCAATTATTAATTTTGGTGTAATGTGATGTGAAAATAAATAAATAAAATAGGCTTGAGCAGGAATCAGGATTTTTCTTTAACATGAAGTATTTTGAGGATGAGGTGCATAATGGTAACTGGGATGAGGTGGAGAAATACCTCTCTGGTTTCACTAAAGTGGACGACAATCGATATTCTATGAAAATATTTTTCGAGATAAGGAAGCAAAAGTATCTCGAAGCATTGGATAAGTAAGCTTGCTTGCAATTCGTTTTTTTTCCTTAACTCTTTTTATTATTATTATAAGCTTATGAGCTATTGTTGGTGTAGTGATAGTTTTAAGAATGTTTTGAAATTTTATAGGCATGATCGCTCCAAGGCAGTTGAAATATTGGTGAAGGATTTGAAAGTATTTTCCACATTTAACGAGGAGCTTTTCAAGGAAATCACACAACTGCTGACATTGGAGAATTTTAGGTAGATGTGTGTTGATGTAATCAGATTCTTTAGTGTTAAGTAAGCATAGCAAGTTACTCAAATTTGCTTTGCTGTAAATAGGGAGAATGAGCAACTCTCCAAATATGGAGATACCAAGTCGGCAAGAGCAATCATGCTGGTGGAGCTGAAGAAGCTTATTGAAGCAAATCCCTTGTTTCGCGACAAATTGCAGTTTCCTAACCTTAAGAATTCAAGGTTACGCACTCTCATTAACCAAAGGTAATTCATCTATGGATGCATGTATAATATGATCTCATTAGATTACCATCGTGGGGTTTTGTTGGTTGTTACCTGGGAAATCTTCTTATATGATGTCTTTGTTTATTAACTGTTGTGTAAAACACTTGCCTACCATGACATGTAGAATAATGTTTGTTTGCATGTCCAGGATTAACTGATGAACTCCTATCACGTAATCTTTGTTTGAGTTGTTCCATAATTGAGAGAATCATGATGAAACTTTCATCATTTCTTGTTTCTGTCTCTGGACTGTAGGCTTGAAACTCTTGGAGTAGGATACGATCTAATCAGTTTATATCTTTGTGTAATTTACCTTGACATTATTACTTCATGTTTCCTTTTCTTTCTTTAAACCATAGAAGTATATGTTTTTAGTTGCAATGTACAACATCTATACACTTTGGTGTGGTTACGAACAGAGAACTTAGTTTGCTATGTAAATTACAGCTTGAATTGGCAGCACCAACTTTGTAAAAACCCAAGGCCGAACCCAGATATAAAGACTCTTTTTGTTGATCATTCATGTGGACAACCAAATGGTGCTCGGGCTCCGTCACCTGCAAACAATCCACTGCTTGGATCCTTACCGAAAGCTGGAGGGTTTCCTCCGCTGGGTGCACATGGGGTGGGTCATCAGCTTGGTTGATTGTATTTTTTCTTTTTTCTCTTCCAGTGACAACACATCCTTACCCTTATGTGGTTGAACTTTTATATTCAGCCATTTCAACCTACATCAGCGTCAGTCCCAGCACCTCTTGCAGGTTGGATGTCCAATCCTTCCACAGTAACTCATCCAGCAGTTTCTGGAGGAGGAGCAATTGGTCTCGGTGCTCCATCAATCTCAGGTAGTACATTCCTTCAATTTGCTATTGATGCTTCTGCAAACTATCAAGCTGAGTTTGTGAGGATACATGGTTCCATTTCTAATAATACATGCATTTTGCTGCCTTGCATAGCTGCTCTGAAGCATCCAAGGACTCCTCCAACTAACCCTTCTGTAGACTACCCTATGGGAGATTCTGACCATGTTGCTAAAAGAACAAGGCCAATGGGGATATCCGATGAGGTAGTCTGGTTTTGCTGTCATTCTTATCGTACTCTTTTTGTGAATATGAATCTTGCCAGTAACTTGTGAACTCCTGTTATTATGTTTATGTTATTCCCTTGCAAACTGTTTTGTTGATTGCTATCATCTATGCAGGTAAATTTACCGGTTAATGTATTGCCAGTATCATTTCCAGGGCATGGTCATGGTCAGACTTTTAATGCACCTGACGACTTGCCAAAGGCTGTTGCACGGAATCTGAATCAGGGATCATCTCCTATGAGCATGGATTTCCATCCTGTTCAACAGACTCTTCTTCTAGGTCTGCTTGATTTTTCAGTCTTTCATTTGGTTGGTTCTGTGCTTTAGCATATTTGTATCCTTAAGCATTAGCCTAGAATATACCCTGGTCTGAACATTGAATGCTTTTAATATGCTGCTACAGTTGGTACCAATGTTGGAGACATTGGGCTTTGGGAAGTTGGCTCTAGGGAGCAACTGGTTTTAAGGAACTTCAAAGTTTGGGATCTGAATGCTTGTTCGATGCCCCTTCAGGTTTGTTCTTTATTTTTTTATACCTATAGCACTAGTTATCATGTGTACTGCTGGGTGCTTGGTGTACTGGAATGACTTAAATTGAACTGTCTTTTTTTTTTTCCCTGAAATTCAGGCAGCTTTAGTCAAAGATCCTGGCGTCTCTGTTAACCGTGTAATCTGGAGTCCGGATGGTTCCTTGTTTGGTAAGCTAAATCTATTACACTTCATGGGTGGATTAGGAATATGCGTGAGATTTCGGGGGTGAAAAGGCACACTGATTTCTTATCTCTTTCCAATAACAGGAGTTGCATACTCAAGGCATATTGTACAAATATATTCTTATCATAGGAATGATGATGTGCGGCAGCATGTGGAGGTATATAATCTCAAGTTACACCAGTTTCAAGCTTGTTATTCTTTGTTGCTTTGGTATTTGATTTTACTTGATTTGAAATGACTCAACTTTTTCCCTTTTAGATTGATGCTCATGTTGGTGGAGTAAATGATCTTGCATTCTCGACTCCGAATAAGCAACTTTGTGTAATAACCTGTGGTGATGACAAAACCATCAAGGTAGGGTCTAATATCACTTTTTGTTTTTTAGACATGAAAAGCATCAAAGGTCGTTTCTTCAGGCAGAAGTGAAAAGTTTCCCATTGCCCCCCTTCCCAAACAAAAACAAAAAAATGATAATATTAGGTGTGGGATGCTGTCACTGGTGCAAAATTGTATACCTTTGAAGGTCACGAGGCTCCAGTTTATTCCATCTGCCCACATTATAAGGAAAACATTCAGGTGACATGTCCGTTCTGTGCACATTGTTGTGTATCCTGTTACATATTTCAAGTTCATCATGTTGTTTTTCTCCTTCCTCCAACCGATCATTTTTGGTTTGGTTTGCCATGTTGCTTGACTTTCCTTCTGTGCTCAGTTTATTTTTTCAACAGCACTGGATGGAAAGATAAAAGCATGGTTATATGACAATTTGGGATCTCGAGTTGATTATGAGGCTCCTGGTCGCTGGTGCACAACCATGGCATACAGTGCTGATGGTACAAGGTCAACACAATAGACTCATTGCTCAATGGTCTCCTTTTTCCCAATATTTGTGCATGGTTGAATTAATAATGCTCACATGCTGCCTTTGGGTTTTCGGGTGGAAACTGCAGGCTATTTTCTTGCGGTACAAGTAAAGATGGGGAGTCATTTATTGTTGAATGGAATGAAAGTGAGGGTGCTGTGAAAAGAACCTATCTTGGATTTAGAAAACGTTCTTTGGGTGTCGTGCAATTTGATACAACAAAGAATCGGTTTTTGGCTGCTGGTGATGATTTCTCCATCAAGTTCTGGGACATGGACAGTGTTCAACTTTTGACAACAATTGATGCTGATGGAGGCCTCCCAGTGAGTTTATTATGTGCTACTAAACTGTAAGAGATTGTTTTGAGGATTATATTGCTTATTTTGGCTTTAACAATTCTTAGGCAAGCCCACGTATCCGCTTCAACAAGGATGGCACTCTGTTGGCTGTTTCTGCCAATGAGAATGGGATTAAAATATTGGCAAATTCAGATGGCATGAGGTTGTTGCGTACATTTGAAAATCTTTCTTTTGATTCCTCACGAGCATCTGAATCCGTTGCGAAGGTAGCTTTATCAATGATTAGTGCTTATGTCAGATTGCTCTGCTTGTAATTAAGTTTTGACTAACAGTGGCTTTCTCGTGCAGCCTACTGTGAACCCAATCTCAGCTGCAGCAGCTGCCGCAGCTGCAGCGGCTGCAACTAGCACTGGACTTGCAGACAGGGGTGCCTCTGTGGTCGCCATTACTGGAATGGTTCGTTGGACATGATTGTTCCTTTACAGTAGCATCTGAATTTTATTTGCAAGTAATTTGCATATCAATTGCCCTTCAATCACACAACTCATTATCGTAAAATTGTTTCTCTTAAGAGGACTGAACTAGAGACTAGGGGCATGATCTTAGTGTTCCTGATAGTGCCAAAAGAATCTGTCATCATTTTTAGTAACAAGCAAATTACTTTTGGTAGAATGGAGATGCCCGGAACTTGGGAGATGTGAAACCTAGAATAACTGAAGAATCCAATGATAAATCAAAGATATGGAAGCTCACTGAAATCAATGAACAATCTCAATGCCGGTCCTTGAGGCTCCCTGAAAATGTGAGAGTTAACAAGGTATGGAAATTTTTTCCCGAGGGCATCCTTTTTCCGTGCTGAAATCCTTTCTTGGGTCAATTATCTTTTTGTTCTTGCTTGGTCAATATCATTGCATTTCCGACTAACTAGGCTGCATTATTTTCATTTGGACAATATACTGATGTTGCATGTCTTCTAAAAGCTCCACGATTTAATTTATGCTAACTTTTGGACATTTAGTAAAGCTTTAGGTTACTGAAGCTTTGGAGGCACGATGATCTTATTTGAGATCATTTTCCTTTTCAGACTCTGAACTTGTTATTCAACTGCGCTATGATCAATTAGTACTCAAATATTTAACTTTACAGGATTACCTGGTACAGCTAATTTTTTAAATTTAAGCTTTTCCCATTGGCAAAATCCTGCTAAGAGTTCTTTACTCTTAATTATTTCAAAAAATTTGACAATAATGTAGAAATAGATGAATTTTGATCACATGCCAATGACAGTAAGAGGATGTAATAATTTGATAGTGGTAAATGGTTTCGAATACTAGTGGAGGAAAGCAACATATTGGGACTAGTTTGGAAGATGCTTAAAGCGAACTTCCATTACCACGATTTAAGAGTGGCATCTAGTCTCATCATGTTAACTTCATGCAAGTGATTGAGCATAATGCATTTTGAATACGTTTAACAACCATGCAATTTTAGTCCGTCCCATAAAATTCTATTATGTTATTAATGGAAAGAAATTCCAGATGTCAATATATTTTCAATGGTGATGTGATGTGCAAACATAAGAGTGTATGTTGGCTGGGGCATTATATTAACAAGCACCTGTTAGCCTTCTGTGGATTGAAATGGTCATCTTGACTTAAGGATATATGTCTTTTGGAGGGGGAAAAAAAAAGCTCTTTCCATGCACTGTTTAACAAAACAACTTATGATTGCCAAAATCTCCTTTTTTTTTTTTTTTTTTTTTTAACAACCAGTCATTTTATTAGGGTTAAATGCAAATCAATTACAAATAGCTGCCACTGGGCACATGGCAGAAAAGAACTACTGAATCAAGTAGTTACAGAGAGTGCTTTATCATTATATTTCCAAATAAATGCTGCTTAATGGAATTGGCAGTGTATGACGGCTATCCATATGTGTTCTTGCTTGAATTTTGGTTTTTTATTTAGTGGACTGGAATATGATACTTTATCAAGTTGACTCATGAACTCCATCTTGACTTCTTTGTTTTATTCTGTTTGCAACAAGGAAATTTTCATTAGCTTTATTTTTTATTATTATTGCAGATATCAAGGTTAATTTATACAAACTCTGGCAATGCTATTTTGGCATTAGCTTCAAATGCAACACACCTATTATGGAAATGGCAACGCAGTGATCGTAATGCTAGTGGAAAGGTAAAAGCACATACAAAGTGGATTTCATCAACCATTTGCATTTTATTATTACTCAAATTTCTAAAATGAGTTCCATTGTGTATTCGTTCTGTAGGCAACTGCTGGTGTGTCACCACAGTTATGGCAACCATCTAGTGGGATTCTGATGACCAATGACATCACTGACATTAACCTTGAAGAGGCTGTGCCCTGTTTTGCTTTGTCCAAAAATGACTCTTATGTTATGTCAGCATCTGGAGGAAAGATTTCCCTTTTCAATATGATGACATTTAAGGTAATTCAAGGATTGTTGGTTGTGATGTGATGTCAATTTCATTTGAATAATCTCATTTTCTTTGGCGAGTGCAGACGATGACAACTTTCATGCCACCACCTCCTGCAGCAACATTTCTTGCTTTTCATCCTCAAGATAATAACATAATTGCTATTGGCATGGATGATTCCACAATTCAAATATATAATGTCCGTGTAGATGAGGTATGGTGCAGTCATAGATAGTTATTCTCACTGCTATTGGTTATAGAAGCAACAATTTTTATTTAATATTGTTCATTTATTGGTTCAGGTCAAGAGCAAGCTCAAAGGCCACTCTAAAAGAATAACTGGCCTTGCCTTCTCCCATGTGCTGAATGTGCTAGTCTCATCTGGAGCCGATGCTCAGGTAATAATTTTCCAATTAGATGCCTTGTGTGCTGTCACTGTACTTTCATGTTTTAGGTTTTTCTATGGAATTTCACCTGTTAGATGTTCAGTTATTTTCCTTGAGAAATATGCATCAATACTTAATTTTTAAAATTTTGACATGCTTTGGCATAATTCTGCTTCACTACTGTGCAAGTGGGCATGCTTAAGGATTCTTTGTTTCTTCTTCTTCTTCTTCTTCGTCTTCTTTTTTTGGGCACATGGCAGGCTTAATTGCTCCCTGCAGCATCTATTTCCTTTTCTTACACAGTTACACCTCAAAAGATTTTGCATTTCTCTGAATTTCTTTGGTCTAGCATGCCAATCCATAAACTATTCCCAAATCTCGAGTTTGATATTAACTAATTTTCCTTTTTAACTTTTTATTTCTCCAGCTTTGTGTATGGAACTCTGACGGATGGGAAAAGCAGAGGACAAGATTCTTGCAGGTCCCAGCTGGTAGGACAGCACAATCAGACACCCGTGTACAATTTCATCAGGATCAGATACACTTCCTGGTTGTGCATGAGACTCAGCTTGCTATATATGAAACCACAAAACTAGAATGCGTTAAGCAGGTATTTTTGTCTGTTAGGTTGACTTTTTTGTGGAACTACCATGGTGGTTGTCAGGTACTGAGTTACATTTTTTTTTTTTTTTACAGTGGGGTCCACGTGAATCTCCTGTGCCAATCTCACATGCAGTTTTCTCGTGTGATAGTCAGCTGGTATATGCCAGCTTCTTAGATGCATCTGTCTGTGTATTTAGTGCTGTGAATCTCAGAGTACGTTGCCGTATCAATCCTTCTTCGTATCTTCCCCCTAATGTCAGGTAATTATCTTGCACCATTCATTATTGTTAGGTCATTTTAGATTTATCTTCAACATTACTCAGTTGACATGAGGTGCCATTGTGTGCATGTGCAACAATTTCCTATTTGCAGCTTCCAGCAACCATTCTAATACACTTGCAAATGTGTTAACTTGAATGAATAGTGGCCTGCCTGTTGCTTGTTTTTCAATTGCCACCAAGGTGTCCAATGGTTCATTTTGTGTCCAGCTTTGGGTTAACCTTTTCCTCCACTGATCTTTGAATTCCTTTTCCTTGTTTTCTCCAAAATAATATAGATCTGCCTTCCATTGGTGTTATGACTGTCTTGGTAGAAAGGATCACTTTATTGTATTGTTCTAAGAAGTTAAATGGTCTCAAGAGTTTACCATCTTTTACTGTACTACAAAGTAAATTTTAATAAATAAATAAACAGAGGGAAGAGAATATAAATTATAGATATCTATTGCTCTAGATAATAGTAAATACCAAACAAACAGGAATGAGTTTCCAAATATGGTAAAATCTTTTCATTCTCTTTGATATAGTCATGGACACGATTCTGCTTTTACATGTCAATTCCATTTGTAATAATATTTATCTTAAATTCCAGGCCCATCTACCTCCTGTTTATGTAATGCCCATCGTAATTTTGACAGTTTGCCAGCTAAAGTATAATTCTCTATCTCGTTTATATATATAATAGTCACATCGCTTTGACCCCCATTGTTTCATATACAGCTGTTCAAATGTCCACCCACTTGTGATTGCCGCACACCCACAAGAACCAAATCAGTTTGCATTGGGACTATCAGATGGTGGGGTTCATGTCTTTGAGCCAGTTGAATCTGAAGGTAAATGGGGTGTGCCTCCACCTGCTGAGAATGGGTCAGCAAGCAGTGTGCCAGCGACTCCTTCAGTTGGACCATCAGGTTCGGATCAAGCCCAGAGATGATTAATGACTGCCAGAGCACAAGTTCTTTTACATGCTTGGCTTGCTGGCCCATTCCTAAATTAGGTATGCCCCATATCTGGCTGCTTTTTGTACTTATTTCAGGACTTACTTTTACGCCATAGCCAACCCAACCCAACCAATTGATCCTACATCTGGCCATCTGAAAAACATGGTGCATTAAAGCATCAGGACCATGACTACTACTTTATTATGTTTGCCTGATTGGTTGAACTCAAAATACAATCTTGCATAATGTTAGTCTTGGAGTTCTATCAATTGAATTTGCATTTGCAGTAGTTTACACTTACCCAACACTCTTGCTGCTTGTCTAAGGTTATCTAACATTCGTCCTGCCTGGGTAGGTTACACCCAGTCAAAGTGCCTTGATTTGTTCATTTGCTTATCCATTGTCATTCATATGAACAGCATCAGTCTAGATCCCAGAATTTTATCCTCCTATCAACTTTATTGTCCTTCTTCGTTCTTATTTTCTTGATTTCTTTCTTCGTGCAGTTCGAGGTTCAATGATATGTAACCTTCTCAAGGAACTACTTGCAAAAGATGTAGATTTAGCATGTTCTGTCTGATACTTCGTGAGGTAAATGCTGTAGTAGTAGTAGTATTAATAGTGATACCTTTTGACCTTGAGCTAGAAATTTCTTCAAGGATTTTTTTTCTTCTTTTTTTAACTCTTGAATAGTCTGTAATATTTATTATTTTGTCTTCAAACATTGAAATTTCTTCATTGTTTTGTTTGTCATGGAGAATCTTTTCCCCAACCTCTTTCTACTGAGGATTTTAGACATCTGTCAGTTTTGCTTACAAGGATATTGGACAAATTGGACTAACATTCTTATTTGCCATTCTTTTCAATGCTGAAAAACAATCATTGCCCTTTTTTCTTTTTTCAGTTAAGTATAAATTAGTCCCTATAGTTTACTGCGATGAATTAATTAATCCCTAGAGTTTGGGAAATAATTAAGCAGTCCTGTCAAGTCAGTAACAGATTTGTCAATTTTTATGATAGCTACCTGTTTATGGTTATTGCAAACTAAAGTTAACATGAAATCAAAACAAAAATAAGATGGAACAATTGAAAACTCTGCGAGATCATTTTCCTCAACATCTCAATCCTTATGGCTAAGATCGTTGGACTCTCTTGTTGATTGTGGGAGACAAAAAGGTGTGGTAATGTCTGAGAGAGGAGAGGAGTTGCAGAGGTCTTCACAACTGCAGCGTGGGGAAGAATGGAAGAGGTTAGTTCTCTTACCAATTGAACGTAACTGGCTCGGTTTTTAGAGAATGAATTTTGGTGATGGCGGTGTTATTGTTGGGTTTCTCTTCAATGGTCGGTGAATGATTGGTTTGATTAAGAGCAAATTTGGAAGAGATTGAGATTCTTTCCAATGGTTGGTGAAAGATTGGTTTTGGTTGAGAGAGCAGATTTGGAAGAGATTGAGATTTTAAGCTCCGTTGAGAAATTGAGGGAATAAGTTTGTTCCTTTTTCTTCCTTGATAATTTGTGTTTAAACTTTTTTTTTTTTTTTTTTTTTTTCTCGTGGTTTAGGATAATGTAGTACCGTCACTCACACTCCATTATTTGCTAATCTCACTTCATATTTTGAAGTGATAAAATAAACCCTTCTTTCACATTTTCTCAAATTTCTCATTATCAAATGATGAAAACAACTCTAGATTTAAAATACAATAATTGAAAAGTAAAATAAAATTCAAAAACTCCTAAATGAAGGTATTGTTTTTTTTTTTCAGTCATTGATCTCTTACGTTTGATATTTTTATTCTTAATGGAGGTAGAGTTTACTTGTCTAAAATAATTTGTGCAATAAAAACGCAATTTTTTTTTTGTTAATCTAAGTTTCTCATAATGTATACTATGTGAAATGTAATATATTTGACATCACTGTCACTGTATGATATGTTTTGATATGAAAATATTTATTTTTACATATATAAAGAAAATTATTTATAAATAAGAGATATTTTGATCATAAAAATTATTCTTTATATTTTTTTAAGACCTGCAAAATATTTACTTATGATTTAAAATCTCTAAACTGTTCAGAAAATCAAATTTATAAACAAATTACTAATTTTTGGATTATTATATTTACTGTTGGGAGTATATTTTATAAGCTAATTAATTGTTTGTTATATAATATATAAAATAAAGCCTTGCAATTTTACTTGTTATTAAAACAAATCATGGAAGAAGTTTATTTTTGTCTATCCACACAGATGTGAAGTGGGATTAACAAGGGAAATTTTATAGTACTCATAACTAGTAATATGTATAATAATTACTCAATGAATCTATTTGGAGGAGAGAGATAGATGCAAAAAAAAAAAAAAGAAACAAGAGAGATAGAATTAAAAAAAAAAATTAAACCGATGTGAAAATCTTCTTATCATTTTTTGTGGGTAAGGATGTAATTCAATGTGTCTATCTTTTTTCTTTAAGTGGATCTATATAAGCAACTTGCTAAATTAAATAAGTCATGTTAAAACTAATAACAAGCAGTAATTAATCTCCATTAGGCACTAAAAAGCTTCGGGGACCCAAAAAAAAAAAAGAAGAAGAAGAAAAAAACTCACAGTAGTTGCTTGAAATTAAAAGTTTCCCGAAACTGTTCGTGGAGTGAATTGTGAAGACCTTGCCAGAAAGGGATTTCTTGTTCTTTTTAATTTTTTTTCATCGATCACGATGGAAGAAGGAAATAATATAAATTATATGAAAAGGTTTAATTTTCCTAATTATAAACTTTCCTTGATCAATTAAGATTTTATTCCATTAAGGAAATAAATAAAGCAATCAATTAAGTTAAACATTTAATTAAAAAATTGCAATGCTGAGTTTATTTTTTCTTTTTTCAATGAACAATTTAAAATAATTTTTCAACAATTTAAAAACGAAAAAAAAGAAAATAATAAAAATGATTTTCTATTTTAGCTTTTTTAATTTATAATATATCACGTTACTAATATTATCAATATTTTACCATCATATCACCAATATTACTTTCACTGTCATCATTTTCTTGCAATAATACCACTACTATATCATGGTTACCATAAAAAATAATTTTATTTTCACTTTTTCATCACAGGCGTCTCTTTTAATGTTATCGTCATTATTATTCATTTTGTCGGCGCAGTTACTATTATCTTCATAATTTTCATAAATATACAATGACTATATACAATCATAATTTCCACCTCTGTCATATCACTCAATAAAACCGCCACTACATATCACTAAGATAATAATTATTATAAATTTATTATTATTATTATTATCATCGTAATTTCAAAATCATATCAATTACCGCAGTTACTGTTATTATCATGAATGCTATCGTCTTGATATCACCATTTTAACATTATAGTTAAATTATGCATCATTATTATTTTATATTTTGTAATTAATAGTGTATTATAATATTTTTAATTAATAGTGTATGGTCATATGTTTAAAATTATTTATTTATTTATTTATTTATTGGGTATAGAGAAGGAAGGCAAAAGTTAAGGTCTCAAAAAATAAATACCCGTAGTAAAATTAAGTATGCATAAGAATTTTTTCACATTCTTTTATTAAAAAATAAAAAATGACAAACGGTTGTTCCTATTACATCATCCAAAAATCAAAACAGACCCCAGAACTAGTGTTTCGTGGCTGGACGACTACTATGTATGTAGACGAAATCGAGACTTCCAAAAAACTCTCCTAAAAAATATCTAAATCCTTGAAGGTTGGAGCCACCTCTTTCTCTATCTCAAAATCTAGAAGAAAGTAAGCTAGAGTGAGGCCATGAGCATGGCTTCCCTATCGTCAGTATCAGTGGACATAGCTACTACTTTTGTCTCTTTGACTACTCGCCATCCGACCAGACTTCGTTCCACTATCCTTCCTTTCTTATTCAAACCACAAAAAACCCACCAATCTCTCCTTCTTAAAACTACTCCTCCCTTCCATCGCCGCCGCTTCTCCGTTTCCGCCACCGCCACTACCTCCGCCCCTCAGACTGACGATTCCGATTTAACCACCAAGATTCCTCCCGATAATCGAATTCCTGCCACTATTATCACCGGTTTTTTGGGCTCTGGCAAGGTTCCTTTTTTGTTTTGTTTTGTTTGCTTGCCTTTTTTTTGGTTGCATTTCGTTGCATTTGTTGCGTAATTGAGGATTAAAAATGGGTTGTGCTGTTGTGTTTTTGGTGATTATATATAACAGACAACATTACTCAATCATATTTTGACTGCTGACCATGGGAAGCGCATAGCAGTTATCGAGAATGAGGTACTCTTATCATCTTTTTGCATCCCATTGAACTGCATATATGATATCATATGATGAGTACGAGTAAAAGGAAAAAAGACAGAATCTTTGCGATGGGTTTTCAAGCCTTTGTTGTTGTTGTTATTATTGTTTGATGCTAAAAATGATTGAGAACTTAAGTGGTTATGGTGAATTTTCAGTATGGTGAAATTGACATTGATGGGTCTCTTGTCGCTGCAAAAACTGCTGGGGCCGAGGACATTCTGATGCTCAACAACGGTTGTCTGTGCTGTACAGTGAGGGGTGATCTTGTTAGGATGATTGCTGATTTGGTTAACAAGAAGAAAGGGAAATTTGATCATATTGTAATCGAGACTACAGGTAGGTGATGTGATTGGTCAAGAATCTCGTATACTTACTGTTCTGCGTGTGAATGTAGTTCACTTAACGTGAAATGGATTTTCTAGTTAGTTATGTGTTGTTCACTACAATTCTTATATGCAATTCTGCAGGACTGGCAAATCCAGCACCAATCATTCAGACTTTTTATGCTGAAGACCAGGTTTTTAATGATGTCAAATTGGATGGTGTTGTGACTTTGGTTGATGCTAAACATGCTCCTTTGCATCTCGATGAGGTTAAACCAGAGGGAGTGGTGAATGAGGCAGTGGAGCAAATTGCTTATGCTGATCGGGTTATAGTAAATAAGGTACTTGAGATTTTATAAATATTGTTGCTTAAATTTTTACTTTTTAAGATTTCCATCTGCTCAATTTATAATTATAATTATAATACCAGCTAGAGTCCAGTCAGTTCAAGTCATAAGCCTTGTAAAGATTTTAGCATATCCAAATTATTATCTGCATTTTGCTTCAAGTTACTTCTTGTTTAATTAGCTGGGATAGAAACTTGTGCGTGGTTCTCCTAGAAATTTAAAATCTACATGCTGGCAAGTTCATTCTCATTCTTCTTTAAAGTGGGACTTAACTGATGCTGTAGAAATGACATGCATGCGTTGACTCTCAGAAATATGAGAATGGATAACTTGTCAGTTGGGAAATCTTGGTCTGGGTTGCAAGTTTGAAGTCAGCATTAAATTTTTGGTCTATTACTGACTCATATGATTACTTGTCTTGTTGCCAGACTGATCTTGTTGGTGAGCAAGAAATTTCTTCTCTGGTGCAGCGAATAAGGGTCAGTGTCATGCTTTTTTTTTTTTTTCTTTTTCTTTTTCATAATTGTTAATTCTTTTTGAGTACTGATGTGGTCTCTGAATGCAGAATATCAATCGTTTGGCTAATTTGAAGCATACACAATATGGAAAAGTTGACTTGGATTATGTCCTTGGCATTGGAGGCTTTGATTTGGAGAGGTTATTTTTCACTCTCATTTCCTAGTTTCTGCATATGAATTTTTGATTGCCCACCTCTCCACCCCCCACCCAAAAAAAAAAAGACTAAATATCTTGATTTTTTTATGTTGAATGTTTTTTCGTTCTTTGCCCTAGCTAGATGAGGCTGTTTTTTGCATCTAACTTTATTTTTAAATGAACGTTTCCATTATTCAGCCCCAGTGCTTGTTAAATTCCTATATGTGTATATTTTACTCTTGGTTTATATTCTCTGTGTTGACGCCAATACTATCTTGTGCTAGGCATTGCATTTAGATACACACTCTCTTTCACATCCCTCTCCTCTTCTCCTTACATATATTCATTTTTTTGTTTTTCTGTGCTTGAAAAGTTGCGGTGTTGATTCATGTTATGGTTGTAGTAATAATGAGTTAATTATGCTTTCTCAATTACCTGATTCTTGGTGCTTGGCATTATTATTAGCTGAACTTGTCTTCAACCTCATCTCTGTTCTTTCTGTGCACTTCTATTTTTCTTGCTGAAATAGATGCTTGCTGTTCTAGAAGTGTTGGTTTTCTTCACAGTTAAGCTGCAGTACCTGGGGTTGCTGTCTAATATTTGCCCGTCTTCTCAGGATTGAGAGCGCTGTCAGTGATGAAGGTGGAAAGGAAGATCATGCCAGTCATGACCATGATCACCATCACCATCATGATGAACATGACCATAAGCACGGTATTCCTCTTCATTCACAATGGCTTTACTTAACTTAAAGCAGCATACGCAAACTGGTACGAGCTGTTATATTTTAGTCGAGAAAGCATCTGCTTGACCCAATAAAAGTAACAAGGTTCTTACTGGAGAAACATTTTGTTAGATAACTTGAAACTTGATTCGTATTTGTTCTGCCACATAGAAAAATTGGAATTTTATGCATTGATGGCTAGTTAGATGATCACATGTAACCTTCAAGTAAAATAGAAAACATGAAACTGATAAAGATTGATCCATATCTGATGATGCATTGTTTTCCATATGCATCAAGTGGTTGCAGTAGATGGTGTTATTCAGAATGAACACTATTCTCCAAAAACTTTTTCTAGTTGTTAGAAGTAGCGCAAAGAAATTTGTACAGCAGTGTATTTAGAATTTAACATCTTGTTCATATGTTGTTGAAAGTCCATTTATCACTAATTTTAGCATCAGCCTTTAAGTTGACCTTTTTATGTGTGTTGTGCTCTCTTGTTACTTCAGGAAAATCTTTCATAGCTACAAATTATCATAGTAGATGGCTGAAATGAAAAAGAAAATAGAAAAGCAATGAAAGAAACCTCTGCCTATCCCCTATAATTACTTGCCAGGAGAAATAGTTTTTTGGTACTTTTCATGTTTATCTCTCTTTTCCTCTGGTAATTTTTAATTTTGGCTAAAGCTCCAATGATAGTGTGTCCACTGGCCTATGCAGTTATGATTAGTTTCTTTTTTTGGATGTTCGAGATCATAATTTGAGTTCTTGAAAATGCCTGCTAATTTTGGGTATTCTATGAATCAATTTTGCCACACTTCTTCTTTGGATAATTTTATGGCTGATCATAAAGCTTGTGGATGCTATCATGCAGATCATCACGATGGTCATCATTCACATGACCACACTCATGACCCTGGTGTTTCTTCCGTGAGCATAGTCTGTGAAGGGAGCCTAGATCTAGAAAAGGTTAGTTTTACATGTGGATGGTTCAATTTCCATGATGCACCTGAGAATTGCAAAAGAACTGTAGATATATGAAACCTCACATGAGCATTTCTAGCTTTTTTTGCAGTTGCGCATCTTCGTGTATGATTTATTTGTCTGGGAGCTGGGAAGTGTAAAAACTAACGATATTGGATTGATGTGACCACTGTTTTTTGACTTTTTCAGGCTAACATCTGGCTTGGTACTTTATTGATGGAACGTAGTGAGGACATATACCGGATGAAAGGTCTGTTATCTGTTCAGGGGATGAATGAGAGATTTGTATTCCAGGTGAGCTAAAAAGTTCCAAGGTTCTAATATTAATTTGAAAAAAGAAAATTTACTTATGGTGGCTCTTATGTGTTTCATAATTGTCATTCTATCTGGCTGCTTATAATGGTCATCTTTTCTTTTTTTGGATAAAAAAGGATCACCTCTAAAATGGCTGTCAAAGCTTTTAGTTGTTACTGTAGAAGCTAAGAAACTATGACCTTTTTTTCTTGTTTATTTGAGGTTTGGATGCACAGGATGTGCATCCTTATGCTTTTTCTTTGTCGTGACTCTGATTAATTGCTAGTCTATCGATAAAATTCAGCACATGGCAATCAAACAGCATGAATATGCTAATGTGTGGGTTCCTGAGAAAATAGGACCTTGTATGGTGGGGATACATCAAGTAAAATGAAATATTTGTTTCGCTATTTTGTCATGCATGTGTTAAATGTTGTTAAAGTTTACTTAGTATTTGTGTCATATAGTTAATCCTGTCTCACATTTCCAAAGGTTAAATGTGTGTTTCGTATTCTGGATATGAATGTGTCTCTCTTGACCTGTTTTAGCTGTACAATTCTCTGTCTGATGGATAGTTGTTGCTAAAAGTTCTGTTCAACATAAAATGATTTTGTATGCTGGTGGTAATAGACAAGGGCCTCCTGCTTCACAATCTGCTCAGTTCGTGATGCTATTCCAACTTAAGCTAGTTTGGGGTTTGTACAATACGCTGGCAGGAATGCTAAATGATAAACAACAACCAAGTATATAGAACTGACAATTAAAAGAAGACAGTTAAGTTTATACATGATTGCTAATTGGAGACTAAAGGCTTGACTAGTATACACCACTGAGCGATCTTATTCAGTTTATATTTAGGTTATGTATCCATGGGGTTCTGGTGCTGGCCTTGTTGCAGATTGAGCTGGAATTAAGATCCTAACCAGTCTTTTTCTTTTGCCTCATTTTATTTCAGGGTGTTCATGATATATTCCAAGGTTCACCTGATAGGTTATGGGGCCCTGACGAAACCAGAATGAACAAGATCGTGTTCATAGGGAAGAACTTGGATGCTCAGGAATTAGAGAAGGGCTTTAAAGCCTGTTTGCTGTGAAATTCAAAACAATGAGTTATTTAGTTAATATCTCCGTATCTTTTATTCTTGATGAGTGAAACAGTAATGCACAAATGAATTTTTTTCTTCTTTTACTTCATTTGGAGAATAATGGGTTATTTTCAATAAACATTTCAAAGTAAAAATATTACTGAAAAGGGATGACTTTTTGCTAATATGTCGTACTTCCTTCTTGTAACGATGTTGTGCTTAAGGAATTGCCATTTTTCCTTTAGAGATGGACTCTCCAACATATGCTTTGATCTTTATTAGCAAACTTAGTGATTAGAAGCTTAAACTGGAATGGTAAAAAGATCAGTCCAGCTGGTTGATATGAGCTATTTGATAATTCTATTAATTATTTTCAGAAGATATTGGATGGAAGCTTGGCATTGTAAGCGTTAGGCAACAGTATCTTTACCGATTGTTTGATTTAACGAGTTAAACTATCAATTTTTTTTATATTATTATATCGATTTCTGTTAGTGTGTCCTTGGAATTATATATATATATTTTCCTGAGTAAACCACGATTAGTTGAAGACATGCGACATGATTATAAGGTGACGTGTTCAAAATAAATTTTGTGATAATTTTTTTCTAATAAAATTATAGATTATAAATAAATAAAAAATATTGAAAAAACATGCTTATATGATCATACAGAAGGATTTTAGGGGATAATAAATAACACAGCAATCATGGCATACTTGCTTTTCTTAAATATTATTTATTTGTTTCTAATCGTAATTGTACTGAAAAAAATTACCTCGATTTATTTTTGGACACGAGTTATCTTATAACCACGTTACATATCCCTTGCTAATGATACAAAAATATTTGGTGTTTTATTTAAGAAGATTGATTTAAGTAGAAAGAATTGTAGATGTTTAAGTAAATGATCTCAAATTTAAATTTTTATATATGTGTTCGATATAATAACGAAAAATTAACCTGAATATTTAAGAATAGGTTTCTTTGAAAGATAAAATAAAAAAATAATTGGTGCTTTTGACTGTTGACTTAACAGAGGGTAACGTTTGAACTGGGTAATGAATCAAAGAATTGTTTTTTTTCTAATATTTGTCAAACGCATGCCGGTCCAACGTATTGACTAGGATCCTGGACGGCATTTTTGAATTTGAAGGTCTAAATATTTGAAGTCCAGTTCTTTGGATTTAGGCAAATTCTACCCTGTTGTCCAAAGGCATTGAACTTAAAATGCCATTGCGAAATCATATAAACGGATTTCAAGAAACTGAATGGATTAATTAGAATAATTATAGCTATTAAACCCCAGTACCGGAATCAAGGCATGGTCTTGCTTTAAACAACTATATTTTCTTGAAAAATTGTGGATCTTACAACTACTGTTTTATTCTTGGTTCAAAGTATGTTACCTATTTTGTTTCAAAAGCGAATATATATATATTATATTTTAATTACATGTCGTGTTTTACTTAAAGATGAGGAGTAAACTATGAACTAGTCCCTCTAGTTTGAAGAAATAAATAAATTAATTTTTTAAAATCATTATTTAATTTTTTAATCAGTATTGAACATACTTAATTTAATATTATTTTATTTTATAAAATTTTTCATTTTCTTATCAATATTTTCATATTTTTTTCCTTTTCTATTTTTAAAATAAAAAATTAAAATAATTTTTTAAGAAAAACTAAAATACAAATAAATTTTAAAACATAAAGAATAAATCATTATTTTTTAAAATAAAAATAAATAATTAATTTTTTTTTGAAAGGAACTAATTTATAATTTATTCTAAAAACGAGACACGTCTTAACCAAAAAAAAAAAAAAAAAAAAACATGTAAAGGCAGTCATGTTTTAGAGGACGACGTCACGACAGTACATTGAAACCGGCACAATTTCACCCACTTCCGAACTGTAGCAAAGCCCTTGCTCTCTTTTGAATAAGTAAAAACGAGACACCGAAACCTCCCTTGCTCTCTATATTTCAGTGTCTTTTTTCTCTCTCCATTTGGGTTTTTTTTTTTTTGGCTGAGGAGTTATCGATGGAGAGGGAAGGTCTTTTCAATGGCAACAGTAGTGTTGATTTGGACAGGGTTGCTCTGTACTGCATGTGGCAATCTGTGGTGGCTGAGACAGCTCTCACTGCTCTAAGCTCTCGGCTTTTGCTTCTCTTTAAGGTACAATATTTCTCACTTTCCAAACAAAACCATCTTTGCAAATTGCAAACTCTAGTCCCTTATGTCAACCTTTGATTTCATTATTACCAAGATCATTTTTTTTCTGCCTGGGAAAGGGGCATTTCTACCAGATTAATTCTTTGTTGTTCCAACGATTTTTGTGACATTTAAGGGGTTCTCTGCTGAAAAGAACTTTCTTTGTGCTTTCCCGATTTATCATGCTTATGGTTGCTTAACTTTTCATGTAGATTTAAACGTATTAGTTTAATGGTGAGATCTCTTGCAAATGAATGTATTAAATGAGCAGAAATGGATAGTCAAATTTTTATTTTAGCTCCATGCTTTCTTGTTTTCCTGCGATTTAGCTGACGGGTTGGATCCCTTTCATTTGATCTTCTCACAAAAAATTGTTGCGACTTTTAAAGAAATACTGAACTTAGTGGCTAAATATACCGGAGTCCTGAGCCAATTCCTAACTGATACTTTTGAAAAAAAAACCAATGAGATAATATCTCCGAATAATTCGCCTCTTGCATAGATCAACTTTCTTTTAAAGAATCTGAAGTCTTTGACTCATTCGTTCCTCTCCATTCCGTCTAGCCTGGAAAAAACTGCATTGCTGATGCTTGACTAGTTTTCCAAGAAGAGTTTGGTTAGGAATCTGCGTAATGAAAAAGAGGAATACAATCTTTTTTCAATTGACCCTCCTCAATGAAAAGCTTTTCGCACTGTCTCAGCTACTTCTACTTAACAATTTGTCAAGACTACTTCTAAAATATGAATTCCGTCCGGACCGGGACTTTCAATCAGAAGACAGCCTTCTTAACTAGTTTCCATCTATGATGCACCAAAGCATTAAATATTTTAGTGGCAAACAAAATCTTGTTTTGGGATAATCTGGTGACCTTTCTGATGATGTGTGTGTGTGTGTGTGTGTGTTTTTTTTTCAAATCACTACTCTTGCTATATGTAGTTATCCATCTGGTGACAATTCAAAATATTTTCTGGATTTTTACCTGCTATTTTTCCTGTACTGTTGGTCAATCTTGTATCCTCTTTTTCAAATGTTTGCCATTACTTGACCCTTTTTAATTACAGATTTCACCTATGTTGGATGTTAATGTGCTCGCAGATTTGACAGCAACTGATAATAGGTAAAGCTTAGTTCTGCTGAATTCAGTGTTAAATGCCCTTTATTAAGGGGTACATGGTGAAAGAAAAGTAATTGGGTAATGGAACTGCATTGCAGGTTTCCATTGGATGAATTGAATAGATTGGAAAAACCTGCTGCTGGAAACAGGGATGGCGGGGATGCTGAGGATACCGAAAGTGACGATGATGACGATGATGAAGATGACGATGAAAGCGATGACGACGATGGAGAAGAATGGAGTGACGACGACAGTGATGACGATGACGAGGATGACGACGACGACAGTGATGACGATGATGATAGTGACGATGACGATGAAGAGGATGAGGAGGAGGAAGAAAGTGATGAGGAGGATGAGACAGAAATGCAAGCCCAAACATCTCCCAAAAGGAAGAAGTGAGACAATTTTCTTCTTTAATCTAGGTCCTTTGGAGCTTGGGTTCCAAGAGTTTGACCAAGCGGTACTACTACATTTAGAGGAGGGGGAAAAAATTCCTTACAAGCACATTTTAGCAGCTGTAAATTAATGTAAACTAATCAACTTCATTCATTTATGTAGCATTGCTTGATGTTAAGCCTCTTTACTACTTAGCCAGATTTGATACAAGTCTAAAATGTTCAGAAAATCAAAAAGGATGAGAAGGGGGCGTTCCGAGAATCGAACTCGGGACCTCTCGCACCCAAAGCGAGAATCATACCACTAGACCAAACGCCCTGCTCCTATTTGTGTGCTGTGTTCTCTCCAATTTTAATTTTATTATACTAACAACTGTAAAGACACTATATCAGCCAAAATTTCCTGCAATAATTACTGCTAGCTAGCTAGCACAGGGTTCGATGGCCTCGGAGGCAAACAGCCTATGGTGGAGGTGATTTGTTTGCTCCAATATCTGAATTATAACTCTTCTCTAAAAACCTAAATCATGACGTAAACAATATGCACAAGATAGGCGGATATCACTAACGCTTCAGCTTGTATATTAAATAGTTCTTCAACTCCTCATTGCCCTCTCCATTCTATTGTTTCATATTTTCGGTGGTTCCAAACAGTGTATACTCTCAGCAGCTATTTCAATACCAATGGCCCCGTATGTTAAGAATGTTTAAAGATCACAGCAAACGTTCTGCAAATATTGCAACCAGGAGACTCGTCAATGGATGGCAACTATATATACGACGGGGATGAACTATAGAGTCCTTGAGAAGAAAGTGAGAAAATAATCACAATCTATAAACAACATAGTTTTGACAGGAGAAAAGCCACTCACTCAATCTCCATCTCAGAGAAAGTATATTTTGAAACTGATCAGAAACATAACATACACACACAACGGTTACACATCCTTGCCCGCAGAAACTCTCAAGCAGTCGAAAGTTGTTCGTGTTTACTTAGACAGCCCTGTCATTGATTTTGGGAAAGCAAGCATTCTGTATCAGCAGCTTCTTACAGCCAACATCTTCGTTCCGTGTCCGCTTCAGACAATGCATGGACTTGACTCTCGGAGGAGAACTTCTGACCCGCCAGTTCCAATCCTGCTTTCTGGTTGACAACATTTGCATCATTATTGATTAGAAAGCAATTAGTAATGGATCATATCAGTATTATCCTTGCAAAACGTAAGCATTCATCAGGAACATAAAAGTTTGAACAAGAGGATTCTAGGACTTCAAGATAACCCTATTCCAGATAACGTTCAATGGTGTATCTATGATATCTGAATTAGACGAAAAATTATGATGCATGCAACAAATGAGAAAGAAACATATCTTAGCAGAACTACAGGAATTCACTAGTGTTCGGACAAGGGGCATTTTCAGCAAGGGTATATTACCTTGAGAAATTTAACGATCGAAGATCCATCACGAGGTGATCTCTCTTCGTGTACTTGATTTTCAAATTTGAGAAAATCATGTATTGTCTGAAACTGCTGGAATATTTCAGCCACTACCTTCTCTCTTTCTTCCATGTGCTGCAAAAATTCTTGCTTCATAGTTTCATTTTCTTCTTCCAGAACCTTCAATCTCCTACTTAGCTGCTCGACCTCACTAGCCTCTGAAACTTGTTTGCCTTTACAAGAATTACTGCGAGCCTTAACCCTAGAAGAATTCGTTGACAATATTTCCATTAGCTCATTTGAACTCGAGGCCCTTGATTCAATTAACAAGTTCTTGCCATTCATCAGCCTATGCATTTCTGTTTTCTGTTCTTTCAATGTATCTGTACTTCTGAAATCTTTTCCAATTTCATTCACAAATCTCAGTCCATCACCAGATTTATGCTTACTACTGCTTGCAGGACTCTTCAGATGCTTGGAAATTGAAAGATTTGTTGGTGAGGAACAAATCTCTGACTCGAGTGCTGCCACCTGCGTTTTCTTCCAATGCAGAATTTCTCCAAGTTTTTGCAAGGCATACAAATTTTTAGCACCAAGTTTATCCAAAGAACGAGGTGCGTTATTACCTATCAGGAAAACAAGGGAACGGTTAGCAACTTAGAATGTCAGGAAACGGAAAAAACCATCAAAGGATTAGCAAACGAGCAATTCAGCAATCGTCATGGAAAGCCGAACAAGATCGATAAAAGACTAGACTAGACTATCCAAAAAATAAAAACTAGAGCATAAAAGAGAAAAAAATGTTTGGGTCGACAAAGAGGCTAGTTGGGGAATGCATGGTAAATGGTGGTTGCTTACTTGACACTATTTCCATGTCTGAAAACACTGAGAACATGTTTCTAGACCTGCCCTTTACTTTTCTTCGAAGAGAGGGTGAGTGTTAGGGATACAAGGAGTGGTGTGCAGTGTACGAGGAAAGAAATTAAATGTGTAATTAACCTGTATCCACTATCTACACCCTTTTGTCCTAGAGAAAGAGAGAGGTTTATGGGAAATTGCCAAGCAGTTGCTTGAGAATGTCTTCACTCTTGATCTGCCTCTGTTGTTGATAGTAGGCGATTGCTCCTTAATATGACGTAGTTAACATGTTTGCAATTTAAGAAACTGCAGTCTGCAGCCATTTAGCAGCAATACGTTTTGGCTTATTACAATATTCAGGGAGGCAAAATTTGGCTCCATTAACGCACAGGCCAAGTCGTATGCTTCGCTTTGAAGCAACCCTAAGTAGCTGTAACTGTAACTGCAACTGCAACTACGACCATAGTTTTAAACAGCAAACATAGTTGTAAAAATAATCACAATGATACAATTATCACAATTATGATGGCAAGTTATTGTAATAGTAAAATAATAGTTGTATCAACTGAATGCCTTAACAACTATTAATAAATTTATTATAATTCACATATTTTTAATAATTTTACTAATTAAATATAATAAATAACATATCTAATAGTTTAATATCATACAGTAATAGTTAAACTTATTACAAAAAGAAAATTAAAAAAAAATTAATAACACTTCTAGTAGTTTAATATCACACACAAAAAAAAAATGAAAAAAAAATAAAATACATTACAACTTCAAGATACAAATTCAAAATATTCATATGCAAAAAGATCAACATAAAAAATCCTAATAATAGCTATACATTACAAAAATTTTGAATGTTTCTTAATATGGTGATCCATATCTACCAAAAATAACAATTATTATTGTTATTAAATGCTGCTATTTGTGTGAAACAACTATAAAGTTTCTATAATGGCAAATAACAATGATAGGTGTGCCCGATGCCGTTATATAATGACCTTTATATTACGTAACAGTCGATGTTTCAAACCATGACTACAAAAATACCCTTAAAGCTCATGGTACCACTGAAACCCTCCCTCCCTCTTTTCTCTTGTAGGAATATGGGACCCAACAAACCCCATCAAACGTTATAAATCATACAAATTCTTTTTGAATACAATGCTAGGCACCAAAACAAAAATTTGTAAACTGCTAAATGCTTGCTCTAAGAGACTGGAATTTTTCAATGTGATGATGAACCATTTACAAGGAAGCCGAGAGATTATTCCAAGACACAAGGCTGCTCATTGTTCCTAAGGATATAAACAAAAGAGGACATTAATACAAGTGTGTGTGCTGTCAATTTGACTTGAAGGTCGAGGGACTTGGCCCAACATTCAGCATGGAAAGACTGCTGGGTGCTCAGTCAATTGGGATTTCGACCTCCATTTTTAGGCCAGAATTTCCAAAAACCTGCGTGACATACAAAACAAAATCCATTATTGAATAGCCCAAAAAATATTGCACGGAACTTGTAGACCGGATTTGATCGCAACTACCTGATAAGATGATCCTATTTCCTTAGCATCTAGCTAACACGTCCATAGGAAAAAAATAGAAATTAAATTATGGGACAGCTTAAGAAAACAGAGCATTTTTGTTCTTCAACCCTTGGTTACTTTTTCACTCAACAAGGAGTAGAAAAAGAAAGGGAAACAAAAATGAAATAAGAAAAAAATAAAGAATAAAAAAATAGAAGACCCAAAAATATGTGCAAAAACTAAAGACGATGGAATGTAAACTGCTGCTTTAACTCGATTCTCTATTACAGGTTGTTTTCTCATCAAAACTTCACCACAAAGAATAACAGCCTCCATCCTCTTCTCCCTTTCCCACAAATAAATAATATAAAATAAAATAAATTAAGGAGAAGAAAAGAACTGAGACATGAAAATTCCAACCCATTCCTAAGATGGACAAAAGTATTTGCTGGTAGAAAAGGCATAATAATTAAAATCCAAATGTTACTGAAAAATGGGCATCCTAGCCAATAGCCACCCAGGGTCTACAGACAGAATACTGGAATAACTGCCAGAAAAATAGCTCTCGAATGAACAGTGTGAGAATTAAGAGTTACAGACAGCAGCTTGGCCTGTGAGATCAACAAGAATATCATTGCTATATGTGCCTAACATATCAAGTTGCTAAGATAGTACAATCTCTTTGTACTTACTCAGCTGGGAATGCAGCATTACACAATAATGCAGCTTGAACTGTCTTCTAAACAATAATATTAATAGCAACTTCAATAGTCTAACATTTCCACTGAATTATTCTGTAATTTTTTAAGAAGAAAATAGCATTTATAAATCCCTTATGAGGTCGCACAAGCCTTTCCATCCCCTGAATTTTCCTAGCTTTGTATTCATAAAAATCTGCCAATGCTAACACATGTTTTGCAAAGAAAGGTACAGAAGATAATGTAATATGGTGCTTTCATGTGGATGAGCCCCACCACAACTCACTTTTTATTTCACGAGTCAAAAATAAATTAATATAATTTCGTTTCTAACCTATTAGTGCTAATAGAGATGTATACACTCATCTCTCTGTTAATCAATAACATTTAATTGTAAAGAGAAATACTGTATTCTAGACAATTATGTTAGCTTAAAATTAAAATGTAAAGAACCTTAATGAAGTCATCCAGCGTCAAGTATGATTCCCTTGTGTAACCTGCCTCCTTCAAAACTTTGCTCAAGACTTTCTGCAAGACAAATGAGATAAAGTTAAGGAACTACTTATGTTAGTGTGAAATCTGAAGCAACAGTAACGTGTAAAAGCAACAAATAATTACTCATGCTATGTTTTTACCTAAAAATGGTTTAAAAAACAAGGTGTGGATAAACACCATATCATAGCAAAATAGAGGCTAGCATAAGGATGAAACAAATTAGCGCATTTCAATATAACCATCTAGAAAGAAATATCATAATAAATTAACATAATGCTCTCATTCGAAGAAAATGGAACACATTATAGTCATCGGCCAGAGAAAGATATTGAATTGACTCCTTTCAAATAACCCATGACCTGATCATTTCATCTCTCAATGACAATGTCATCATCTATGAGACAACTCTCTTTCAAACATTCATTTATCATGTCTTTCATAAAGATTTCATGCATTATTAACTTTCAGGATATTGCTGCAAATATCAACCTCAAATCTTATAGTGCTGCAATACAGGATTGGATAACGAAACAGGATGTCTTTGGTTATACCTCTCTTTCCTCATCGGACATGAATGCACCGGACAAATCCCGAAGAACTTCCAGAATGTCATTGAAAGATATTTTTCCATTACCATCTGAGTCATATACTCTGAAAATAACTGAGACAAAGAGATATTTAAAGATATTAGTATAGCGCCAAAAACGGCAGAACATTTGCATTTCCTTCAGAGTGAGGACAATAAATATTCTCAATTAATATAGGAATGGCAACCCAAAATGAAAGAATGATGAGGATAAAAGGTGCATTATGCATGTAACACGAAATGCTGGCCTAACTGGATAAATTCCATCATATTAAAAACTAATTCCTCTCTCTATCTTTTTTTTTCCCAATTACAAAGCTCTCAAAACAAGTTTAACGCCGCTAATATGACTTTCCGTAGTCCTCATAACACATCTAAGAAGTATTTAGTTTACTCCACCCCAAAAGGTACAACCAACAGAAACAAATCACCGTGAACAAGCAGTGGTCACATTCAAATATTGTATAATCAAGGTAGCAAATACTTACGTCCTATTTTGTGCTCCACGCTTGCTTTAGCAGAAAAAGCAGATAAGAAGGCAACAAAGTCCTTGAAGTTCAAGCCATCCACCATTTTAAGCAGCCTCTGCAAAGAAGCCACAAATCCATCCATCATGCTCTCGACATAAAAAAAGAAAAAAGAAAAAAGCATAAATTAAACAGCCAGTTCCCCATTAATTAACAAAAAGTCGGGATGAAAAAGATCACCTGAGAGAGTGGATTCATTGCAAACTCAGGCACTGATAAGAATTCATCAGCTGAGATAAAACCTTTTGCATTTCGATCTAGCTGGCAAAACCTTTGATACAGTGACACTATTTCTTGCTGGGAAACTAAAAAATTTGTAAAAAAATAAAACCCATCAAATTAAGAGCTAAAAAAAAAAACAAAATAAAGGGAAACAAGACGGGGAAAACATTACATAGATTATCACAGTGTTGTTTAACCTCTTCTATGTCGTATTGCGTTAGCATTGACGACGCATTCCCCATTGAATCCTTACCAAAAAAAAAAAAAAAAAAACCAATACCCATCAATCAAAGCATGAATTTTAACAATAATATGAAATACACATCAATTAAAACCAATATTCAGCTTAGCTTTTGATCAGTAAAAACAATTAAGACAAAAAGAATGAAGCTTTTTACCAAATAAAAAGAGAAAGAAAGAGAGCTGGAGATAAAGCAGAGATGGGTGAAGCGAGAGAGGATGGATAAGCAGAGCGATGGCTGAGAGGTATAAATAAAGAAGACAGGGGTAGGGCAGGGATGGCCTTCGGATTTAGCTTTATTTTACTTTGTTATCATCGGTAATCTGAAAATCCCACAAAAAAATTTAACATTCTAGTACACTAATTGACTCATTTCGGCCATACTTTCTTTGCTGACGAGGAATTCTATGTTCATCCAGTTACTCTGCATCCTTTCATTATTCTATGCTTCGCACCTGCACGAGGTTTCATCATGTTGATCTTCATCTGCTGACTTTTTTTTCTTTTTCTTTTTTTAGTATCTTAAAATATGTGTTTTTAATATCATCCATAAAAATTTAATTTCGTTGATGCAAAAATATTACTACCATTAAAATAAAAATAATTCTTGCTTTTTTTTTCTTCTCTCTTTTTTTTTAAAAAAATTCTTTTTTGTTATCTTTCCCTCTCTCTCAATTCAAAAGAAAAACACACACTTTTTCCTTGAATTCTTGCTTTTCTTTTAACAATTTTATTAAACTTAAGATGCTAGTTTTCTTTTTGCTACTTTTCATATTCCACATTCAAAGTTACCGTGCCATCTAAATCATTGACCATCACCTAAAAACAGAGAAAAAAAAAAGGGAAAAAAGAGCATTTTGAATTTTGTTATGTTAAAAAAAAAAATAGAGTAACAAGATTATATTCTAAAAAAAAAGATTAAATATATCTTTTAATTTAGAAATTCCAAAGAATAATTTTTTTACAATTAAGAATTATTTTTAAAAATTATTTAAAATATAAATTTCTTATTTAGACTTACCCAAATAAATTTTCAAAAACGAAGAGATTACTTAAATTTTGAGATGAAAATTATTATTTTTTTGAATAAAAACCAACCACAATCAATAAATATTATTTATTCAAGAGCTTGATAATTATAAAATGTTTTTCAAATTAAAATTATTGTTCATTAATTAATTCAAAGGAAACCTATCCATATACCTTCATATATCATACAACTAATCAATCATATTTTTAAATACAAAAATTGATCATCTCTAATCTTTAGTTTATTTCTATTCTCCAACCCTATGTCAAATAATCGTGCTAAAATTGAGATCAAATAATTTTGATATGTATTGATAAGAATATTATTTTTAACTCAATGAAAACACTGATTTAAGTAAAGAATAATAATAATTTTCAAGTGTGCTTCATGTGTTTGGTTTGAAAACATTTCAGCAATCAAGATAGTGTAATAATTTATAATTGGATGAAAATATAGTTTTTAAAAGGAAATTATAAATAGAAACAAATCTAAAATAAATTAAAACAGAAAATTATAAAAATAGAGATAAAACTTTAAAATAAAACTATATATAAAAAATCAAATCAAAATCATTTTCAAATTATCATAAAACCAAAACAGTTTCTATGTCTAAAACAACTTCTAATCAACTCATATCATAAACAATAAACATAAATATGGCACGTACAACAATTAATTTTACTCAAAGAATGTTAAAAAAGATTGAATGAAGGGGTTATGGAAAGTAATTAAAAGTTTAAGGATCATAATGAGCAATATGGGAAATTAAAGGAGCAAAAAGTTTAGAAACCAGACTGAATCTTTTATCTTTGTAGGCGGATTCTGAATAATGAACTACATTCGAGAAATGTTGTCAGAATCCATCTAAATCCTGCCAGCCACCATACAAAATTTTCCCTTTTTTTTCACTGACAAACACATTCAGACGCTCTCCAAAACTTTCTAAACTCAAATCAAATCTCAAAAACAATTATTTTTTTACTCAGATTCAATTTTATACCTTTTAATTCTAAATTTTCAAAAACTTATATCTCTTATCTTTCATGACTTCTTTTTCCCTTTTTTTTTTTTTTAATTCAAAGAAGGGCAGTATTTGAATTGACATTGCAGAGCATGCTTCAACACATGATAAGATAAAACAACCTGGATCCTTGAATATATTTTTGACACGTGTCGCTAGAGCAAAGGCATTGAAAGGCATCGATCGTCACATCACAATGACTATGAAGGCACTCTAGAAGCACATTTTGTCCTACTACATACCATCCAACACCACCTTACAAACAATATAGCAAGAGATCACAGCAAAATCACATCAGAATTTCTCACCAATAACAAACATGGCTGAAGTTTCAGCCCCACCTGCAGAGGTTCTGCTATCAAAGCGTGTTCAGGAAATGGTTCTCAATGGCGAAGAACCACAACGGCCCTATATCTGTAGAGATGATGGCACTAAAGAAGCAATTCCTAGCCCCCCATCTCTGATTCCGATCATTGACATCAGCCTCCTATCTTCTTCAGAACCATGCTCTGCACAAGAACTGCAGCGCCTTAGATCAGCTCTTTCTTCATGGGGCTGCTTTCAGGTATGAACTTTATTTATACCTGCACAGAGACTGAGACTTAGACTTGAAATTATTGTCCTAATATTAAACATACTACTACCCATTAGAAGTCTAAAGCCAGTCTCAAGCATGATCTTAGGAAAAAGGTCAAGAGATGCACAGGCAAGTTGCATTAGAAGCATGAATATTCAACAACAGATCAAGAATCATCAACTATTTATGACCTGACAATATATAAGACCAGATCTGACAAAGCTACCTCAGTTGCTCCTTGTTTGGTTGACTTCATTTATGTGCTCCATGCTACGTAGTTAAAACTGCTGCAGAATTCTCAAACACTGTTGGATTTCAGGCAATAGGTCATGGTATTCCAAAATCATTTCTTGACAAGATTCGCCAAGTAGCGAGGGAATTCTTCGAGCAGCCAATGGAGGAGAAGAAAAGGCATGCTAAAGGAGTGGAAGAGTTTGAAGGATATGGAGCTGATCCTGTTCCAGCAGAAGGTCAGTCACTTGACTGGTCTGATCGCTTATTTCTTGATGTATACCCAGAAGATCGAAGGAAGCCTAAATTTTGGCCAGTGAATCCAAAATCATTCCGGTCTGTCAGCATACTCTATATATTGATTACTAGAACATATAAAAAATAGCTTGTTCTATAGAATTTCATTCTCTTTTCATAGATCTTGCATTTAGATCACACTTTTTACGACTTTTAATATGAACACAACATATTCAAAATTATGCAGAGGTGTTTTAGAAGAATACACTGCTAAGATGCAAATATTAACAGAGCTTGTTTCAAAAGCTATGGCAAAGTCATTGAACTTGGAAGAAAATTGCTTCCTGAATCAGTTCGGCAAACAAGCAGCACTACAAGCAAGGTTTAACTACTACTCAAAGTGTCAGAGGCCCGATCTTGTTCTAGGTTTGAAAGCCCATGCAGATGGATCGGGGTACACCATTATCTTGCAAGATGATGTAGAAGGTCTTCAAGTCTTCAAAGACGAGCTATGGCTCACAGTTCCAGCAATTTCTGATGCTCTCCTAGTACTCATGGGCGATCAAATGGAGGTATGGTTGATGCTAATCTATGATGTGATCTTAACGGGGATAGGGAAACAGTGATACAACAAAGTAAGCCCCTGGTTAATTTTCATTTGGAAAATGCTATTGCCAGAGCTTCATATGTTGCCTATATAACAATTTGAAGCATTGTTCAATAGATAAGACCTGGAAACAGTAAAAAAAAATAATCTGGCAATAGTGTTTCACTCTTCTTGTTTAACCATTTAAGCAACTTTTATGGTAACCATCATTCTGTCACAGCCAGTTAAAAGGGGTGTTTCTAAGATTCAGCAACATACGGTTGATGTGCAAGCTGGTCCGAGGATACCCCTTGCCATCAAATAAACAAATGGCATAATTCACTTGGCCAAATAAAATGGTTAAAAAAATGTACTACATAATAGTCGTATCATAATAGTTCAAAAACTAACAAGCAATTTCAGTAATATAAAGTTTACTCGGGAAGAAATAATATAGGGCCACATCTTATAACTCTAATGGCAGATAATGACCAATGGAATGTTCAGAAGCCCAGTTCATAGAGTTTTGACCAACTCAGAGAAGGAGAGGATTTCTGTGGCTGTCTTCTACACAACTGAACCAAACAAAGAGATTGGACCAGAAGAAGGATTGATCAATGAGGAAAGACAAAAGATATTCAAGAAAGTGAAAGATTATGCTGATGTACACTGGGAATACTACCAGCAAGGAAAGAGGGCAATTCATGTCGCAAAAGCTTAGAGCTGTACTATCACCATACATGCCTTGTGGTTTACATACGCAGCAGCCGCTGTTAGTATTTTATTCTATTGTCTTTATAGACCATGCCTGATAATGTCATGGACATAAATTACTGGTAATTTATGTATATTATGGATCTCGAGAAGTTTTCTAATCTCTAAAACTATCTCCCACACCGTTATTCCCATTATTTGCTTCCACTGAAATATGATTCAAGCTATTGCTGCTAAAAGCAACTCAAATGAGGGCACCTGATGAATACAGGTTTAACTCAAAAATTCTAAACCAAGCTAATAACGAGGTTTTAAAAACCTTTGGCATAAACGGTGCTTTGTTTGAAACCACTCTGAAAACCAGTGTGGTAAAGGATTTAACTAGTTATACTCCATGGTCATGAGAAAAATGAAAAATTGCTCTCACTTCTACCATATAACGATTTCTTGATTGTATTTCTTGAAAAATGACAGAGGTCTTTCCTCTAGGCACTCTAAGGCCAACAAGCACAAAAAACCTAGTTTTCTAAAAGATACTGAGAAATTGCGCATTCAATCTGAGTAGAGCATCGAATGAAAATTCTCTGGACTATACTAATAGAAAACAAACTTACATTCTAAGGCTCCCCTTCACGGTTCGCCTCATATAGGAGTTTAAGATCATATAACATAGACTCTACAATCTTAACTCAAATTTGACAAGAAATGCTTCTGAGTTCTCTAAAGCGAAATCCTAAATAAGCAAATACAAAAACAAGAGTATCCTAACACAATCTAACAAAATAAAGTATAATAAATTACTTAAAACTATGATTTGTACAAGCTAAAATGTGTAGTATTTAAACCAATCGCAACCCATCCTAAATCTAACCATAAAATGTGAATTTCATGATTTTATTGTGTTAACCATTATATTCTTTCTTATGCTAAGCTCTACAATTCCATACGGTCACTAATCATCGCCACTATTTAACTTCTTTGCATCAGTTGCTAATAGTAGATACAGGTTGAAAATCTTATCATTTGACATATCTTCGTCACCATAGATACCATCCATTGAAACAAATCAATACCTGGATGATTGAAGGGCATCAGGAAACACATTCTGAAGGACATGACAGAAAATATAGAGTATGTCTTATCCAATTATTGCATCTACAAATTTTAAAACCAAATAAAATTTCGAAGAATACAGAATTAATTAATAAATTAAATTCGCACTACTAATTACATTGCATTTCACTTAACTTTTGAGCTACAACAACAAAACAAACAAACCAAAAAAACTAATTCAGCAATTTCTAATCAATTAATTACATCCAAAAGTTTTCTCATCCACAAATTAAAAATAGAAATTCTCATACCATAGAAAGAACCATTAATATTCAAGACGTTTCCTGTTTCATAGCATCGGCAGAAGGTGGAGCACCATTGTGAAGCAATTTCTGCGCCTTAGGCCTCTCCTCAGCTCCCTCATCGGCATTCCCAAACAACTGTTTCCTATAAACCTGATGCAATTTCCCAAATAACTCCTTCTTAATTGCCTCAAACACCATATCCAACCTCTCCAACTGCTCCATAGCATTCTTATTATACATAAACAACCCATAATACAGCTCAAAACTATCCCCAGACGTATTCTCCACCAAATCCAGCAAAGTCTCGTACCCTTTGGTATTAATCGGCGACGACTCCAATCCAAACTTCTCCAAAACTCTCCCCATAGTATGAGTGACAAACTGCGACCCAGCCGCGTGCCTATCATGCTCTGCACAGGTCATTTCAACCATCCTACACCCTTGTTTGGCAAAAATACCAAGAAACCTCTCAACTCTATTAATCCTACCCTCCTCATTACCAATCCTAACTTTATCATAAACAAAAGGCAAACCAACCCAAGAATTTTTCCCACTTTCGGGTCCAAACATGGGGTGTGTACACAAGATATCAAACTCGACAGGCAAATATTTCAACAAGACATTCTTAGCAAACTCTTTAACAGACAAAACATCAACAATAAGGGTACTACGCTTGAGTCTCTGAAATGGGAACGACTGTAGTACCTTCTCAGTGGAAAGAATCGAAGTGCATAGGATTACAACTTCTGGGTGGCTCTCGCAGAGGTCATGTGGATTGTTGTAGAAAGTGACTCCCAGGCTTTTGGCTACATCGGCGTAGTTGGTACGAGAGTAGGCGAGGACGGTGTGGCCTTGGAGAGAGAAAGTTTTGGAGAGGAACTGACCGAAGTTGCCGAACCCCAAAATGGCGATCTTAAGGGATTGGGATTTGAGGTGTTGAGCGCGGAGATGAGACTCGTAGTCGTACGGCTGGGCGGCGTCGATAGAGCGGATGCGGAGACGGAAAGGGGATGCTTTTTTGAGAGGGAAAGGGAGGGAGAGGGAGTCGGCGGAGGAGGAGAGACAGGGAGGGAAACATAAGGAGAGGGAAGGGAAGAGATTTTGAGGTTTTGTGGAGGTTAAAGGGAGCATTTTTCTGTAATTGTTGAAGAAAGAGAGGGACGGAGAGAATTTGCTGATCTGGAAGAGGGAAAAGACCTTTCTTTCCCTCTGTTTTGCAGTCTCTGTCACAGCTTGCAGGGTGTTTGGAAACTTATAGACGGAATCCAATTCCTAAATTTTAAGAAATAAGAATTCACGTGCGAATGCATGTGATTTGTTAGCTAGACAAAACAAAGAACCAATCTCTTTTTTATTTTATTTTTTGGATTTGGATTATATATTTTAGGAATCAATAAAAATAAAAAGGAGTAAAATCACGTCTTTGGGGAGAAAACTTTTCATTTTCATTTTTATTGTATTCATAGATTTTCCACCTAAAACATGATTTACATTTTTATTATTTAAATTTTCTTTTTCATTTTTTTTTCAAGTTTTAGTCTTCATTTTTCCTCCAAATTATGATTAACGGGTCATACAATAAAAATATCGCGTGTCACATCGTCAGTAATTATTAGTTCTCCAATAAAAGAGTCAGTCATGGCGTTTGCAAAATTTCATCAATTTGACTCAATTGAATTAAATTGTAAAGTGATTACTAATCGTTTTTTCAAAGAAGAAAGAACATTAATGCTAGCTGAATTACAGCTTATTTGTTATAAATAATCGTCTAAGTACCATTACATCGGTTGTAAATGACTATTTAAAGACCAACAAAACCAAATTGCCCCCTTGTAGACTGTTGCATAATCATTTCGAAGAGAGGCTTTACCTGGAACTTCACTTCAATTACATGGAAGAAGCTGAAAGCTTTAGCTAGAAGATGGTTAAACGCTACAATTTTAGAGACCAGGACATCAAGGGTCAAGAGAGGAATTCTATAGCTAAGCCAAACAAAACTCATGCCATCCAATTAACATTCTTTAGAACCAAGAATTCGACCCCAACATGGTTCCACTATGAAGGAAAAATTCTCTAACTTGACTACCGGATCTGTTTAGTGTTTACCTCCTTTTTCTTGGCTTGTAGAGACTAACAAATATTATATTTCAAACGCCTGTCCTATGAAACTTTTTAGCCAACAAAATATGTGAAAAGCAAGCCAACGCAAGTATAATTTGCTTCCCACAGTGAACAGAAAGGGTGACGGTACAAATATTTCCAACCATAAGAAGTTCAAAAGACCACAAGCTCTCTCTCTCTCTCTCTCTGTACATGAATGACCATTTGCCTGTCATCTCTTAACATATCCTAATTTATCATCATCATCATTGACCTCGTCAAAATAGAATTCAACTAAACCACGGTAAACAAACTGAGAACCTAACCTGACCATGGGTAAAAGAAAAATGAAGAAATAGCATGCAAATGTGGAAGGGGATACCTTCACTAAGGACCACAAAGGTTAATAACCTTCGTTATCTCTCTCCCTCAGAAGATCTTGAAAAGCAGGCCACCATGAGTGGCAAAAAAGGGAGCAAACACTAGTGATTCTACTGCCATGAGCTTGATGAGAATGTTGAGAGATGGGCCTGAGGTGTCCTTAAGCGGGTCGCCAACAGTGTCACCAATCACGGCTGCCTTGTGTGGCTCAGAACCCTTTGGGCCAAGGCTTATTGCATGCTCGGAGGCACCGGCCTGACAATGATAACCCACAGGCATTACTTAACCCTGTCATCTGACCACATAAGGGCAAATAAACCAGCAGTTGCAATTAACATTCACCTCAATATACTTCTTGGCATTATCCCATGCACCACCAGTGTTGGATGCAGAAATTGCTATCTGTGAAAACCAAGTATCCATAAGTCAGTTGATGTAAACTCCCTCGACAATCTTGACCGCATTTTCTTTTCTCTGAATGAATGGTGTAACATTTGACAAGTATATAATTTCACCCAAACAATTTAATCAATCTTGTCATTCTTTCTATTAACAAGTGTACTATGTTGCAATATTATCATTACCTGGACACCAGAAACAAGGGAACCCGCCAGAACACCAGAAAGAGTCTCAATGCCAAAGAAGATTCCAACAATGAGGGGTGTTAACATGACAAGAGCACCTGGTGGAATCATCTCCTTGATGGATGCATCGGTAGAGATCTTGACACAGGTGGCATAATCAGGTTTGGCATGGCCCTCCATGAGACCAGGAATGGTGTTGAACTGCCTGCGAACCTCCTCAACCATCTTCAAAGCTGCACTTCCCACGCTCTTCATGGTCATGGCAGAGAACCAGTAAGGAAGCATCGCACCCACAATCAGACCAATGAAAACCTTTGGGGTCAAGACATCAACTGTGGAAATTCCTGCACGGCTCACAAAAGCACCAAAGAGAGCCAAAGACACCAGTGCAGCAGATCCAATTGCAAACCCCTAGACCAAACGAGAAAACAAAAAAAGAATAATTACCAATAGCAAGTACTCTTAAAAAAAAAAACCATAATTTAAGGGCAAACAGCTTGAAACAATGTACGAGCCAAGCAAGCACAAAGGAAGAACATTTATTTTAGCCAGCTTTCGGTAAACAGCAGACAGGTTAGGTCTTATGAGAAGCAGTCTAGGCACTTACACTAGTTGCAGAAACCTTTTTTTAGCAAGCAGACAGGTCAACAACGTTATTTTAGGATTCTTTTGTCCCCTTAATTTTGAAGTTACAGAAAAAAGGTAGTACACCTCTGCATTTGTAGATTTGCACCCCCACAAAAAAAAAAAAAAAAAAAAAAAAAAAAACTCATGATAAATGTCATGGCCCTCGCATTTTAAAGGAAATACCTTTCCAATGGCAGCAGTAGTGTTGCCAGCTGCATCGAGGGCATCAGTTCTCTCACGAATGTGGTGACTCATGCCAGCCATCTCAGCAATTCCTCCAGCATTGTCGCTGATTGGACCATAAGCATCAATGGCTAATCCGGTAGCAATGGTGCTCAGCATTCCAAGGGCAGCCACTGCAATGCCATACATGGCCGCAAAGCTAAAACTAACAAAAATACTAACTGCAATGGCAAAAATGGGAATGATGACAGATTTGTATCCTAATGCAAGGCCAAAGATCACATTAGTGGCAGCTCCAGTTCTGCAGGAGTCAGCAACATCTTGCACTGGGCTGCAGACAAATGGATCTAATTTCACAATCAGGATTAAAACTTAAAAGAAACTAAAATACTCAATAATGTCACTATTTGTACCTGTACGCATTGCTAGTATAATACTCTGTTACAAATCCAATAATGAGTCCAGCCCAAAGACCAACTGCCACACACAAGAACAACTGCCTGCGATTAAAAAATCATGTCAGTGCCTGCATCAACAACAATCTATAGATGTACGAGACCAGAAAATGTGGAGACGCAACCAACAGAATGGGATGATCATGTAGAATCATTCAATAAGTAGGCATTTGGACAATTCAATAGACATGTAACCTTGCAGGTTCTTTATGTGACTGGTGCTCTAGCATTCATAACCATAATTATTAGAAACAAAATACAATATACTGTTAAGAAACTAAAATGCAACGTGCTAGCTAGAAGATAAGTAATCTTGGGATATCTCATCCCCTACGACATCCCCAATGACAAAAATCGAAGGTGTCATGCTTAGTCTGAGATGAACTGAACAATGTCAGAGGCAGGAAATTTATTAAACTTATTAACCTTACACATGGAACAGTTGCCTATTTAATGCCAGCAAAAACTACAGGACTCGAGGAATGAGTTTAAATTCATAAAAGAGTTTTAATCCTATATGAAAGCTTTCTAATAATTTGGAAACCCAGTATCTTTGTAAATCTATTCCAAATACTACTTCAACACATTGCTGAAAATTGTAAGAACAAACCAACTTTAACCATAACAAGCTTATTGAGAAAAGAAGAGTGTAGAACTTACCAGTTCTTCACAACTTTCTGCGTACCGAAGTTGTAGATTGTGAAAGATGAGGGCACACCAAGCCAAGTCACAATAGCAATTCCCAGAGTCATAAGAACTGTGGAGATTATAAGTTGCTTCTTCAATGCTGGTTCAATATCCTTTACAACCTTGATCTCAAACAAATCAGTGGCAAAGAGGGTTGTAATCAAACAAACAAGAATACCCACAGAGCTAATGAGCAGAGGATATAACATGGCAGTGAACTCATGGTGGATTCCAAAAGAAGAGATGGAAGCAACAACAAGGGCAGCACAGGATGATTCAGCATATGAGCCAAAAAGGTCAGATCCCATACCAGCAATATCTCCAACATTATCACCAACATTGTCGGCAATGACCTGTAAGGATAACAATAGAATCTAATTACTGAAGCCTAAAACATATCATATATAATATAACTGTATTCCAACAGGAAAGCAATGCATACAGCTGGATTTCTGGGGTCGTCTTCTGGAATGTTTCTTTCAACCTTTCCGACAAGATCAGCACCAACATCGGCAGCTTTCGTGTATATACCACCGCCAACCCTTCCAAAGAGAGCCATGGAAGATCCCCCAAGACCATAACCTGTGATGGATTCAAAGAGGCCTTCCCAGTCGTCTCCATAGTACAACTTGAAGAGATTGATAGCAATGTAAAGTACCAACAAACCATTTGCAGCTAGAAGAAAACCCATTACTGCTCCAGACCTAAATGCAGTAATAAATGCCTTGCCAACTCCTTTTCTTGCTTCTAAGGTTGTTCTTGCGTTGGCATAGGTAGCAATTTTCATACCTAGGAAACCAGAGAGGACCGAAGTGAAAGCACCGAGCAGGAAGGAAACAGTGCTAAAGATTGCAGTGGCAAGCGCTGGCTTGCACATAGTATGTGAATCATAAGTACAAGGTTGGCTCTTTGTGCTAAAGCCCTCAACAGATCCAAGAAAGAGGAAGATGAGAAGCGCAAATGCAATCATGAAAACCCCAACATACTTATATTCAGCGAAAAGAAAGGATGTGGCACCTGTTGCATCCATACATCCAAAAAAGTTTAATGCAGATACAGTTCGATAGTACATATCAGAAAGTAACAGTGTTTTCAAGGTATATACATGTATGTCTGTGCACATAGACGAAAAACTAAAAGCAAAGGTCTCAGCGGAGGAGAATGAGAGCAGAGACCATAGAACCAAATCATAAAGGAAACCTTGTGCAAATGATTACCTATAGCAATTGCTTGACTAATAGAATCAAGCAGCAACAGTCAATTATTGGCTAGAGCACCTATGCAGCTATAGTTGCCAATAACCAAATTAGCACAGCATGTAGGCAAGCCAGAAATATAAAACATGATGGTATCATAATAATTTTCATGAAAGGTATACAGAAACCAAATTCCTCATCCAAAAGAATATGCAGAAGCAAGAATAAGGACACCAAAATTTTCTTTTGTAGTATTAGATTAGTATTAGTTCGTGATCCGCAATCCTTTTGTTGTCAGTCCACTTTCTCCATTCAATGGGACGAGAAAATTGACATTCTATTTTATGAAACAATATGCCCTTTTTTGTAGAACAATAAAAATGCATCTCTGTAAATTAGATTTCTGAAATATACTTGTGATTATTTAGATCCAATATTTTAATATCTCATAAGCCCACATAATTTACTTAAATTTACCAATCAAATTCAGCTAATTTTATAGTTTCAACATCAATAAAACTATATATCTCATTAAAAACAAATAAAGTAAGGTAACTTTTTCTTGATAATGGAAGTCGTGGATTTTTCTGGCAAGGAAGACAAAAATATGCACATGTACTGTGTTCATCATGACATAAATTCCTAGTGATAAGGAAAAACAAGAATACGTGCTTTGTTCTTTTCTTATATCAATCAAAAGAGAGCAGTAATTATTTTGAACCCTCGATCCAACCCAAAAAAAAAAGGTTTGAGCCCCCACCCTTTCATCTTAGCTTCCATTCTCCCCGGTGTCTAGTATTTCATTAATCAAATAAAAACCAACAGAAAAATTCATGACAGTAAGACAAAATGATAAGAACAAGAATTTCAGGAATTCATGGCAGTCAGAATGCTGCCAAAAAATTCTTAGGATTCAAAAAAGAAAAGAAAATAAAGAAGAAATGAAATCATAAGCTTTATTTATTTGCTTGACAATTAATATTTCTTTACACTTTATAATGCTATACAAACACATTTTCATAAACATATATATATATATATATATATATATATATATAAAAGTCCATCAATTATAATTCATGGACTCACAAGTTATCATTTATCATTGACACATTTTAGTACAAATTTTCTTTATAATCATTCTCCATAATTTATTAGATTGCAGGAATTCTTGCTGCTTTGGAATTTTTTGTTCAATTAATAACTAATAGCAAGAAGATAAGAGCTGCAGGCATAAACCGACTCTTGAAAACATCTCCATTCTTATGGGACTTTTTCCAAATCTTGACTGTCCATCTAAAATCCTAAAAAATTTCATTTTTTTTCTTGGTCTTACAGCTGTGTGTATTCTTGCCAGCTTTACCGCACGACCAAAAAAAAAAAAATTGAACTTATATCACTCCAGTCCGATCAAAAGCAATCTATCCACTCAAGAACAATATTCATGAAAAATCGGTTACTAAAGAGTAATTATAAATTAATCTCTCTATTTTTAAAAAATTAATTAATTAATTTCTTTACTTTAAAAATTAATTATTTAGTTCATTAATAAATATTAATCATATTTAATTTAATAACATTTTATTTTAAAAAATATATCATTTTTTTATTAATCTTTTCATATTTTTTCCTTATTATTTTTCTTTTTTTATTTCTTAAAACGAAAAATAAAATAAATTGGAAAAAAAATAAGTTATAAGAAAATTTAAAAATATAAAAACTAAATAATTAGTTTTGAAAGAATAAGGACTAATCAATTTATTTCTTGAAACTAGGAGGACTAATTTATAATTTACTCGTTACTAAAATAATAAGTACTGGTAGAATATCCGAGTGAATATCTTAAAGAATAAAGAATTTTAACTTATAAATACTAGTAGAATCCATCCACGTGCAGGAAACGTAAAAAGCACACGAGTGACAGTAACCCGCGAAAAGCCACGCATCCTTATCCAGACAATAATAAATATATGCTGTATTTATTTTTTTTCAATAGTATATAAAAATTAATCATACCCCATAAATTTGAACTCCTCCATCGAACAAATAATAATAATAATCAAATTTATATTTTTTTTTATAAAAGAAAGAAAACACTCTGTTTGGTTTCCAAAAATGTAAAAATGAAACAATTACGGTAGAATTAAAAAGACAGCTCCAGCAGTCAAAATATAAAAATAAAAATAAAAAGATTATGTATACCTTCAGAAATAGCGTTCTGGATATCGGCACACTTGGAGACAACGCTGTGGTCATTGAGACCTTCCTCTTCTTCAATCAAGTTTTCACTGTATCCATTCTTGTTGTTCGAACCCGATGCGTTTCGCTCCGAAGTGATCTTCACGCGTGATACCAGAAACCATTGGATTAAAGAGAAGATGATGCCTATCACCGCACACACCGGTACCACTATTTCCGTCGCCATCTCCGACAGCACCGTCGATCCCATCCTCCTCCGCCTGTACTACAACCACCTCTATTTGGATTAGTATGTATTTAGTGTTGTTTAGAGCAAGAGCGAAAAGAAAGCCACAAAGATAGAGAGAGTAGCTTTGCGGTGCTGCTTGGACTGACGTATTTATTCTGGAAATGAAGACGGAGAACGATTCATATGGTGTGATTTACCTTATTTTTGTTATGTTGTTACTAAAATATGAACCGTTGAGTTTTTATTTATTTTTATCCAACGGTATGTTTTGTGGGTTAAAGGGATGCGGTGCGGTTACTTTTCTTTTCGGACTCCGATTCATCACCTTCGGGCTTCAGCATGATACTGCGAAGTTAGCACGTGTCTTTGGGTAAGAAAATATTGCCTTCCAAGCCAATAGACACTGGAAAAACTTATATGGGATAATTGCATTATAAAGTTTTTTTTATTTTTTTATTTTTATTCCTAAGGTATCTTTGAGCTAAAAGTCTAAACTACCATCGCTATTCAAAGATTTTTTTTTATATATACAAGGTTTTGAAGTGAATATTACTTATTTAAATTATTAGACCTCGTTTCATTCAATCTAACATTTTTGGGTTATAAATACTAATTTTTAAGGTTTTCTTAGTAGAATATATAAATTTTTTATTAAGTATATTAATTATTCAAAATAAACCATTAAATATTTTCTGTCAATGGCTACTATATTTTGAGTATGTATTTTTTTATGACTATTAAATTATTATTTTAAAATTTTTAAAATGATAAAATAATTTAAGAGCATAAGTTTCTTGGAATGAAATGATAAAGCTATACTCATTCTGTTTCAAAAGGATTGTAAACTTTTCTATTTATATCCGCTTCAAAATATTTGTTTTGTTAAAATTTTAAGTTATATACTTTATTAAAATTAAGGTTCATTTCACAAAAAAAATATATATATATATTCTAATATAATTCCAAAAAAAGTATATTTGGAAAGCATGAAAAAAATAAAATATGGAAAAAACGACATAATAAGTGAAAGGTCAAGAGAAAGAATTTTTTTAGGACATAAAAACAATTTAGCAATATGAAGAAAAGGATATGTTATCAGATAACAGAACCATTAACATAAGTTAGATGTAAATTATTTAATTGGTTGCTTTGAAAAAAAAATTAATATATTCAAATAAAAAAATTAAAATTTATATCTCCATCGAACGAAACATTTAAAGTTAATATATTTATAACGGAATTATCCCAAAACCTTTTATCTGGGATGCCTGGTATTTTTTGGTTTTTGGCTTGGCTTGTTTTGCCATTATCCAAATCCGTAGCTGGTCCTAGCATTGACGCCTTTTTGGTTTCTCTTCCTCATCATTTCCGGTTTGCCTAGGAATTTTATTTTGTTGCCCTTTCGTTTTTTTTTTTTTAATTCATTTTCTGCAATTGTATGTGTTTGCATTTTATCTTTTTTATCCTCATTTTTTGGAACTCTTTCTTTGCCTGTCCTCTTCTGTCTTTTTCTTTTTTTCATCATCTCTAATCTTTGAATTGTTCATTAGAATTTAATGAAACTTTCATTGACGATTCTATACTCTTTTAGATTTTGACAACTGTCGTTTTTAATCAACTTTTTTAAAAAATCTTTTGATGGTTCTTTTAGGATTTTTGGCCGTATTTTTTGTCTTCAATTGTTAGGTAAAACGTTTTTCAATTTGATTTGTATTTTGCCAGCACATGTTTTGTGAGGGAGGATTCTTGGCCGTCGACTTATTTAATCATTGCATGCTTGAAAATAGAGGATCTGTTGGCTGAATTGCTATGATTCAACTTTGTTTTTGTTGTTTGTGCATGTTTTTTTCAGTTGATTTGATAGTACTTTTTCTAAAAAATTTATCATAAAAAAACAATTAAATTATTATCAGATGCAACTATTCGTGAGATAATTTTTATTTTTTTAATTTGGTCCTCATTCTAGGGTTATGAAATCGGTGTAGTAATCTAATTAGTTATATAATATAAATCAATTAATAAAATAATTAATCAACCATATAGTATTTGATGCAATCGGCCCATACATCAGTTCAGTCCCCTATTTAATGTTAATTGGTCAATATCTTCAGAGTTGTTTTCAAATATCCAGTTTTCAAAATTAAAAAAATCAATTGATCAGATTTGTTAAATTACAAGAACTAATTAATAATTTACTTTGTAAAACAACAAGACACTAGAACAAGGGGATTTTGATCATTCTAAAAAAATAAAAATATTTTGGTCCAATAGTACATCTATAAAATGAAATCTAATAGATAAGTTCTGCAAAAAGAATGTAATATCAATTATATTATATAAATTAAATGTTTGACATCAAAGGCATAAGATATCCAAAGCAAAGATGCATATGTTCAGTGTGTGTCTATATATATAACTAAATAAAATATTATTTTATTATGCGATTTGTATTAATTGTTGTTTATAATTTGTTTGATGGGATAGTAAATGATAGTTTTTAATCATCTTACATAGTAATTAAAATTAAATTGTTATTTTTTTTTAAAACAAAGTGGCTTTTAACAAAAAGTCGCGAGACTCGACGTCTAACGAACCTTTTGCTGAACCAAATTTTATTTATTTTTTCTTATCAGTTGTGCTCTCCTGCCGACTTAACTGGGCCAAGCCATGAGAATTTAGCCCAGGATACACGCATTAATTGAAAAGGACTAGTTATCAAAAATCGGTATATATGTGTGTGTCTAGATATTTATACATAATCTAACATTTTAAGAAACCACAAAAATATCCTATTAATTCAACATTTTATTTCTTTTTTCTTTTTTTCTATATAGATTCTATTAATGATTTTTGGATTAAATTATTTTATTGGATGTTTGATGCTATTTTACAATTGATTGGATCTTTAAATGGTATATTTATTTATTTATTTCAAAATAAAATGACGAATACATATAACATTTAATTCATGAAAGCATGATGCTCAATGAACCAAGAGTCATAACATTAATTTTTATATTTAAAAAAAAAATTCAACTTTCCAATGAAAACTGGAAAAAAAAACTGAAATTTTTTGTTCCAAAAGCTGAAAACCGAATAATACTTTAGCTTTGGCCTTTGTTTTTGAGTAAATTATAAATTAGTCCCTCTTATTTTGAGAAAAAAATTAATTAGTTCCTCTAGTTTAAAAGTCTAATTATTTAGTCTTCATGTTTTGAAATCTACTTATAATTTTTTTTTTAAACTCACACACTCAAGACTCCTAACATAACTAATCTATTAAGATTTGAGTCTATGACCTCTTGTTGCAAGAAACCACTACTACTGAGTTACAAGCACTTTGATACTTATAATTTAGTTCTTTTTGCTCTTTTTTTTTATTTATTTTGATTTTTTGTTTCAAGAAATAGAAAAAGGAAAAAAATAGGAAAAAATTCACAAGAAAATAATAGATTTTATGTAATAAAAATAATATTAAATTAAGTATATTCAACACCAATTAAAGGATTAGATGATAATTTTTGAAACAAAGGGGATTAATCAATTTATTTCTTAAACCTAGAAGGACTAATTTATAGTTCACTCTCTTTATGTTTTTAGATTGAATTAACTAAAAACGGAACTGGATTCCTTATCCATCACGTTTCTGCCCGTGCCCTTAGAGTTGGCCGGGAACATACGTGGTGTTGCTTATTCCGACAGGACTTTCCTTTAGCCACTTGTGGAATCGTGTGTCGTTAATATACCTATGAAAACTTCACTTCCGGACTTCAATTTACCAAACAAGAGGGGCTTCTATGCCATGAGCCATTGGGCATGCCTTAATCACAGATGCCTGTGCAAAAATTAACAATTTAATGGTCCAATGATCTCGATGTTTGCCAAAGACCCAACACTAGCCTGAGGTAAGAAAAGCTGGCAAGTCAGATCGATCGGTAGTTAAGCTCCATTTTCAAATTAAAGAAGCTGCTAATTGGTAAAACTTAGGAGAATGGAAATTAATGTATATACATGTATCAGAGGCATGTGCTTTTAAATTTGGCATTGCCGTAAGCATATCCAAGAATGATTCCAAACAACTTACTTGACGCCATTGCAGTCTGACTTTACTAAAACATATATTATTTCGAACTCCGATGCCCATCTTTATTTATATCCCTCCATAGCTAGCTAGCCTTACCGTCTAAGAATTAGAAAAGTGAAAATGGAGAAACTTTTGCTTGTCCTATTGAGCATCTTCTTCTTCCCCCAATTTATCTTACACACTCAGGCATCAAAAGACGAATATTACTCTCGACCTCCTGCTCGCAATGTTATCTTCACTCCTCATCACGGATCTGATTCTGAAGCCCAACAGGTTTCTGCCTTCTCCCTGCATTATCTATGCATAAATATTACACTTGCATGATCATATATATATATATAAATGTAACATTTTGATTGTCGAGACAATTTTTTCTTATTCTTCTATATGATTTAGGTGCACGTTTCGTTGGTGGGGAGAGATCACATGAGAGTTACATGGATTACAGATGATAAACAAGCACCATCCATTGTAGAATATGGAAAGCAACCAGGAAAATACAATGCAAAGGCAACTGGAGACCACACTTCCTATCGTTATTTCTTCTATAGCTCAGGCAAGATACACCATGTAAAGATTGGACCCTTGGAGCCAGGCACAATCTATTACTATAGATGTGGAGGTTCTGGCCCCGAGTTATCCCTCAAGACTCCTCCTGCAACTTTTCCTCTTGAATTCGTTGTGGTTGGTAAGCATTTTACTAAAAAAATTTATCCTTTTTTAATTATATATGAATCCGTTTTGGTTGGTAAGCATTTTGCTAAATTGTTTTATCATTTTTTAATTATATATGATGCCCATAATCATTATCATTATAAATCTATACGAATACCGTAAGTCAACTAAATAGACCTATTGGAACGAAAGTGAAATTGGTTATACAAGAAAGAAATCATCACATGAACCTATTTTATTTTATCCAGTTATTCACCATGTCTTTGTATGCATGTTCTCGACACCATCCAATTATTACATAAAAATTTCTACTTATGAAAAGAGTGCACAAGAATTTCAACCTATATGCCTTTGCATGTACGTACGTTTTGAGGTTTTTGCTGGGTTATGATAATTTTGGGAAATGGTTGAGAGATTGACATGTACGATTAATTCAGGCAGGTTTAAGATCGGTTGGATGGTAGGTTAGTTCTTGGAGTGTAAGCAACAATCTAGCTCAGCAGAGAGCAAAGAGTGAACAGAATAATATACATGGGATTGGGTCATTAAGACCGCGCACTAGCCTTTCGGAGGTCTACCTCAAGTAATTGTATCGAAGTCAAAAACAAATTTCCCATCTTAATTTCTTCAATGTCTCTCTCAAAAAACAGACAGATCACCATAAGTTTTGGCCTAGCAGGGAATATTCTAAGCATTTAAGATGATATTCTTTGGGCCAGGTGGCTTGGAATAACACTTTCAGGCCTAATTTTTATTACCACAAGAATCTTTCCCTGAGAAATTGTTAAATAACGTTTGTTTCAACTTGATTCACAGGTGATCTCGGACAAACAGAATGGACTAATGCGACCTTAGCACATGTACAGAGTCATTATTACGATTTATTCTTGCTACCGGGTGATTTATCATACGCAGATACCAGTCAGCCTCTATGGGACTCATTTGGCCGCCTGGTGGAGCCATATGCTAGCCAGCGGCCGTGGATGGTGACAGAAGGAAACCATGAGATCGAAACCTTCCCAATTATAGAGCCAGAGGGCTTCAAGGCCTATAATGCACGGTGGCGAATGCCATATGAGGAGAGTAATTCAAGCTCAAACTTGTACTACTCATTCAACGTTGTTGGCACTCACGTTATAATGTTAGGATCTTACACAGATTTTGAAGATGATTCAGATCAGTACAAGTGGCTTGAAGCTGACTTGGGTAGCATTGATAGGAAAACGACACCGTGGGTCTTTGTGCTGTTGCATGCCCCATGGTATAATACTAATAGTGCGCATCGAGGTGAAGGAGAAAGCATGAGAAAAGCTATGGAAGAGTTGCTGTACAAGGCAAGAGTAGATGTGGTGTTTGCTGGGCATGTTCATGCATATGAACGATTTGTAAGTCCTTGTTATTCCCACTCCATCCAACTAATTCTTTATTTACCTTTATGAACATTTTCACCGGATGAAAAAATTCTTACGCACAGGTCTTTGGGTTATTTTGTTTTCTGTTTTGTTGCAGACAAGGATTTATGATAACGAGGCTGATCCATGCGGCCCTATGTATATAACAATTGGAGATGGGGGAAACCGTGAAGGACTTGCATTAACGTGAGTATACTCCATGCATTGATCAACATTCACTTATGCATTTTTCTTTTATAATGCTGATTTTCAAACTCGAGATCTTTTGAAAGAAACATTGAGAGAGGAACGTTAATGTCATTTAAGCTACATTTTATTCGATATTTATGCAATAACCTTTGAAAGTTATTTAGAGATGGGGTTTGGTTTTCTTTTTTAACATAAAGTACTTATAATTCCTTTTTGTACTAAAATATGATATATTTTTAATCTTATTTCTTAAATGAAGATGTTATTGCAACGTAAGTTCCACCTAATCAACTTATGTCATCTTTGTTTTCTTTTAAATATTAATAAAACCCTAATTACACCATTTGAAACCAATAAACAAACTGCAATTTCTTACCCTTGTAAACAGCCATCTCCTTTAATTTTTTCAAATCTAAAACTACAAACCCAAGTGTAATTTGTTACCATTGTGGAGAATCTATCCATGTTAAGGTCTGTTGCAATCGTTTAATTTTCTTCTCATTGAAAGGAATTCGATTATTATGTGTTGTTTATGTCCAAGTCCTATACAATCTTTGTCATCCAACCCAGACAAAATCGATCAAAAATATTATTTTTATAATATTCTATTACAATGACATAGCAAATGAGATATTTATTACACGGCAAAAATACCCTAGGTTGATAAATAAAATTAAAATTATGACATTTTAATATAAACATTTTAAAATGATCTTATTTTCAAAAAAACTCATCAAGTTATACATTACATGCATTAATTATTAATCAATTTATTTAAAATAAAAATATATAAAATTAATTTTCAGACCTCACTTGATAGTTTAAATTTTTTTGATTGAAATAGATTTTTTATATGATATCATTAAGTAGTTACGAATTCAAATTTTATTATCTTTATTTTTCTTCTAATTAATTAAATATAAGATAGTGTAGATCTGATTAAATTTCAAGTCTAAACAACCTGTATAAGTTTCAAATCTTAAAAACCTTTACCTTCTTCGGAATTTATATTAAGTGCGCACGTTAGATAAGAATGCTGATCATGTGAAATGTTTAGGTTTGATAATCCTGCTTCGCCTCTTTCATTGTATCGAGAGCCAAGCTTCGGACATGGAAGGTTGAGGATAATGGATGAAGCACGGGCACACTGGTCATGGCACCGGAACAATGATTCTGACTCTTTTTCTGCCGACGAGGTGTGGTTCAATAGTTTAAGCACATCTACTGCTTGCTGGGCAATTGTGGACGAGAAAGTGCCACCACTAAATGATGAACTTTAAGTTATTCGAGTAAAGGAACAGTTTTTAATAGCACTGTAAAAGTAGGTTAAAAAGAGAAAAGATCATATCTGCAGCAGTTGGTGTTAAAAGCAAGATGTAAAAATAGATTGCAAGGTAATTTTTTGGCGGAGTTGAAACTGCTTGCAGGTTATCATACACGAACATTGCAAAACAGAACATCCTAGTTTTAATTTTTTTGGCGCTTGCTGCATATGTAGCAGACTATGTTATATTTCATGCAGTGGAATTCGGTATGTATCAAAATAGATGAGACTCTTAGAAGAATCTACTTTTGGTGTCTATTTTAGTAGTTAGTTAATTTTAATTTTTTTTTTAGTGGTTAGTTAATTTAGGAAGTAGTGGAGCATGTTTTCGTAATTTTTTTTATCCTAATAAATCTATTTAAGTGTTTTTTCTTGTATTTGCATCAAGAGAAATTTTTCGAATTCAATAAAAGTATTATTCAAAATTGCGAGTGTTTGCTTAGCCTCTAATAAGTGGTGTCAAAGAAAGGTTAGGGCTGAAAGAATTTTTTCCAATTCTAAACATCTTAGTGGAGAGATGTCAAACACTATCCTAACAACAAGTGTATCACAAAATGCTCTCATCTTTAGTGGCATCAATTACCAATTTTGATGTGTGAAGATGAAGACACTCTTCATCTGATCATATGACCTTGTGGGACTTGGTAGAACATGGTCTTGGAGATCTTGTAAATCTTGATCAAGTCACAAAACTGACCTTTGCTCAGTGTAACGATCGAGTTGAAAGACAGGCAAAACAAAAATGCCAAAGCCATATTTATGATTCAACAGGCTTTGGATGATGTCATATTCCCATGAATAATGGTTGTCACCACCTCAAAATAAACTCGGGACCTTCTTAAAGAAGAGTATCAAGGCTTAATTAAAGCTGTGACGGTAAAACTGTAAACTTTTTTTTATCGAAAGTTTGAAAATTTGTTGATTCAATCCAAAAATTGTTCACAGGAGTCTCTTCAATGGTGAAGAATTAAGAGATCAAAAAGTTGTTGAAAAGGTTTTGCGAAGCCTTCCATCTAAATTTGATCACGTAGTGGTTGCAATAGAAGAGTCCAAAGGTTTATCCAGTTACTCCATAAAGCTAATTGATGTGATCACTTTTTTCACATGAGCAGAGGTTAAGCAAGATAACAAAAACTCCATTACAGAACGCTTTCCAATCAAAGTTGAATTTGAAGTGAGAAAAGAGAGGACATGCTAGGGACATGGGAAAACCAATGGCTGTCTAAAAACTTCAAAGGAGGTAATGATGTTGATTCTCAATCTTGTTTCTATTGTGGTAAATCTATTCACATGAACAAGGATTGTTGGTTCACAAATAAATTTGATCACAATAAAAAATCTATTAGGGGTTGTCATTGTAATAGATTTGGCCATATTCACTACAAAAAAACAAAGGATTTGCAAGGGGAAATTAGCGACGGTCTCAAACCCGTCGCTAATTTACTAAAATTGCGACAGTTTGAAGCCCTTTAGCAAGAGAAATTAGCGACGGTTTTTTGCGACGGTTTTTTTGAAAAAAACAGTCGCTAATTTCAATTTTTTTAAAAAAAAATTTTGCAACCATTTTTTGCGACAGCTTCCTCCAAAAAAAAAAGTCGCTAATTCATTTTTTTAAAAAAACATTTATGTAACCATTTTTTGTGACGGTTTTTGTAAAAAAACCATTGCTAATCACGAAAATTAGGGACGGTTTTTTGCGACGGTTTTTTTTTAAAAAACCGTTGCTAATTTCAATTTTTTCAAAAAATTGAAATTACTTTCAGCCTTTTTTGCGATGGTTTTTTTACCAAAAAACATCGCAAAATTAGTAAATTAGCGACGGTTTAAAGACCTTCGCTAAACCGTTACTAATTAAGAGGGAAATGACTATTTTTTAAAACATTTTTAGACATTTAGCGATGGTTCTAGACCGTCGCTAAAATTTTCAACCTTCTATATAACAATTTGCCTAAAAATTTGCAAGAAAAAATTTCTTCTCTCTCTTCTTCTTCTTTTTCTCCGGCGCGATCTCCCTTCCATTTCCATTAAATCTTCCACCTCTCTTTTTCATTTTCCTTCCAATCTCCTCCTCTCTCTCCTACTTCCCTTTCTTCCCTCCATCTCTCACCCTTTCTTCCTCCTTTTCCTCTTTCTTTCTTCCTTTCTCCCCCTTTCCTCAACCGGCCATTTTCCGGCTAGAATAGTTCGACAAAGCTTCTCCACCGGCGCAATCCACTCTCCTCCTTGTGTTGGTGAAAGGTCCTCCCTCATTTAACCTCTTAATTAATTTTTTAATTTTTTTCTATTATTTACTTAATTTAATTTTAAAGTTTTTTGTTATTGTTAATTGTTAAGAAATTTTAATTGTTATTAATTGTTTAATTATTAATTTTATTGTTATTAATTTTTGTTGTTAATTTAATTGTTAATTTTTATTATTAATTGGTAATTTTTAATTGTTATTTTAGTTAGTTTATTGTTAAATGTTATTTATTAATTTAGTTAGTTTAATTGATGGTATTTTGGAAAGTTAATTATTTTAGAAAATTGTTAATAAGTTATTAGCAATTGGTCAATTTAAAATGAGGATAAAATAATAATAATAATAATAATATTTTAGCAACGGTCTAAGATCGTCGCTAATTTGTTTTTGCAACGAATTAGCAACGGTCTAGACCGTTGCTAATGTTTTTACGATAAAATTAAAAATTAGTCAATTTAAAATGACGATAAAAAAAATAATAATATTTTAGCAACGGTCTGGACCGTTGCTAAGGCCGTTGCTAATGCGACGGAATTAGCGACGATCTAGACCATTGCTAATGTTTTTTGCGATAAAATTAACAATTAGTCAATTTAAAATGAGGATAAAAAAATAATATTTTAGCAACGGTCCGGACCGTTGCTAGACCGTTGCTAATTTATTTACAACGGAATTAGCGACGGTCTAGACCGTTGCTAATTCTAAATATTAGTGACGAGTCTAAAACCCTCGCTAAAATTGTCACAAAACGACGACGGTTTTTTAATTTTGCGACGGTTCTTTCCGTTGCTAAAGTAGCGACGGTCTGAAAATCGTCGCAAAAGTTTAACGACTAGCATTTTACCAACGGTTTTTGGACCGTCGCAAATCCGTCGCTAATTAAAATTAGCGACAGATTTTAGCAAATTAGCGACGGTCTAGACCGTCGCTAATTCTATTTTTTTTTTTTTTGTAGTGATTGTGAAGTATTGTTGTTTCAAGAAATATGAGCAACCTAATTATCATGAAGTAAAAAAGTTGCGAAAGATAATTTACTTTTTGCTTGTCTTGATGCAAATGTTGATATGTGTGAAAAAAATTGGTATTTAGACAGTGAGTACACCAATCACATGACAAGAAACATAAGTTACTTCGTGAAATTGATAAGTCAACGATGGGCAGTTGATGAAAATAGGTTATTGTGTTGTTTTTGACAACCATGAATGCTTGATATATGATATGAAAAGTATGAACTTGATTTACTCAATTAAAATGACCAATAACAAGATGTTTCCTATAGAGTTCTCAAAGTTGCTCGTGATGCGTTTCGTGCAGCAACTAGTGATTCCTTATTTTGGCATAAGAGGTATAATCATCTGAATTTTGATAGGTTGAATTTGTTGCAAGTTAGAATATGATTTCAAGTTTATTCATGGTTAATGTTGACAAGCAATTATGTGAAGCATGTAATTTTGACACGCATCGTCGAGAAAGATTTCTTGTTGGGAAAGCTGGATGAGATAAATGGAAGTCGCTGTCAAAGGCTGAGAAAGCTTCCTTTGTTGCCAAAGTTGTGCAAAAGACAAAGGTTGAAGCTGACACTCTTGTTCTAAGGAAGAAGAGGAGGTTAAGGTTCAACCAAAGAAGGCAAAGAAGCCTACTAAACCACACTTCAAAAAATCCAGCAAATCTGAATCGAAATCTTGGTCAAAATCTAACGATAAGCCTCCTACCAAAGTTGCTCTTCCAATAAAAAAATGAGCTAGTTGCTGGTAAAAATGGTTCCAATGGTGTTGCTGCTAAGGAAAAGAATGGTAACAATAGTTCAAATTCTTCAAAGGATAAGTCTGATAACGAGAAAATTCCTGCAAAGGCTTCTGCTTCTAAAAATGTTAATGTACAAGCAGTTGCCCAGAAGAAAACTAAACCTAGTGATGACTCTAATGATATTAGTTCTGATGAATCCTCTTCTGAAAATGAGGAGAAAACCAAAACTGCAACTTCGGCGCGCTGCTTCCAAAGCTCTACCAAAAATGAGTAATGATGATGATAGTTCAAAAAATGAATCCCATGAGTCTAAGGAATTAGATGATACTCCTGCAACTAAGGCAATTGTTACTTCTAAAAAGCCATCCTCTGTTACCGAAACAAAGAAATCAAAATAGAATAAAATAAAGGTTGATGAAGATGATTCATGATGATTTTAAAGAAAATGATGATGAGTGATCTCAAAATAAAAAGGCAAAAGCTACTGGTCAAAAGAAAAGTAGCAGTGAAGCAGAGAGCTCCAGTGATAGCTCAAAGGATGAGTAAGAGGAAGACAATGAGGATTAATAGCTCAAAAGAAAATTAGATTCTTACAAAATTTTTGGTGGAGAATAAACCTAAAAAGTTCAGATCTATGATGGGAGTTGTAGAGCTTACCCATTTTGTTCATTGATAGAGCTTAACGGCTATCAATAGTACATGTAATATAGAGAGAGGTTGAAAACCACAAAGCACAAATGACTGATCATACCAAGCCAGTAAAAGGATCAGTATATATTCATTTAAGGTATAAGATAAAACTAAGAAGACATGAAAGAAATAGAACAGCAAAACCATAGATGCCTAGCTATGTGCATTGAAAGGAAGCAGAAATATTAAAGAGATTGCATAGAAAATGAATCAAATCATATGAAATATGAAAGAATATCCATGCATGGAATGGTTTTCTGACATTTGAACTATAGCACAAGTAAAATGTTTCAAACCAGCAGTAATACTAGTCAAACCTTTTCTACCAGAGAAAATCTGAACATCGAAAAAAAAAAAAAAAAAGGTTCTAACAGTATATCTAAGAACGGAATTGATAAGTGAAAAATAGGCAGTAAAAAGTATGATACCATGCACATTGCCTAGCATCCATTGAAAATCCCAAGTTTGTGAAGCAATTGCAGGGAAACTTCGAAGGCAATCTGATGGCTAGGGTTAAAGAGGAGAAGGAGATTTTCTTTATATTTTGTCATTGGAAAAAATAAGATACAAAAATGTAAAAATAAAAGCACGGGAATAAAAAATAATAATAATATATATATATATTTTTTTTTTGCCTAGGGTAATTCAGGTGCTTTTACATATTTACTGAATTTTTTCCTTTTTTCCTTTTATTGGATATAAATTATAATGTATCCATAATGTATTGGTCTCATTTTTCCATAAAAAGTTTATATCTATTTTATTTAAATGAATTATTAAAAATTTTATATTATTTCTATATCTATTGTATTTAGTTTTAGTAGTCATTATTATGATATGAATATTTTATTTGATTTTCTTATATGTGGAAAAGAAGAGAGACAATTTAGAAAACAGGCCGGAGTCAGAGAAGTTTAAGAGGTTTCTTTTCTAAAAATGTAAAAAAAATAAAATTAAAATATGCATTAATTGAAAAGGAAAAAAAAGAACAGGTCCAGACACTTTAGGCCCACGAGTTAGATTCGAATTCAGGCCCGTGCGGGTAAGGTTGGGCTCCAAGCCCGACCTTATAGAATGATTAAAAAGAAAAGAAAAGAAAAGGAGGTGGACCTTGTCCTGTTCCTTCTTCACCATTTGCTATAATCCAACAATCATACTCCTAAGTTGAAATAGAACCTAAAAAGGTCATTTTACCACAACCTATTATTTTATCGTTATTTCTTCTTCTTTTTTACCTAGGATACTTCAGGTGCTTTTACATATTTACTGTTTTTTTTTTCCTTTTTTTCTTTGATTGGATATAAATTATAATGTGTCCATAATGTATTGGTCTCATTTTTCCATAAAAAGTTTATATCTATTTTATTCAAATGAATTATCAAAAGTAAATTCGGTTTTAGATTATTTATTTATTTATTGTATTTAGTTTTAGTAGTCATTGTGTATATGAATTTTTACAATGCAATGATGCAAGCATGTACTTGAAACATTTAAAACTTTATAATTTGGTTTTTTAATTTAACCAAATAAAAAAAAATCAATAACCAAACTGAATCCTAAAAATCAAAATAAAATCATTTTTTTAATGGTAAAATTTGCCTCTATTTTATTGCGATTTCCTAATTTTGAATCCATAATATCAAATTGCGTAATTTGAATTCTAAAGTATTGAAGATTAGGCAAATACAATCCAAATTGCCTAATTTAATTTTCGTTATATATAATGATTAACTAGGTTGATCGTTACTTAGAATATCAAAACTACATTGTTTTAACATTATGGTGTTACTTAGTTTTTTCTAAAAAAAATATTTTTCCCCCAATCTTGATTTTTTTAAAAAAAATTCTTATAAAATATTATAAAAAATTTATAAATTACGTAAAAAAAAATTTATAAATATTTTTAACCTCCTAATTTTGAACTTTAAAAAGAAATTTAATAAAATGTTATTGTAAAAAATATAATTAACAATACACAATTTCAAGCTTTAAAAAAAACATTTTATAAACTAAAACAAACATAATTAAGAATTGACCGCCCTAATTTTATAAATTATAAAAAAAATTAATAAAAAATTAATAATATTTTATCAAAAAATTCAAAATTTGAGGGTTAAAAATATTTATAAAATGTGTTTTTATATAATTTATAAAAATTTTATAATATTTTATAAGAAAAAGTTTTTTCGAAAAAGTTAAAGATTAAGCGATTAAAAATATTTTTTAAAAAACATAATTAACAACGGAAAGTCTAAACAATGTCGTTTTGATATTTCAAATAACAATCAATCCAATTAACTGCTGTACACAATAAAGATTGAATAATTTGAATAATATTTATTCGAACTTTAATATTTTAACGTTCAAATTACATGATTTGATACTATAAATCAGAAGTTATCAAATCTTAATAGAATGAAAACAAAATTTATCATTAAAATTTTTTTTATTTAAAAACTGAAACGAAATCAGTTGGATTTTTTTTTATTAAAATCCAAAACCATAAAAATATTCAATTAAAAAGTATCTTAGTTTCGTTAGACAAAAATAGAAGTATACTCTCATCGTTAAAGCTTGACCAAAAAATCTAGTTTATTTTTCGAATGATTGTTAATAATTTATTTATTTTGCTCTCTTTTCGATGAAAAATATAAATAGCAATAAAGAAGGCACGAACGACGCAACTTTTCCCAACCCCCAAAAGTCTTCCCTACTGCAGAAAGAACGGTGGATCGGACTTGAAACGGACCAAACAGCATGACAGCTACCACACATAAAGATGATTGATTCAAGGATAAATTATACTTTTGTCCTTACAGATTCAACATTGCTCCACTTGTATCCTTACTAAAAAAATTTATCAAGTGACATGACACCATGCAATTGATATTTTATTAATCACTCAATTTCACTAATATAATCATCTCATTAAATGGATAAGATCTTCATTCCATGATTTGATATTCTTATCTTGTAATAGATATCAAGTCAGTAGTTAAAACTTAGTAAAAAGATTTAGTATCCCTAGCATTATCATTTTTATTTTTATTGTTTCTATCTAACATTTTCGTCTCAATTTCTCATAAATGTTATAACATTTCAATTTAAAAACCTAAGTTTTTGTTTGGTAACAAATAATTAAATGATGAAAATAAAAATAAAAATTTTATTTCTAATTTATAAGTGTTTAATTAAAAAGAAATAAAATGAGAATAAAAATGAAGAGTGAGAATAATAATAAAAAATAAATATAGTTTTATTCTGACTAAGGAATGTGGGAATAAAAATAAAGAATAAATATGATATTTTTTTCTCTTCAAATAGTAATATATTATTTTTATTTATTATGTATCAACTATTCATACCGACATCACTACCTTCACCACTAGCACCATCATTATTTTTTCTACTACCACCTCTTATAGTGGCGACATTAATTTTTTTAAAAATATATTATTACTATTACTATAATCATCATCACGATCATTACTATCATAATCACGTCTATTATTTTGACTACAATCATAATTCATGACATTAGTATTTTTAATTATTATTTTTATGCATCTTCAAAACTAGATGTTAAAAATTCTAAATTTCATTTTAAGTTTTTATTATTATTCCAAATATAGTATTAGAATGAAAATATCATTCGATTTCTTGACTTTTATTCAGATTTTTGTATTTTCATGTTAGATCTTTCACCATCACTATGATTACTATCATAATCAAATCTATTATTTTGACTACAATCATAATTCATGAAATTATTATTTTTATTCATCTTAAAAACTAGATGTCAAAAATTCTAAATATCATTCTAAGTTTTTATTATTATTCCAAATATAGTATTGTAATGAAAATATCATTCTGATTTCTTAACTTTTATTCAGATTTTTGTATTTTCAGTTTAGATCTTTCATTTCTACCAGCTGAACCATACCTAAAGCAACACTCAAATCGAAATAATAGACTACTCGATGATTAGGGGTAAAACTGAAAACACTTAGAAACTAGAAGGATTATTGAAAAACTTTAAACTAGAGGGTCAAGAACAGAACTTTGGTGAATGTATAGGAGTAAAAAATGAAGGGCATCCTTGATTCCACTTGGGGGTTAGTTATTTGAAAATGCCAAACGTTTCTTCAGATAAATAAATACTCCTATTTATTACGTTCCCTGTCCTCTAGTTTTCGTTTTGTCTATATTCAGGATGAACTGCTGGAATGACATTAACAGGTGGTGGAGAAGCCAGGATAACCTCAGGACCTTTTACTTACTGCTCCTAGGTCAGATGGTGTCTTTTGTACTTGCAATGTGCAGCTTCACTTCTTCTCTAGTCGCCAATCTTGGTAACCCTTTCACTGATCCGCTGTGTTGTCGTTCTTTTCAGCTTTATATATGTTTTTGAATTCTGCATGTTTACTGTAGGTGTTGATGACCCCATTGCGCAATCATCTTTCAATTACTTGGCCTTAGCTTTGGTATATGGGAGCATATTATTGTATAAGAGGCAAAAAGTACAGGTATTAAGAACTCTAAATACTGGTTGTAGAAATTCTCTTACTTTTAGGTGGGAATTGGATGAACATGGGATCGATAACAGGCTTTGGTGGAATTTTCTGCAGATTTCTTGGTACTGGTATCTCCTTCTAGGCTTTGTTGATGTTCAAGGAAATTATCTTGGTAAGTTATGGTGTTTGAGGCGATATCTGGTCTTTTGAATTAATGGTTTGGATATTGGAAGAGATATTTGCAGGAAATTTAGTAATTTTAGATTGCAAAACATCCAATCGCGTTTCAATTAATGATGGAATGATTTGATAATCTTTCTCTTTGCTTTAAGAAAAAGAATAGGGTGTGTTGCTGTTGATACCAAAGCTTGAATCCCTCTTGAATGGTAGTTAGAGTCCAGACCACGTGGAAACAAAAGAGTAAATTATAAATTAGTCCCTTTAGTTTTGAGAGATAAATCAATTAGTCCTTTTTCAAAAACTAATTATTTAATTATTTTTTAACAAGTGTTAATCACGTTTAATATATTCAAATATTGAAATTTGTATTTAAAAAAAAAAGCAATTAAGGATTTTTATAAATGATTAACTTCTTGGTTTCTTTGATGTAGTTAACAAAGCATACCAATTCTCATCAATAACTAGTGTGACATTATTGGATTGCTGGACAATAGCATGGGTTATACTTCTCACCTGGTTCTTTCTCGGAACTCGCTATTCCTTATGGCAGCTGTTTGGTGCTGCCATTTGCGTGTTAGGGCTTGGTTTAGTGCTCCTCTCTGATGCTGGGGTGGGTGGTGGAGGTGACACTATTTCCTTCTCTTGCAACTACTTCCCATGATTGATCAGTATATGTTTATTTTTATGGTACTTAATTATGATCATTGATTTTGTCTTTGCCTTAATTTTTCTACTTGGGATTTACAACTCGTGTGTCAATAAATAGAAAGATTATAGGTATGCCAGATTCATCGAAGACATTGTTTATGGAAAGAAGTAATCTATATAGATACTTATCTTAAAAATTCTTAAGACCACATTACTATTTCATGATTATATTCATAGCTAACCACAAAGTGATATTCTATTCGAAAACAAACGTCGACTTATAAATCAAGTTTAAAATTCGATTTTCATAGCTAGCGATTCTTAAGAATTGATTTTCAGAATATTCGATGTCGTGCGTTAGGGAGTGTTCCTTAACCACCCAGGAAGAAATTAGTTTTTAGGTGTGCAAAATCTGACTCGGAGACTCCCTTATTGAATCTAATAGATAATATTGATATCTATTTTTTTTTTCAAGGAATAGTGCTATTCATTCGTACATATTCACTTTGAATTATTAGTTTTTGAAAAATATCAATAGTTTCACTCAAAAAAATGGTTCAGGCTAGAGATATTTTGGGATTAACAAAATTAGCTTTCTTCACGCCTATAATTAGTTTCGTATGCATAAAAAATTATATAATCAAATATGCTACTTTGTATGGGATATATATTTACTTGCAAACCAAAGATAAGTAGCAACTAAAAATTATTAGCTAGATCGTAAAAAAAATGTATAGTTTTCTTTATCTGCTTTTAAATAACAAAAAAAAACTCCCATTAATTAGGAAATATCCACATTTTCAAAATTTTGAGAAAAATTGAGAAAGAAATACAATATGTAGGTGGTTAGAAATTAATATCTAGTATTTATAGTGTATAGTTTAATAGTTATGAACCTCTTAATTTGAGCTAGCTGGAGGAAGATTTCATATTTGTTGTAATCCTTTTGCAATGTTTGAAACATTTCTTATTGATAATTTTATCATTGTGGGTTTCATTATTAGTTTAATATCTATATGTGAATTATTATTTTTTTTTCCAAGGGTGCATGTGGATTCGATTTAGTTTTATTTGAAACGCATTGACACAGCATATTTTAAGATAATATTAGATTTTGCATGTAAGTCTTTTGTTTTATTATTTCAAGCATGTTGTAAAACTTTGATTTAAATATATTTTATCAGATTAAATATTTTGACAAAAATACATGTTTTTATATATAATTGTAGATGCATCATTAATTTGCAATCACATATTTTATTTTATTGTTCCATTATAGGTGGTTCAAAGCCCATTTTAGGTGATTTCCTTGTTATTGCTGGGACATTTTTCTTTGCCTTTAGCAATGTTGGTGAGGTTAGTAAATTGATCCTTTTGTTCTTTGTTGCATGAAAATATGAAGCGTCTATGTATACGAAGAATTTCCTTTTAGTTAACAAAAAGTTTTCATTATATATTGAACACAAAATTTAAATCGTATCTTTATCTTGGGTACTTTGGTATATTACTTGCTAAATATGTTTCTTCTTCTGATTTAACTATGAGATTAACGCCAGGAATTTTGCGTTAAGAAAAAAGGTCGTGTTGAAGTAGTGACAATGCTCGGTATTTATGGATTCCTAGTGAGTGTAATTGAGCTGTATCCTTTCCAACGGTAATATATATTGATAAATATAAGGTGAATGCCCTCATATATCATTATATAATAGGTCAATTTTTTAATTTATTTCTTTAAAAAAAAAACCTTCAATTTGTCATTATATTTTTAATTGGTTTCTCATCTATCTTTTTAGTTAAAATTTTCAACTAATTTTCAAAAATTAATCTTCATATTAGTAGAGATAGATCATTTATACCAAATAATAAAAATAATTATCAAATCACATGTTTAATTTGGTTGGAGATTTTAATTAAAAAGATACATTAGAAACCAATTTAAAATATAAAGACAGATTAAAGATTTTTTCGAAAAAACACCGATTGAAAAATTGACTCATTATGTAGAGGATAGGTGAAGATATTAACTCATAAATATATTCAAGTTTTTGTATGTCAAAGCTACCCTAAGGGTATCTTTATCATTAAGAAATAAAAATGAAAAATAATCTTTCATGACACTACTCGAGTGTCCTTCTTCATTAAGTTGTATTTTGAAGTTTAATTTGAGGACTAATTATAAGTTGAACTATAACGTTCATTCCATAACTTCATTTTAGATCTATATTTGAGCTAAAGAGTTTGGAGGCAATCCATTGGTCTAAAGATATTGTAAGTATTTTATTCTTGCTTCTTCTTTTTTTCTTTTTTTCCAACTCTTTTGTTTAAGAATGATCAAGAAATACAACAACTAATAAAGAGAAAATTACACCTTCATCGTGTATGATCAGATGCTAAGTTCACTATCGTATTTATTATTCCTTATTATATTAGTAATAAAAGCATTGTTAAATTCACTATTAAATTTATTATTCTTATCATTTATTTTTTGAAAATTATTAATACACCATCTTCTTTAATGTTTGTTATTATATCATAGTTGAGTATGTTTTATATCAAATATTTAAAAGGTCAAAAAATTAAATATGCATGAAAGAAAAAATAAATAAATAAGTAAAAAGTAAAAATATTGACTAGCATTTTAAATATCTGATATAAAACATATTTAACTATGATATAAGAATAAACCTTGATGAGAATGTGTCTTAGTATTTTTATTTTATTTTTTTTAAAAAAAAACAAGTTGTAAAATTAACAATTTGATGATGGATTTAACCTTGACCTAATAATAATATTTGGTGCCGGTAGAATTGACATTTATTTATTTATTGGTTTCAGATACTCGCAATTGCCGGCTATACTTTATCAATGTTTTTATTCTATTCTGTTGTTCCTTTGGTTCTAAAGGTAAAATCCCTTACTGTGAAAATTTATAAATATTAAGGGTAGTATATATCACAATTAGAATAATATAATTATGTAGAGAAAATATTTATAAAAAAAGAGGAAAAAAATGATACTTAATATAAATACAAAAACAACAATCTAATATTCTTTTACATCATATATATTTTGTGTAAATTATTGGTTGTATATGGTCATCGTTATATATTTTATTTGTTGTAATGAACTAAATAGAGAATTAATAATGAAAATAGAAATTCATGCATTTATATATTGCTAATGGAATTTTAATGGATACAGTTAAGTGGAGCCACAATGTTCAACCTATCCATTCTCACATCTGATATGTGGGCTGTTGTTATACGTGTATTTTTCTATCACCAAAAGGTAATAATTAAAATACAAATTTATAAATTATAATTTATGTGGTCAATAATCTTCTTTTTAATAAATTATACATGGTAAATTATTTTTTTTTATAAATATAAATATGCTCATTTATTTTTATATAATATTCAAATTCTCTTGTTGGTTTTTAGATTTCTAATTATATCACCTTTGTCTTTGAAAAATTTTAAAATATTCAATATATTTTTAAATCAAATTTTCTTATCATAATTTTTTTTATCAAAATATTCTTTATTAAAAAAAACTTAAAGTCACGTGATCTATATGTTTTATTTTTTAAAATCTTTTAATTTTTTTTTTCATTTCAAACAGGGGTATTTTAGTTAAAAAAAATTATTTTACCGAAAAAATTTATTGAAAAGATAAAATGAATATTTCAAATATTTTCAGAGATAATTGAAATGTAATTAGAAACTTAAAAACATATAAAAGATTTTAAATATTATATAAAAACAGATGAATATATTTATTATTTTTATAATGTTATTAACTAATCATGTATTGAACTTTAATTGCAGGTTGATTGGTTATACTTTCTTGCTTTTGCAATTGTAGCCGTTGGATTAATCATTTACTCAACAACGTATGTTCTAATCCAATATTATAATATTAATTGTGCTTATAAGAAAAATAATAATGTTAGCCACACTTTTATTTTATTTTATATCAGTTTTAAACTCTATGCCAATGGTATAAACACACAGACACATATAGAAGTTCTCGTTAGAAGAGTCTTGAAATATAATCGAAATATTTTTTTAGTATTCATCTTTTAAAACTATATTTTTGTATTATTCATTTTTGAAAAATAAAGAATTGAATAATTTATTACAGAGGGGAGATTGAGGATTCTACACCAACTCTGCCGGACAGAAATTCCAATGCCCAATACCAAGTTCTTGATGAAAATGCAGCATCGGAAGTGAGGTTATAGTTTTATTAAACGATAAGAAATTTGTTGTGTTTTGGTAACTAATGGTAAGAATAAACGCATCACTTGCAAAGTTTGCTTGCCTAGAATAGGTACTTTCCCTTCTTTTTTTTTTTTTTTTTATACAGTAAAGACATTTTTGAGCTTGATACGAATCAAATCAAGACTGAACCCTTTTTGTATCGGTTCGGTATATTTTGAAAATTTTAATAAATTTTTTCTAGATGCTGATTCTAAAGTTTGCCTTTTTTTTTTTTTTTTTTTGTTTGAGAAATCAAAAATTGAACAAATTTTCTTAATTGCCTAACCAGTTTTTTTGAAGTTAGAATAATTTATTTTATGAATTGATAATAGCTATTAATTCATCCTCTCATTAATTCTCGGAACGATTTTTAAAATGTATCCCTTATATCAGTTTGATATATTTTAAAAAATTTCATAAATTTCTCTATGTCTTTGTCCTGAGATTTGACTTTGTCATGATTTAAAAGGTTAAGAAATTTAGCAAATCTTCTTAACCATCTAATAATTTTTTTGAAGTTAAAACTTCTTAGATTTCATAGAATTGACGATCTCTCTTCAAACTATTAACTCTCTAAACTCTTTATTTATTTATTTATTTATCTAGATAGATTTTTTTTTAATTTATACATCCAAAACTTTTAACAGAATTACTTTTTTAGAGTTTAGAGATTTAAATATGGAACTCTATAGATTTCATAGAACTGACAATCTCTCTCTATAAACTATTAACTCTCTAAAATTTTTATTTATTTATCTAGATGGATTTTTTTTTAACTTATACATTTAAGATTTTTAACAAAATTACTTTTTTAGGATTTGAATTCATAAGCATAGTGTAAGATGCCAATATCGCTAAGCTATAAGATTTTTGGTATTTATTTAGATGGATGGCCATGTATATTAGACTAAAAAAGCCAGCAAGTCGGTGGCTGAAAGTACGAGGGCCCAATGCCGAAAAAATTAAGACCAAGCTAAGAACTACTCGTGTTAGGTTGTGCTTCGCTTAGCTAAATTGTCAGCTGCGAGATGATGTTGATTAGACGGGACCATCAATCTCTGAACTCCCCTGGGCTGCGAGCTAAGTCATTGTCGGAATAAGCAATGCTCTCGTCCATATTCTTTGCCGAATATGAGACTCTTTATGCTCTTTTTTTCTCTTAGAAAAAAAATCTTAAAGCTTCTAAATTGTTAAGACTCTCTTTGAAAAAAAAACAAATTGCTATAGACATTGATGCTTTAAGGTTGTGTTTATTTGTGGAGAATTTTTTGGTTTTCTAAAAAATATATAATAAAGAGAAAATTATAGAAAATGCATTTCCTTACTGAAAATGAAATCTTTTTTCTTAGAAATGCGTGTTCTTTTTTCTTCAAAAACAACACAAAGTTAGTTTTCAAGTTCTCTATTGTTTTTTTTTAAAAAAAAAACAAACAAACTTATTTGGTTCATTTGATTTTTTACGTAATTGTTTCTTTGATTTTTTTCATTAATTTTTTTTTAGCACGAATTAGAAAACTAGCTGGAAACTGCAAAACAATTTCCTAAAAAGCAAATTAACTCAACCGAAATAAAGAAACATATCATATATTAATTTAAAATTTTGTTTCTTAAAGATCATATTCCATTGATTTATCAAAGAAAGTCTATTAAGTAGAAAAAATTTATAGTACTTATTGAAAAAATTTATAGTACTTATTGAATAACTAACATTACTTACTTTATAAGAGATAAATAAATATAAAAAAGAGAGAAAAAGAAAAAATTAAAAACAAATAAATTTAAATAAAAATATTTTTATCATTTTTATGTTCGTTAGTCCTTTCAAAATAGGCTTATGGAATAAATAATCGGTGAGTGTTTTAAAAATTTGTGCCTATAAAAAAATGATAAATTATTATTAAGAGTTTTGGTAAAAAAGCTGTTAATACCTTTATCGTTAAAAAAAATGTTGTTACTCTCTGTTTTTTTTCTTTTTATGTATAAAAAAAAATTATATCGTTACTCCCTTTATTTATTTTAAGTTGTTAGGCTGGTAGCCAACTTAGGTATAAAATAATAGATGCCTCGTAAGTTGTTAGCCAACTTATATACTCCATGAATTGACTAATAGCCACCGAGTGAGGCTGTTTTTTTCAAAAAAAAAAAAAAAATTGATAGAACTAGAAGGTTTAAATTTATAACTTATTATTGAAAAAGATCATTATCGTTATGATATAAGTGAATAAAATATTAATTACTGTACAGCCCGCCACTAAAACGGGTTCTAAAGATGCCTTGTCTCGTAATGGAGGACAATCCAACTCTGAAGCTAGCAAGTGTCCTGCTAGTTAGGGACGTTTTTTCTTTTAATTAATACCCTCACTTATTATCAAATGATTATCTCAATTTAAAATTTTAAATTATTTAAGATTCAAGTAATGATTTTATATGACTCTCTAACACACATTAAATGATTATATAAATTCATATTATTTTATACTTAATTAATTATAAGAAAAATAGAAATTGTGATATTTTAACTTACGATCACTTAGTTAACAAGATTCTAATATAATGTCATAGAATCATTTTAATCTAAAAATTTAATTTATTAGATGAGATAATATATATATATATATATATATATGACTCTCTAACACCTATCCTTATATAATAGTCTAAATTTTCAATGTGTTCCTAAATCTAAAAATATATTCAGTTTGTCTTTGTTATAGTTGAGAGATTCATACGAGGATTTGTAAGCAGAAAGTTTAAGGGGAAAAAAAGTAATAGAAAAAATAAAGATTTTTTTCTTTGAATATCAATTGATTGTTAGATTTTTATTTGAAGTAACAAAAATTTGAAAAACAAAAAAATAACTAGTAATTCGTGCTAGTAGCATTAAAATATATATCCACGTGGATTTCAATATAACCTATCATTCGCACTCTATTACAATGAGACGATTTCAATTTAAAATCTAAACAAAAAATGCCTGAATGAAATCATAGGAATATACATGCTATACACTTTATTTCATGGTTTCTAATCAATCCTTTTATCAAAAATTTATGTGAATTTGTAATAAATTAATTTTTATATTAATAAATATATATCATTTGTGTTAAAAAAAATAAAAATAATTTTATCAAATTAAATATTTAATTTATTCGAAAATTTTAATCAAAAGTGTATATTAGAAATCAATTAAAATAATAAAAATAGATTAAAGATGTTTTTGAATTTAAGAACATATTAAAAATGATAGACGAAGATATTAATTTGATGTATTTTTAAGAAAGTGAAGGAAAAAAAAGAGCATACTGCGCACCACCAAGTTCATCACCATTTTTTAATATTATGTACGTTTGGATGTTTTGAATTTACTCTTGATTTATATGGATATTCAACAGAAGTTTCCACTGAAGGATGATGATATTTACAGTAACAGGTTCCAAACTAAGTTCTTTCTTGTCGACCTATAAATGTTTCGAGACACGGCATCATGGGATAAACATCACCGATTGGTTTTCTTTGGATGGGTTGGCTCGAAGGGTCAGAAGAAAATTCATTTAGTCAAATGTTTCGGTCATTAACTCTCCATCTGTACAGACACCAGCTTCTGTTTCGACATCAATACCGTTATGGTCTTTAAAATATAAGATAAATAGATTAACGTATCCTTATATAATAGATTGTTTGTTTTTATATTTTTTATTGTATATATTATATTTTTAAATAATATTTAAGTTTTTAATTTTTTTATCAATTTTTTAATTATAAATATTTTTTTTACTAATATGCTCGTGATTAAAATGCTAAATAAAAAAGACATTTTCACATAATCTGTATATTCTATTTTTGAAATCTTTAAAGGTTTTATAAGCTTTGTTACACTAGTTTTAAAAACAAAATTCTTGGGCAATTAATTTTATTTTTAATTAAATGCTATTTTTTCTATCCTTGATATTATTAACTTTAAAAAATCACAAACATATTTTACATGGAAACACCAAAATCAAAATAAATCTCTAAAACTCTTTAAACAATAAATATCTGAAGTTTATCAAGAAGTTTGAGATTATATATACATATATATATGGTGTAGTTGACGTGCTGATTTAGCTTCCCTTAAGATTTGATTTGATTTTTTTTTCAATTTTCCATAAAAATTAGATTATGATATATTTTGTGGAGTTTTGTCTCCTTTTTATTTTTTAACTTCAAAGAGAAATGAATTCAATTTTTTCTTTAGATCCATATGGCTTTAATTACTTCTAGACTACCTATATCTTTATCAATTCTTTGAAACAATAACAAATGTATTTTGGATCGAATTTTTACAATGGAGTATATGTCAAAATTTATTTTTCATATGGATGTATGTATTTTCAAAATTATAACAACCTAAGTAAAATTTAAAGAGACAATGTGAATGATATGAAAACATTGTTGAGATGACAATTATGATATGGATTTTAAATAATGATGTAACAAATTAGTAATAATAGAGTACTAACGGCATGAAAGAATAGTTTTAGAGGTAAATTTCCCCCATTTACTTTTTATATTTTTCTCAAAATGTAAAAAAATTCTCAAAATACACCAATTTATTCTGTTTTCACCTCTCAATTATTTTATTCATTTTTATCTCTTAATTTCCTATTTAAGTAGTAAAAAAAAAAACCTAGTATTATATTTAACTGAAGTCAAGAAAAGGGAAACAAATTAAGGCATTGGAGGAGTTATGCTACTTTTCCTGTTTTTTTTAAAAAAATTCAAATTTTATACCAACATTTGAAACAGTTAAATTTCTTTAATACGTCATCAAGTTGATGCAGAACATACATACTTAAGATTATTCAGAAGTAAAACTATTTTAACTAATGCATAAGGCATCTCAGATATACCAAAAACTAACAAAAAATTCAACAAAAGTGGCTCATTTTCTAACAGTTGATTTGTCTATGGTGATGATGGAGTATTACTTGTCATCAAATTG